AATATATATAATTATTTATATATTCCCTTTGTTTTATAAAATATATCAATTTGAATATATTTTAATAATATTGTATTATAAGGGAAGTATTTGATAAATGAAATACTTTTGATTGTTATAAATGTTATTTGAAATTACTACAAAATGGTATAAGTAATATGAAAATTATAATTAAATATGGATAAAATATTTAAATCTATTTAAATAATTGTATAAATAATCTATTCCATCAAAATATAATCATCAAAATCTTAAAGTAAATCAATTTCATTTAATAATTGTATCATCAAATATATTGAATTCAAATAATATAGAATAAATATTTAAAGGTTTTGTAGATGAAAATTTATTATATTTATGAAATTAATAATAATTAGAGTGTAAGATTAATAATATATTTTATAAGTATTATAATTAGTAAATAAACAAAGATGCAACTCATTTTTGTATAGTTAAATTTCCAAGTGAACTTATAAACTACAAAACCAACCACTTCAATTATTAATGCCAATTATATTAGTAGATTAAAAATGAATGGAATTTTAATGAATATCAAACATTAACAAAATTATACATATTAAAGTGATAATTTATGAATTTGCTAAAGAATATTGAAATATCAATAAGAAATATTGTCTGACTATAAAGAAATGAGTTAATCATTTTTATTATATTATAAAAAATATATGTTATTTAGATAAAAGGAAAGAGTACCAGATGTTGGGAAAGACAATTTTAGAGAATTTATAAGAAGAGAAGATGATTCATGTGTAAATACTTAAAATATCTTACCCAATTTCATGAATAGCACTATTCAAGCCTAAACAAAACAATCGTAAATATTGTGAAACTTAATTAAGGCAAACTTCATCAGCATTAGATGGATCTATTAAGATGTTAGGAAATACATGGGATGCATAACATTTAGGTAAGTTCTTGTAACATAGTCAATTTGCATAATTAGGTGCTAGAACTATGAAATCAGGAGATACTCAATAAAATATGACTATAAAAAATTAAAGCTATTATTTTCGAAGTTTATAACCTAGATTGATTGAAGATAATATAGATTATCTACATTAACATCCTATTAATCATTTGATTACTTAGCATCCTCTTTAATCAACTAGTTAGTCATTCTTAAAAAATAAACTATTGTAAATTCCAGAAAAACAATTTGATGAAACCAAAATTAATTATTAAACTTAACCATAACTCAAAAGACCTGAAGAATATCGTAAAGACTTATAAGAAGCTAAATAAAATTAAGTCAAATATCATTAATGGAGATCTTAATTTTAAGATGTCAATAAAGCATATAAGAAAGCAAAATTAGGTTTTAAATCAGGTTTATTTGCTTTGGATAATCCAACAAATGAATAAACAGAATTATATAAAGAGGAACATGAAAAACTAAAAAAATAAGAGGAATATAAGTCTAATCAACATTTTAAGAGATTTAAGTGTAAAATAGTAATATTACTCATATAGCACTTGAGAGATTTAATTGTAGTAATCCATCAATTGAGTTTGACAATGTTAGACATATACAAAATAGACCAAATCCAGAAGATCCTTTATTGCATTCAGGATAATTTCCATCTTAGAATTTTGAGATGCATAAAGAATGGATGAAGAAAAAAGCAGCCAATTAAAATATAGATACATAAAATAGAATATTTGGAAAGACAGATAAAGATCGTAAAGTCAATTCATATAGAGCATAATATTTGAAGGATTAAGAAATGAGAGGAAGAGATTACAATGCCATTACATTAGTGAAGGAATGATAAAAATTTTAATTTATTTTAAATGTTAACAGATTGCGATTTTTATAGTAAACAAAGTATTACAGAATTATAAGCATAATTGGCTCATAAGAAAAAGAAGATTCACATTTTAAAATAAGAAAAGAATTCTATGTTGAATCGTATAGATGAATTGAATTAAAAAGTTCATGATTAAGCAGAAGAATTCAAAAAATATAGATTAAAATTTAGAGGTCTAGAATAATAACACTAACATGTAAATATTAAATCATATTATTATAGTTAAAACATTAGAATGAAAACTTAAAAAAAGATTAAAGTATGAATAATGAAACAATAACATTATTTTAAAAAGGATTTAAAAGAGATGAATTCAAAAAACATGAAAGAACAGTAGCTTAATTATAAAATGATATTATTAAATTATCTAATGCTTTAGAAGAACATAAAATAGTTAGAGAATCTAATTGTGAAGAAATTACAAGACAATTAGTTTATATCTAAGAATTAGAAAATTAACTCAATAAATATAAATAAATGACAGAAGATGATTAATTAAAATATAACAATTAATAACTCTATTAAACTATAGAAGATCTTAATTATTAATTGTAGATATCAAATAACAATAAAGATCAAGATTATCAAAATTAATTATAAGAAATACAATAAATAGCTGATATTGCTAAATTAGAAAATAAAGAACTTACATTAAAAATAGCATAATAAGAAAAGCTTTATCAAATGTAAATTTCAAAAATAATCAAACTTTGTGAATCTGTATATGAAGAATTATCTAATAAGATAAATAATAAAACAGAAGTTAAAGATATTTTATAAAAATTGATTATATCTAAAAAAGATATTGATCTAGATTTACTTAAGTATATCTATTAATTTAATAAATAGAATTGAATCTGAAATTAATACCTAAACTTGTGAAGAATTATAGAATAAAGTTGATAATTTATCAAATGAAAATTAAAATATTAAACAAAAATTTTAAGCAACTTCTACTAACAAAGAAGCTTTATAAATGAGAGAATAAGATTTAATTCATTAAATTGAAAAATTACAATAATAAGTTGAAAGATAAAAAGAATTAAATTAAATGAGATAAAAAACTATGTCAGAATAAATATCAGCATTATAGAGAACTAATAAATAATTAAACTAGGATTTAGATAAAATAACTAAAGAAGTCTAAGACTTAAGAGAGGATAAAGTTATTTTACAGTAGACAATATAGAGATAGGAAAAAAAAATATAAACACTTAGTTTGTCTAAATAAAGATGATAAATTTGCTGATTAATTAAATTTGATTATAATAAAAAATCATTCATTTTTTTATTTATTACTTTTCTTCTTGAATTCTTCTTAATATAAAGAACATTTTAAATTAATTTTCTATTCTAATTTTAATTGATAACTATCAGCATAGGCAACTACTCTAAATTCAAATTCAGTAATATTTTTCTATTCAAATTAAGCTGGTATTATACGAAAGACAACTGATTTACTTTCTTAATCCTCTTTTACTTATCTTGATCCAATAATCATATTATTATAAAACAACAAAATATTCCATTAATTCTATTTCAAAACTGGAAATGTTTGACTTTAAATAAATTAATCTATCAATCCACTTAAATTACATTTTATTTCAAACAAATCAGTATTTCTATAATCATCTTCAGTTAAAGTTTCTTCTGCAGTTTTTAAATTGGCATCTAATTTTGGTTTTCCTGGATGACTTAAATTAGAATTATACTAAAATATATATATTAAATAATTAATACTTGAATAATTTTAGGTATAGATTCAATTTAAACAATAATCTAATCAGTAATATCTCTAATTTGCTTTAATTCATAATGTGCCCATAATTGGGTAAGTATTTGTAAACATATCTCTATACTCATATATAGAATTCCTGGTGCATGTTCACATTGAATTGTATTTATAAAATCTTTATTATCAATCTCTTCACATTCTGAAATAGTTTCTAAACATTCTTCAAATGATTTATTTTTTCCTGCAGCTATTCTTTCAGCTAAATGTTTCCTATTTGACATCAATATTCCATTTACATCAAATTTACCCATTCCTGAAAATGCTGTACAAAATGTTACTAGTATTATCATTATGAAAATGAAAAATAAACCAGCTAATAAAAATCCTTGATTATCTTTTGATACTGCAAATTCAGGTAAGGCAATTCCAATTTAAAATCCTGTAAAACCATCAGGATTACCATATTTTTTACAATTAGCTATCTTTCTTGGATCTGTAAGACATTAATAAGCTTTTGTGATTGTATCAAATAATTTTGAGTATTTTTGAGTTTCATCAGGATGTTTATCTGGATGATATTCTCTTGCTAATTATCTATAAGCTTTTTTAATTTAATCAACAGGTGTATATGATTTAACACCCAATACTTCATAAGGATCAAATCCTTTCATTAATTATGGATCAGGTAATTATTAATACGTGTTTATGAAGATCATCATTAATAAGATCCAAAAGAACAATTTCCAATAGAATCCTTTTTTCTTATAGAATAAATTCCTTTGGATATCAATTTCAATAGCCTTTTTTGCTGTGGCTGGAGCTTTTTTGTATTTAGGATTTAATTTTATGGATTGAAAAGGTTGTTTGATTAAGCTATAAGTTAATGGTAACATGGCAACTATTATAATAGAAATTGCAAAATAAAGAAAGGCAAAATCACTTGGATCGAATTCCTGATCACTCATATAAAAATTTAATAATAATAAAAAAAAAACATATATATATATAATTACATTTAATAAAGAATCATTTATTTTGAAATTATTGCCTATTTATACTATTTAATAAAAAGGATATAAGTCAAATTAATAGAATATTTAATATATATTTAGTGATAAATTTAAGTATCTTTAGAATCTTAAATATATATATATCTTGTATTAATATATATTAATTTATATTATATAAATTCTATTTAACTATTTCATATTGAAAAATTTTAATAAACTTCTTAAAATATACAATATAATACTATTTAATTAAAATAAATAATAATTAAAATTAATAAATAGAAAAATAAATTTTTCTAAATTCTGGAAAATTCTGTTTTCGAGAATTAATAAATTCTAGAATTTATAAAGTTAGGTCCTTTAAAACGAGTGATATAGTAGAATCATTGATTTAATTAATAAAAAACAAGTAAGCTTTTAAAAATAATGTCAAAATCAAACGAAACAGCAATAGGAATAGATTTAGGAACTACATATTCATGTGTAGGTGTATTTATAAATGATAAAGTTGAAATCATAGCTAATGATTAAGGAAATAGAACAACTCCTTCATATGTAGCCTTTACAGAGAATGAAAGATTAATAGGAGATGCTGCAAAGAACTAAGTTGCTAGAAATCCTTAGAATACAGTTTTTGATGCTAAGAGACTTATTGGAAGAAAGTTCAATGATCCAACAGTTTAGAAGGATATTAAATTATGGCCATTTAAAGTAGAAGCAGGTGCTGATGATAAACCATTGATAGTTGTTAAATTCAAAGGAGAAACTAAGAAATTCCATCCAGAAGAAATTTCATCAATGGTTTTAACAAAAATGAAGGAAATAGCAGAAGCATATCTTGGAAAATAAGTTAAAAATGCAGTTATTACAGTACCAGCATATTTCAATGATTCATAAAGATAAGCAACAAAAGATGCTGGTTTGATTTGTGGATTAAATGTACTTAGAATAATAAATGAACCAACTGCAGCTTCAATAGCTTATGGATTAGATTAGAAAACAAAAGGAGAAAAGAATGTTTTAATATTTGATCTTGGAGGTGGTACATTTGATGTTAGTTTATTAACAATTGATGAAGGAATATTTGAAGTTAAAGCTACTTCTGGTGATACTCATTTAGGAGGAGAAGATTTTGATAATCGTTTGGTTGAGTATTGTTGTGCAGAATTCTAGAAGAAAAAAGGAATCGATTTAAGATCTAATGCTAGAGCTTTAAGAAGATTGAGAACATAATGTGAAAGAGCTAAAAGAATATTATCATCTGCCAATTAAACTACAATTGAATTAGATGCTTTGGCTGAAAATGAAGATTTTAATTGTTCAATCACAAGAGCTAAATTTGAAGAATTATGTTTAGATCAATTTAAGAAATGTATTCCACCAGTTGAATAAGTTCTTAAGGATAGTGGTATGTCAAAGAGTTAAATTCATGAAGTAGTATTAGTAGGAGGATCTACAAGAATTCCAAAAGTTTAAGAATTATTAAAGGATTATTTTAATGGAAAAGAGTTGAATAAATCAATTAATCCAGATGAAGCAGTTGCATATGGTGCAGCAGTATAAGCAGCAATCTTAACTGGAACTGGATCATAAAAATGTGAAAATTTAGTATTATTGGATGTAACACCATTATCTTTGGGTATTGAAACAGCAGGAGGTGTTATGAGTGTATTGATTCCAAGAAATACTACAATTCCTACTAAAAAGAGTTAAGTATTTACAACTTATGCTGATAATCAACCAGGAGTCTTAATTTAAGTATTTGAAGGTGAAAGATAAATGACAAAAGATTGTCATAAATTAGGATAATTCTAATTAGATGGTATTGCTCCTGCTCCTAGAGGTGTTCCTTAAATTGAAGTCACATTTGATATTGATGAAAATGGTATCATGAATATTCTTGCTGAAGATAAGGCTTCAAAGAAAAATAATAAGATTACTATTACAAATGATAAAGGAAGATTATCTAAATAAGATATAGATAGATTAGTAAGTGAAGCTGAAAAGTATAAAGCTGATGATGAAAAAATTAAATTAAGAATTGAAGCCAAAAATAATTTAGAGTCAACTGCTTATCATATGAAGAATACAATGAATGATGAATAATTTAAGGATAAATTTACTTCTGATGAAAAGAGACAATTATCAGATTTAGTTGAATAAACTTAAAAATGGTTAGATTCACATTAAAATGAAGAAGCTGATGTTTATAAAGACAAATTAAAAGAACTTGAATCTAAATTCCATCCAATTATGCAAAGAGTATATGCCTAAACTGGAGCTGCTGCTGGAGCTGGAGCATCAATGCCTAATATGAATAGAGGAGCTGGATCAGAATTCAAACCAACAGTAGACTNTGAGTATTGTTGTGCAGAATTCTAGAAGAAAAAAGGAATCGATTTAAGATCTAATGCTAGAGCTTTAAGAAGATTGAGAACATAATGTGAAAGAGCTAAAAGAATATTATCATCTGCCAATTAAACTACAATTGAATTAGATGCTTTGGCTGAAAATGAAGATTTTAATTGTTCAATCACAAGAGCTAAATTTGAAGAATTATGTTTAGATCAATTTAAGAAATGTATTCCACCAGTTGAATAAGTTCTTAAGGATAGTGGTATGTCAAAGAGTTAAATTCATGAAGTAGTATTAGTAGGAGGATCTACAAGAATTCCAAAAGTTTAAGAATTATTAAAGGATTATTTTAATGGAAAAGAGTTGAATAAATCAATTAATCCAGATGAAGCAGTTGCATATGGTGCAGCAGTATAAGCAGCAATCTTAACTGGAACTGGATCATAAAAATGTGAAAATTTAGTATTATTGGATGTAACACCATTATCTTTGGGTATTGAAACAGCAGGAGGTGTTATGAGTGTATTGATTCCAAGAAATACTACAATTCCTACTAAAAAGAGTTAAGTATTTACAACTTATGCTGATAATCAACCAGGAGTCTTAATTTAAGTATTTGAAGGTGAAAGATAAATGACAAAAGATTGTCATAAATTAGGATAATTCTAATTAGATGGTATTGCTCCTGCTCCTAGAGGTGTTCCTTAAATTGAAGTCACATTTGATATTGATGAAAATGGTATCATGAATATTCTTGCTGAAGATAAAGCTTCAAAGAAAAATAATAAGATTACTATTACAAATGATAAAGGAAGATTATCTAAATAAGATATAGATAGATTAGTTAGTGAAGCTGAAAAGTATAAAGCTGATGATGAAAAAATCAAATTAAGAATTGAAGCCAAAAATAATTTAGAATCAACTGCTTATCATATGAAGAATACAATGAATGATGAATAATTTAAGGATAAATTCACTTCTGATGAAAAGAGACAATTATCAGATTTAGTTGAATAAACTTAAAAATGGTTAGATTCACATTAAAATGAGGAAGCTGATGTTTATAAAGACAAATTAAAAGAACTTGAATCTAAATTCCATCCAATTATGCAAAGAGTATATGCCTAAACTGGAGCTGCTGCTGGAGCTGGAGCATCAATGCCTAATATGAATAGAGGAGCTGGATCAGAATTCAAACCAACAGTAGACTAAGTCGATTGAAATTTATAGTTATGATTTATATATATATATATATTAGTTAATTATTAAATAATTTAAAATTTCTAGTTAATTATTAAATAATTTAAAATTTCATTTATTAAACTTTTTATTGATCTAATAAATCAAAATAAAGAGATTTATATTAAATATATTTTTTATATTCAATCTAGATGGTTTATCGATATTCATTAATTAAGGATACAAACTATTAAGTTAATATAATTTTGTTATTTAAATGTTGTGATAAATAATGTTTCAACATATCTTCTAATTTGCAGTAGTCATATCAGATTCAACCTTTATAGTTTTAGTTATTAAAACATAATTAACAATACTGCAAAATCTCCTAAAAGAAAATTCATATTTCAACTAATATAATATTATTCATTTAAATTTTATTTGTTTATAATAATTTGATATATCAGCTTATTTATAATGAAAGTGTTAATCCAAAAGCATATTCATGATTTATTATCTATTAATATTATTTGCATTTAATAGTTGGCTATAGTATTAATATTAAATAAATATTTAGATATAGATTAATCTATCATTATAATCCTATTATTAGATTCTTTATATATATTACCTCATATATTTGTACGATTTATATAAAAAAAATAAAATTAAACGAGATTTAACTTTAATATTTTTTGCAATCTTTATTTTAGAATAATTATTTTTGTATATTAAATTATTATTAAGTTAATAAATCTACAATATTTATTTAGAATGATATTCTTGTAAAAACGATGAATAATAATTGATTTTTTCATTTTAAATTAATTTGGTATTAATGATAAAATTTTTATATTATGTTAGATTAAATCGATGAATCAATTGATATGACAATCAAGATGTAATCATTAAAACCATAAAGTATAAATTATAATTATATAGATCGCAGTCCAGAATAGAAAGTAAGTTTACTTAAGTTAAGAAAAAACTCAAAAAGCTTTGTAGATTGTACTACAGAAAAATTAATTACTATATATTGGTATGATTAAGAACATGATTAAACTTATGAATTTACTTAAGGCTTTAGTGAAATATTAAGATTAGGTGATATTAGTAATTGGGCTATTTTGAAGTTAAGAGATATGAATTTACCAAAGATTGATATTGAATAAACTAAACTATATTTACCTAAAAAGAAATAAGGTAAACCAAATGAAGATTTTCCATGTATTATTTAAGGTTATTTTAGCATTTAGAAATGAACTACAACTAAAAGATTGTGATCAAACTAAATTTTCTCTTAAAGTTACTTTTTTAATACGATAAGTAACTCCTCCATAGAAAATAGAACCTCGTTCATCATATAGCAATTCATTGAATAAAGTAAAACATATTCCAATCCCTTAATAATAAAAAAAAAGTAAAAATAGAACTAATTTCTTTTGTTTTTGTAACAATGGTGATTGAATGAACTAATAAATTTGATAATAATTATATCATTATATTGATAGCAATTATCAAAATACTTTATAGAATAATATGTATCATCTAATAGTTAATTTTTATTTAATGTTATCAATAATAAATTTATTTTTAATATATTTTGAGAATTTTTTTATAATAAAGTTATTTATAAAAGTTAATTGATTGATTTTCATAACTTTAAGTGTAGAAATGAATTTCTAAATATATACAATAATTAAAAACAATTAAGTATAATAAATAAATATTTTTTAAAATTTACTAAGATATATTATACATATTTAAAATATGAAATAAATTGAATATTATATAAGTAATTGGATTTTATATCTTTCATAAAAATATATATTATAATTTAAATTAATACTAAAAGTGTTTTAATCTCTATTAGTATTAACTTTAAATTAATATTATTTTAAAGTTTAAATTAACATTTGCTATATTCTTAATATATAAAAGAACAAAAGTAAATATATTATTAAAATTCATATAATTATTTCTTTAATAACTAATTCAATTACTAAGACCTAAAAATAAATTTAATAAAATAAAATATATTTTATGTATTCCTCAAATGCTAAAATTGATACAAAAACATAAAATAGACTTATAGTGTGCGAATCTAATGCAAATGATAATTCTGTTATTTAATTATCTTAAGATAAGTTGAATGAATTAAAATTGTTTAATGGAGATATTGTATTATTAGAAGGGAAAAATAAGAAATAAACTGTAGCTATTGCAATTAAAAATAAATAAGATAATGAAAAAGCTTTAATAAATTCTGTAATAAGAAAGAACTTAGGGATTAAAATTGGTGATTATATATTCATTTATCCAACATCATCTGTATTAAACAATATCTTAGATTATAGGTACCTAATTTATCTAAAGTACATATTCTACCATTTTAAGATTAAATTTCAGGAATAAATGAAAGAAATATAGTATAAACTCATTTAGTTCCATATTTTAAGGATGCATATCGACCTGTAAAAAAAGGGGATTGTTTTGTTATCAATATGGTTTAGGAAATAGAATTTAAAATTATTGCAACAGAACCAGAAGATATTGGAGTGGTTGGACCTAAAACTATTATCTATTCTGAGGGAGGATCAATCAAAAGAGAAATTGAAAATAAAGAATAATATGATACTTAAGGTGAAGATAATAATATAATAAATGGTTATGAAAGTATTGGAGGTATGAATAAATAATTTGCTATTATTAAAACAATTGTTGAATTATAGTTAAAGAATCCTTAAATTTTAAAAGCATCAGGACTTTAAACAATAAATGGATTATTGATATCTGGAGTATCTGGATCTGGAAAGACATCAATTGTAAAAGCAATAGCTATTGAAACAGGAGCATGTATATTTTTTATTAATGGTTTTGAAATAATAAGTAAAAAACCAGAGGAGGCTGAAGAAATAATTAAAAAGGTTTTTGAACTTGCAGAAAAAAATAAACCTGCTATTGTACTTATTGAAGATATTGATTGTATAGCAATAAAAAAAGAAGATATTAAATGTTAAATGGATAGAAGATTATTCTCTTAATTAATAACAATCATGGATCATTTTAAGGGAATTGAAAAGTTGATTGTAATTGGTACAACAAATAGACCTGATTGTATTGATCCAACATTAAAGAGGTTTGATAGATTTGATAAAGAAATTGAACTTGGTATACCTAATGAAAATGAAAGAATGGAAATTTTAAAAATACATACAAAAAAAATGAAATTAGCTTAAGATATTGATTTAATTTAAATTGTTAAAGAAACTAAAGGATTTGTAGGTGCAGATATTGCAGCACTTTGTAAATAAAGCGTTTTGTAATGCTTATCAGATAAAATGGATTATCTTAATATAGATGATTAATAATTAGATGATAGAACCAAAGAAATAATAACTGTTACTAATGATAACTTCAAAGTTGCATTGAAAACAATGAAACTCTCTTAATTTAATACTAATTCTATTGAGATCCCAAAATTAAGATGGAAAGACATTGGAGGATTGCATAATATCAAATAGTAGCTTTAAGAAATAATTACTTTGAGAAGAGATCATTCAAAAAGTTTACAATAATTTGTATTGAAATTCTCTTAAAACATTATATTATACGGTCCTCCTGGATGTAAGAAAAAGTCTCTAGCTAAAGCTTTAGCAGGTGAAAACTCTATGAATCTCATTTAAATAAAATAACCTCTAACTTCTCTCTATTTTAAAGAGATATTTAATATAGCAAAGTATTAATAACCATGTATTTTATTATATGATGAATTTGATTAACTTTTCCAAAAATAAAGAAATCCTGATGCACAAGATAACAACCTCATTTAATAATTTTTTAGTCAATTAGATGATATCAATTATGAAGACAATTTATTCTTTATAGGAATATCTAATAAACTAGACAATTTTGAAGAATATATTAGAAAAAATGATAGATTTGATCAAATTATTTATGTTGGATTGCCAGACTTAAAAACAAGGATAAGTGAATTCAAAATTAATCTAAGGAATACACCAGTAACTTAAAATGTAGATTTAGTATTTCTTGCTTAACTAACTAACATGTATTCTTGCTATGATATCAAAAATATTTGTTAAAATGCTAAAATAGCTGCTTTTAAAGAAGTAATATATTAATTTAGATTATAGATGATTGATATATAAAATAAAAAAAAAATCACACCTTAATAAAATTAATTATAAATAAATTCTTTTCCTTAAATTACAAGAAAACATTTTGATATTTCTTTAATGTAGACTAAAAGGTCATTATCTATTGAAGTAAATTAAAATTAATATAAAGTTAATTAAATAATTCTTAGAATTTTAAAATTCAATTGAATAATAAAGAAAAGATAACCAAGAAAAATTCAAATACAAATGGCCTGAAACTAGTTAGTAAACATTTCAGATGGAATTAAATGAAGAAGATTATGTTTGAAATGCTTAAAGTGATATATATTGATTGTAATCATTTAGAATTATAAATTTACATCTTATTTGGTTTTTTTAAAACTTATTTACAAATATCTATCATATTTTATTATTTAATATATAGAGTAGTTAAATAATTATTTAGATGGATATAATAAATTATTTATTTTTAATATAATATTTTTCATCCAAATAGCTTTTATCCAATGATGGAGAATATCTATGTTGAAATTTGTTTAAGAACAAAAGCAGCAAATTCATCAAATTACTAATAATTAAATAATATTATATACATCTTTTGTTGTAGTGAACTATTTAGGAGATTTATAGGGTTCTAATTAAATAGTAACATCCTTAAATCTCTTAATTTTGGATGGATGTTTAAAAGTTGCCACTAATTTAAGTTCGCTTACCTATAATGAATTATAATAATCTGGAATTTATTTAGATATATTTTCCATAGCAGCTAATTGATAATTATTTATAAGATACATTTCATTTATTCTTTCTTTTCAATACTCAATCTATTATTTCTTTAAGTAGATTCATCACCAAAGAAATAATTATAAAATTGATCATATAATTCATCTGTTAAAATAATTGTTAATGGATTCATTTTAATATCATGTTAATCAATAATAAACCATTTTTATTAATATATCTAAAGAGGATAAAACTTTTTAATCATTCTAAAGAATGGTTATTATTTAGATTCTTTGATTTCTTAACTTAATACCATTTTATAATCAGGATCTTATTCAATTTTATTAATTGCATCTAAATCTTAAAGAAGTATATCAATTTTATGACTATCATTCTCAAAAACAGTTTCAATGATTCTAATTTATCTAATATTGAATAAAATAAAACTAATTTCTTAATCGTCCAATAGAGATAGACTTGTTTCCTTAATTGCATAATCTAATTTTGATTTTTCAGCTCCATAATGTTCTAGATTTTCTGATATTTTCTTCTTAATCATTTAATCTAATTATTTAATACCATATTAATTTAATTCTTTTAATTTATTTCTAAAAAACCTTTCTTTATTTTCAAATTCATTTTTTGTAGTAACTGCCATTTCCATGAATGTTACCATATCTAAAAATTGATCTAATTAATATTTTTTCATTGTTGCATTTAATTATCCAACTTTTACTTATACTATTGGTCTTCTTAATTCTTAATTCCAATAATTAGGATTGTGTTTTTTACTATTTGATGAAGATATTTCAGTAAAATCTCTAATATTTTCTCTTAATTAATAACTTTAAATTTAAAATAGAGCATAATCACATTTAATAATTTTTTCATAATCTTAACTTGTAAATCTTACAGTTTATTTTGCATCTAAATGTTTTTATAAAACTTAACAATCTAATCCATTAAATATTAATTTTGTAACTAATTTTTTATCAATTTCTAAATTATCAAATGGTAAAATATATTCTGACATTATAATTTAACAATCTTTAGGTGATGTTAAAATCATTTAACAATTAGCATTATGATATTAAAAATTGAATTAAGGATTTACCAATGAAACCATTAATATTAATTCTTCTCTACTATAAGATTTAGGTTTGGTTTAATCAAATTACATATCAAAATTTTATTTAGTTTCTTTATTTTAAGGTATTTCAAGACTTTCAAAAACATTACCCCAAATTTCTTATAAATAAAATGTAAATAGAAATTAACTATCTAAAGCAGAAATAAAATTCTTTATTATTTTTTAAGTCATAATAGTATTAGTATTATTTTCATCATCTTCATCTTATAAATCTATTTTTTAATTCTATTTATACTCTAATGATTTTGCTTTTAAAAAAATATCAAAAGCATTAAATTCATTTTTTTATTATGGTTTTATTTGTATACCTGATGCTCTTCCTCTAACTTTAACATCTTCAAGTGAATCTTCCAAATATGATTCATCAGTTTATAAATTAAATAAATGATATTATGGAGTAAGTGTAGTATTAATAATAAAAGGTTATTTAAGGAATTTCTTCAATTTTTTTAATTCATGAAAAGTCATGTTTTATATATTTTATGATTAATTTAATTCGTTCTAATAATAATCTGCAGGTTATATATCAAAAAAATTTACAAACTATTCTTATTAACTTAAAGGTTCAGGTTATTCCATATCTAACATTTGTTTTCCATCAAACATTGAACATACTAATTAATCACATTTTGCTGCAATAGATTATACTTCAAATCTCCAATCATTATCTATTCGATTAGGTTCTAATTAAAGATTTACTTTTAATGATTAAAATAATGTTTAAAATCCAATAAATGGTATATCTTTATGTTTTAGAAAAGTTTCATTATGTGATACTGGTTTTTCTGAATTTGTAAAGAACATTCTAAATTTATTTGAATAAACTCTTATATTAATCTTTTTTGTATGTTAAAATAATGATTATTTAATCATCAAAGATTCCATTAATTTTATATATGTATAATTAACCAATGTCTTATAATCTGCATACATATTCCATTCCATTTCATATATTTAATTATCCATTACTTATGGTAATTTATTAATTTAAACTGAAAACATTCTTAATACATCATGTCTTAATATTGGTCTATTCTTTAACCATCTCATAAATTAATTTTAATAATGAATAAAGAAACAATGTTTTTATTGATCTCTAAAATTAGATTCTTTATAATGTTCATATTAAATACAATCAACTTTTACTTCAATTTATAATTATTGACTTATAAAATCATTTAAGCTATTATTTATTTAATTAAAATATGGTTTTCTCATATAAAAATAATGATCGTATTAATCTTTTTGAGAAAACCAATTAAATTCAGTTACCATTTATATTCTTGGTATATAGAGAACTTTTTATATTTTTGGAATTCTACTTAATTTTAACTTATCAGCTTAACCTTTTAATGTCCAATTTAAAAATTCAATACTTATTAATTTTGATGAAAATTTAATGCAATCAATTGAATAAGGTAAAATATCTGTTGTAATTTATAAAATTAAATGATCAAGTTAAAAATGTAATTTACCATGAAATTTTAATCTAAATCTATCCCAAAATGTTAATTACTCTTTTATTATTATTTTATTTTATTATTAATTAATACTTTATCCCATAATTTAATTTATTCTATTAGAGATTTCTCTAAAAGCAAATACTAAATTTAATCCAGCTGCTATTTATAATTATTTAATTTCTAAACTCAAATCATAAAATACTCTAAATCCTATCTATATATTTTATGTATTCAATCTTGAAAGACATATAAATGTATTTAATTTTATACCTCTTATATCAAGTATATTTAACTTATAATCTCTAATTGATATTTTAATTTATTCTAATGAAATTTCACAATTTGCTAATTCAAAATACTCAAAAAAAGATTCATCTAATTATGTTGGATGAGAATCTAATTTTGTAATCTTATCAAGTACTTGATTAACAGTTAAATTTTATTTCTTTAATTTTAGATTGAGATTCTAAAATTTTAAATATAATAAAGGATATGATTATTATGTTTTCAAACCTTCTAATACTCTACTTTCATTCTATCTACTTTTAATTGTTTCAAACTTTTCTTAAAATCTTCTATATCTGCATAATGCATCATTCAATTTTGTGTCTTTAATAATTACTTCAAAATTTAGGATATTGAGATTAGTGTTTTATCCAAAAATTGATCTAATCTTTGTAGTAACATCTTAATCATTAGGTATTTTCTAAAGAACACCATCATGAGAGGATCTTCTTTTTTTTAATTAAGAAGTGTCAATTTCTTCTTAATTAATATCAAAAATCTACTTTCTAGATACAATAGTGTTCATTTATTTAATACCTTATAGAAATACATTAATATCTCTAACTTCTTCTTCTAAATTGAGAATTGCAGACTTAATATTAATTTACATAAGTTAAGCTGTATTTTTAGTTTAAATTTAATCTATTACAAATAAGGATGAATTCTAAAATTTAATAGAGAATTAATTTAAATCAATATTATTAGGATCTTTTGTATTAATTTCTCGTAAATTTACTTCAGCCAAGAAAGGACCAGACAAATATTTGAGTTATACTTCTTTACAATTAACAATTTTATCTTTGATAACAGGTTTATTTGCTTTAGATTTTTTTTTTTCTAAAGGTGTTAATTTAAAAGAAGTAAATTTGGACAATTATTATCTAAATATTTTCTATAATTAATAAATCCTTAATATTTTTTCTATGTTTATTTGTTCTACCAATAATTCTAATGTATTGAAGGTATAATTGATAACTTAAGAATTTGTTTACATTTTGAAATCCTTGATTAAACCATCAGTTTAACTAATATTACTTGAAATCTGACAATTATCAAATGAAATTTAAGATTCATTAACATCTCCTTCATTTGAAATATAATGAAATTTATTAATAGTTATTGAATTAATAATTGCACCATCAAAGATTAAATTAATTTAAAATTTATTAGTAATTAAAAAATCAAAAGAAGTACTTAATGTACTATTAAGATCAATATTCAAGAATTCACAACACATTTCCTTGGCTATACGATTATATTTTTTAAAGTATTTGCTTTATTCATAATTTTCAACAAATGCAACTCTGAATTCTGATGCTAATTCAGTTTAAATAAGAGTAAAAAATTTAATCAGTTATGGAGATAAATTAATAATAAGATCTCCATATCTGATAAAATGTTTTGTGTGATCATTAGAATGAACAGTATTGCTAGATATAGATTCAATATTCCAAGAAATATCTTAGAATCTTATATCTTCTTATAAAGTATTAACAGTAAACTATTTACATTAGATAATGCCTTTTTTAGTTTAATCTGTATCAACTATATCAAATTATCCATAATATTTTAATTATTACCATTCAAATATAAGTTTATTTTGTGTATATTTATAGAACTTTTAGGTTAAAATGTTAAATGAATGTTTTTTATCATTATCAGAATCATTAAATATACTAAATTCAATCTTAAAAGATTAAAAGTTAAGATTCATTTCTCTAGGTTTTCCTAAAAACATGAATCCTTTTTCATTAAATTATCTTTTAAGTATTTTATTAATATCAGGTCTAGTCCAAAATTCATTGGCTAAAACATCCATAGTATAGAAATATTCACTTGTACAAAACCATCGTACTTCCTGAATGTTAACATCTATATAACTGTGTTCTTCTAATAGATCAATCAATAATCCAGGCTTAGTGATTCCATTTAAATTAATAGTATTAATTGTAAAACATTATTACATATTTGCTCCTTCACTATTGAGTTTCCATTGTAGATGACCATTTTGATTTAAATGCAATTATACTGATGTTTCACCTAATCTCATAGTCATATCTGGTAAATCTTTCTCTTTTGAATTAAGTTTTGGTAAGGTGACATTAATTGAATTGAAATGAATATTTAGACGTGAAAGGGTTAGAAAAAGACAATTAATGGCTGAGGATTCCAATAATAAGGATAGGAATGGAATTTATTTAGTTTTACGATGTTGTATTTTTTATTAAGTATAAGGTAGGAATTTGGATTTGAGTCTTTCCATATACAATTATTCCTCAAATTAAAAGCCTATTTTGATAGGTTAGTTAGGAATGAACCTTAAATTCAAATCAATGATATTGACGTTAAATCTCCATTGATTTGGAACTTTGGAAATTTGTATACGTGCTATATTTACAACAACTATTATATGTTTTTTGTATTAATATCTTAATTCCATATTGTAAAGTGAAAATGGTACATATGAATATTGGAGAGCAAGGACTTTCTTATGCAACCGTGCCAACCACTTTATCCATACAGGAGAAAATAGAATGGTTATTATAAAAGCATTGATTATTAGAATCAATGTATTTAACATTTTTGTATATTTATTAATAAATCTCAACCTTAATTTAGTTTTTTAAAATTGATCAAATTTTCTAAAACATAATGAATGACTGAGTGTGCCTTTTATCTATTCTTTAATTTGTCTGTTATTCCTATAATATCTCCTGCTTCTTTCACATAATATTCTAAATCATCATTGCTACATTTATTTGTTAATTATGCTAATCTCACTCTAATTATGATAAGATAGTAAGATCACTTTTCAGATGCAAATTCTTCATCTAAATCAAATAACTCTAGAGGAGGAGGAGGTAACTCTCTAGGAATTGGTGGAAATAAAGCAGGTTATAATCCTAATAATGGAGTTTCAAATTGTGGTACAATTAAAGTTAATGGTTCATGTTTTACAGCTAATTATCATATTATATATTATATTTACCAAGAGTCTAATATAATTTTACAGCATCAGGAATCATTTCAAGATCAAATTTAAATAGAGTAGAATCAAAGAGGGTAGTCACATCCTTAGGTAATTCCTCACTCTCTTATAGACAACTCTTAAGTTTCTCTGACAATTCTGCTATGTCTGGAGCATTCTTATTTTCTGACTCAATGAATGGAGCCTTTTTGTCAAATTCGACATCTTTACTAAAATAAAATTTAAGCAGAAAATCAAAAATCTTCTGGTTGTCATCCTTCTCAAAATATTCATCATTAAATATATCAGTAGAACCTATAACTACTAATTTCCCTTTATCTGAATTTATGGCCATTATAGGTCTTTCACATGGATAAGACATAGGTCCTGTCGATAGAACTGGAAATGCTTTGTCCTTCACTACTAATGTGGCTCCACTTGGATATACAAAATCCAATCCTCCATTATTATTAGTTTCTGATTCCTCTAATTCAATTACACCCTACAAATATGGTGTAGATGCCTTATTTTTTCTAGTTTCTTTTTAATCTCCATTAATTACACGAACTATCTTTACATTTTATTATTATATTAATTACTTCTTGATTTATTACTCCCTACTATATATAGGCTTCTTTAGGATGAAAATATTTAAAAAAGCATGTTCTGACCACGCAATCATTATTTACATATATTCCATACTTTTCTATAAATGCATTTAAATTGCTTGTAGATTTATTCTCTCCTCCTTCAGAAAATAAAATTAATAAATTTCCTCCATTATTTAGATATTCTTCAAGACATTTTATTTCTAATGATAACAATCATATAACTAACCTTTTTCTGTAAATGGAGCTCTAGAACCTCCAAAAATAATTAAATTTGCATTCTTTAATTTTTCATACACTAAATCATCCTTGTTTAATCCAAACTAAATAATTCAAAAATTAAGAACTTACCTTATATTATCCTTTATACTTTTTTAAAATCTTCTTATAATTTTGACTTGGATTACCTTGTTCATTCTTTCCAACATTAAATATGATCTTATTATATATATTCTCATACTTAGAGTTCAGACATCACTTTTTAATTTAAATTTAATTATTATTACTACTCTCAAATCAAAGAGAGTTTGTAATACTATCAATATGATATTTATGAAATATTGTCTCATTTTGATGCCATACTATAAAAATTCATCATTATTATTTTATTTATTTAATGTCTGAGAACATCTTCAAATTGTAACAACTCAATTCACTTTTCAAATCTAAAAAAGAAACTAAAGTAGATGAAAACAAAAAAATTCCATCTGAATCCCTTATCCAATATTCTAATTAATAAGAAGCCACATTATAACAAATTAAAAAAAAACAATCATTACCTGTACCTACCTTAGAATCTAAACCTACAATTGATGTAACTACATTAATTTTATTATAGGAACTATTAAACTCCTTAATTAAACCAAGAGATTGGGAAATTGATGGAAGACGATTTATGTAAACAGTTTCAATTGTCCCTCCATCAAGAGATGATATCACCAATCTACAAAAACTTCTAGATGAACGACTTGTTTCTAGATAAGCTAGAGAGTATCCTCTCTGTCCAATAAGAGAAGAATTATTTGGTTAATGTTTTGATGAAATTATCAGATAAGTTACTATAGATTGTTAAGAAAGAGGTATTTACTTAATATATTCTTAAAGGTGTCATTTTAGCAAGAGTTCGAGATGATCTAAATAAGACTATAGTAGCTTATAAAACTTTGTATGAAGGATCTATGCCTTTTAGTCTTCAAAAATAATTGAATGCTGAGGATGGACTTAATAAATTAGATTAATAAATTACAAAATTAAATGAAACAAAATAATAATTAGAATTAAGAGTAATTTATTATTGTTATCTTAATTAGAAACTATTTTTGACTAATAAAAAAGAGGCTCTTGAAAGATCAATCAAAGAAAAAAAGGATGCTAATGAATAAAGAAGAAAAGCAGAGATAGAATTTTTGAAATATCAAAATTCTCATTTAGAATCATATTAAAAATAAGTAAATCCAAATAAGAATTAATGAATTTAGTATTCATATTTTATATAATTAAAATATCTCTTATTTTATATAGGATTTTCACTTTTTTTATGTTTTTGTTGATTTTTCTTTATTTATTTTTTCTTCTCTTTAAATAATGTCTTTTTTTTACTATAATTTAATAAATTATTATTACTTTAAGACTTTTATTTGATATTTTTTAATTTACTGGAATTTATTATGGTTCAAATTAATGAGTATCCATAGATGATTTAAGAATATTCATTTTTTTTTATGATGGATCTATTTCATCCTTTACTTACGATTAGGTTGGATCAAAATCTCTCATATTTTTAACAGAATCAGTTTATTACCAGGTTTAATTATTTGGAATTAATCTTTCTTTAGGTTTTTGTTATTTTTAAGATTATTCATATTATGATTAAGCTAAAATAAATATTAATATTTTACATTATTGAGTTTCAGATTCCTCTTTTGATTCTGAAATTGAGACAGATTAAATTTTAACAGACTATTCACCAAATACACTAGATTATAATTCAGCTTCCTTTCTATTTTTTGCATATGTTTCAGGATCAAATTCTTTTACTTAATTATTACTCTATCCTCCTACAGTACTCCATTTTTATGTTGAAGCTGTTAATTTTTCAACCTTTTAGCCTTAAATTGGTTTGCTAAATATAATTCATTAACACTTACCTTGGACTATCACCAAAAACATTAGATTAATTTTCCATTAGTTTTCTATTACTTGGATTTTGATCTTATTGTTATTATTATTATGATTTTTTAGATTTTTAAGGACTGGAAACTTCTAGATTAACTTCTTTAGTTGGAAGATGTTCTCTAGCAATTTCATTTCCATAAAGTTCTTTATTTCTTCTATTATTAGGATCATAATTAAGTTTTGGTTTGAATTCATTTAATGTTACTGCTCTTTTTAATGATTTATATTCATCAAAATCTCATAATATTTAATTTAATTTACCACTTTTACCAAAAAGGAATTCTTTTCCATGATCAACTTATCTATTATCATTATTTTTTTTCTAAAATCTTTTAACATCTTATTTAGAAGTTTCAAAAGTTTAATTATTTCTAGCAGGTGGAGGAACATCTTAAATTGGTTCTGATGAGAAAATTTGAGATTAAAAAGTTTTATTTTATCGAACCTTGTATATTATTATGTTTTACTTCTTATTGTTTAATTGTTTAAGATTCTGTACTAAATATATCTGTTTTTGGACGAGCGCTCTGTCTTGATGGTTATTGAACAGGAGCAGGAGAATTGAGTCCAAAAATATCAGATTTATTTTAGATTCTTAATATTAAGGAATTGTTTACACTTATCTTATAACAGGAGCTTAATCAAATGTTTATTTAGTTGGTCTAGATCCAGCTGCTGGTCTATTATATTTATGATAATTTTTACATATTAGATGTATCCATTTATAAAATATATAAATACTAAATATATTTTATAAACAGTAATTGGTTTGCATGTCTAACTAATTTCTATTTAATATAATTAATATCTCTTATTTAGTTATGAAATCAGAGAGGTTTGAATTATGATCTAATATATTAAATTTTTTATAATACTAATGCATATTATTAAAGCTTTTAAGACATATATTTGGGAATATACATTGATAAATTAAGCTAAAATATCAGTTTTGAAGTATAAGAAAAAGGAATTGCTTAAAACAAAATGGCCTTATTTTATAAATTTATGTCGGCTTCAAATATTTTTAGCTTTAATACAATTATTGGTCAATTTCTTGTTAATTGAATCAAATAATAATTACAAAACTTTGCTTATTGATATTGGAATATCGTTAATTATAAATATTATTGATAGATGTTGTTTAAATAGATTAAGTAAGAGAAGGAAATTTGTAGTAATCATTCTTTTAAATTTCTTTTAAGGTATTTATATTGGAATTTCCGAGAAAATTTTAAATGATAATCAATTTGTCTAATTCAACAAACACTTTTTAATACATTTTATGACAAAGATTATGTGGATGATTGCATTAATTAGCACATAACCTCTTTTTATGTGTAAGGTAGTAATCTTTCTATTTTATTATTTCATAATTTGCTATTTTCTTTCTGTTTGGAAGAGTGCATTTTATGATTTTTTTATTGCAATACTAATATTTATTATATATACAGTATAAGAAGAAGAGAAATTTAGAAAACTTATTTGCAATTAAATAATTCCTAAATAAATAATTAGTTCATTACCATAACCTATATTTTTAATTAACTTATCTACTTTAGAATTCGTAATATATAATGACATGTTTAAATAATATCTTAATTCTTAAAAAGATGAATTAGATATTACATCAACAAAGAGAATGTTAACATAATTTTAATCTTATGGAAATCAATAAGTATTTAATGTAATAGATTCTGAAAGATTGAATTTATTTGAAACTATATAGATTATTAAATTATAAGAAGATGTAATAACATAAAATGTTAATTATTAATTTATATTAAATGACAAAGAAGTTTATGATGTTAGATTTCATAATAATATAATATATAATGATAAAAAATGTTTATTGGTTTGTTTATCAGATATATCAGCAATAATTGAAAAAACTAAATTAACAGAAAGAACTATTTTAAAAAGTAAATTAATTAAATCTTTATCACATGAATTAAGAACAAGAAAAAATATAATTTAAGGTTTATTAAAATTATATTTAGATAAAAATAATGATGATTAAAATAAAGAATTAATTTTTCAGGCTTATTATAATTCTAAAATAGAATCTAATATAATAAGTTCAATAATAAATTATAATTTATGTTTAGATGATTAAGTAATTATAAAATATCAACTAATTAAAGTAAATGATATTTTAGATAGAATTATTGATAATTTTAAATATGAAATTAAATCAAAATAAATAGCAATTCTAGCTAATTATCATCCTGAAACTAATCATACTTTATTTACTGATCCAGAAATATTTGAATAAATTATAACAAACATAATAAGTAATTCAATTAAACATTGTGATAAACAGAATTAATCAATCTTATCAATTTCTATTTGTAAAGAAACACATCCTATTGCAATTCCTATTCCAAATCCAAATAATCCATATATTACTTACTTATAAAAAATGTCTCATTATTCATCATTTCAAAGTTTATAAGATTTTAATGTAACATAAATAGAGACAACATTAAATATTAAAATAGTAGATAATGGATCTGGTATAAATGTTTAAAAACTTAAATTAATATAAGAAATTTTAAATAATGATAATTATTATTAATTTACAACTTCATCATCTGATGGATTTTATTTAGGTTTAAGATCATGTAATCTATTACTTCAAAAATTAAATAAATAGTCAAAAGTCAATATATACATTCGTTCAACAGAAAAAGAAGAAACAGAAGTAATATTAAAGTTTATTATTCATAATTAAATCAGAGAATATGAATAATCAATAGGATCAGAAGATAGTATTCAATAAATCAGAATTTAAAAGAAAGTACATAATAAATGTGAATGTTTATAATAAATTATGATTGTTGATGATGAACCTTTTAATAATCTTGTATTGGAATCAATTTTAAAATCTCTTCATTTCAAGGTGATTAAAGCATAAAATGGATTGGAAGCATTGAAATTATATAGAGAATAATATGATTTATGTGAAATTGATGAATGCAAATTATTTTATGCAATTTTCATGGATTATCAAATGCCCATCATGAATGGATTGGAAAGTACTAAAGCTATTATTGAAGAATGCAATAAATTAAAATAAATATAACCTGATATCATAGGATGCACTGCCTTTTCTGCAACTGATGATATTAATGAGTTATTAAATGCTGGAATGAAATGTGTATGTATCAAACCAATTAGTAAAGATTCGATCAAACAAATATTATCTCATTTATAATGATAATAATAATGTATGAATTAATTTATCAATAATAACAACACTTATTTATATAATTCTGATAATTTCATACTTTATTTTATGAGTAATTCTACAAAAACTATATATCAAAAATTTATATGTATTTTGTAAATATTTAAAAACTAGTTAAACTAATAAAACTTAATTTTTAATCAAGATACATTCAAATTGATTTGACTAAAATAAATTCATTAGAAATATCTATTTATGAATGAATATCTTATTACGATATAATCTATAAATAAGGATTAATTTGAAATATATTTAATCTTAATATAATTCAGATATAAAATTAAAAATGCAAAATCTTTTGATAAATATATAATTTAAGAATTAAAAAACTATTCATTCTACAATAAAATTTTATATTTTTGAGAAATAGAAAATTTAGAATTTAATAATTATATATTATACTATCTAAGGATACTAATTAATTACATTTGATTAACAAAGTTTTATAAAATAAAAAAGGAGAAAGAATACTTAAATACTAAAATAACTAAAAAATAATATTATTATTAAACTCATAAAATTAATTAGAAAAAATAAAAATAAGATTAATTATTCATCTAAATTATATATATAATCTATATTATTATACAATTATAATTATGATTATCATTTTAAATTGATTTATGTTGCAATTTACTTAATAATGTATTCCCCTTATTATATTAGAGTACATTATTTTGGTATTTCAAGATTAATTATATAATATTTTTAGTCATAGTGAATGATTAAGATCTTAAAAGGTGTAAATAAAAAAATCATAAATATATTTTATTAGACAAACTATATAATAATTCTAAGTATACAACTTAATTTCTAAATATTTGATAATTATGAGATGTTCAAATATAATTTATTTAGCATAAATATGTATATATTGATTTTGATAATAAGATCATATATTGATAGGCTTGACTTTCTTCCAACTCATATCTGAAAATCCTCCTTAGTTTATGATATCAATTTCTTCTTATGTCATCTTTCTTCTTTAATAATCCACAACCTTATGTACATACTTAGCTGTTTATGTACTATGTTAATGTGGAACTAAATTAGCTCTACTGCCAATAAATTTAATTTTAGGAACATATTTCAAGGCTTAATTCATCTTATACTTTTTATAATAATTTTAATAATTCAATATTTTTTTATATTTGTTTAACAATAAATTATTATAACTTTTAAGTATATTCATTATTTGTTGTTATTTTTATGACTAAGTCAAATTTAATATTATTAAAATTATCATTTAAATGAAAAACAAATATATTGCATAAATATTATATCTCAAAATTTTAAGATTGTTCTTTTTCCTAAAATTTGTCATTCTAATTATGCTATATTTTTAGTTTTTCATACTATAGAACTTACAAAGTCTGAAATTTATTTAACAGTTGGCATTTATCCTGTTGTTAGTTTAGAGTGTACAAGTTATCCATTTATTGTTACTTCAAATGCTCCTGTGGATTATAAATTCTAAATGATGAAATTAAATCCAATGAATATCATAATTCCTGCTCTCATCTTGTGTGGACTAATGTATTACTGCCATAATGAAATCTTATTTGATAATATAGAATCAAATAGCACTAAGACTATTAAGGATCCATATTGAATATATGTTAGACAGTTTACTAACATTTCCTTTTAAGGCCCTATTGGATAAGGTTACCCTATCACATTAACCTTATTTGTGTATTAATTTAAGAGAGCATTTTCTAATTGTTGATATGCTCCCTTGTAAGATCAACTAGTACAGTATTCTATTAAAATTTCAAGAGGAGAATCTATGCTATTTAGTTTACTCTCCTATTATTATCTAGAAGTGGTTAGCAAGAATAGAGTTGCTAGGACTAGGAAGAGATTTAGTTTATTTATCATATAATAAATATTAATGATTTTTATAATAATTCTAATTATTTATAATAAATGCAAATCGATTTATTAGATTAATAAATAGTAAAGAAGAAAAGATCATAATCAAATAAAGATAATGAAGATTCCATACCTGCATTTTTATTGAAAACATATGAAATAATAGAAGTATTAATTAATTTTAAATAAAAAGAATCCTTAAAATAATGAGATAATTAGTTGGAATGAAGAAGGAACTGCATTTATAGTTAAAAAAGTAAATGAATTCTCAAATATCATATTACCTAAATCATTTAAACATAGTAACTTTGCTTCATTTGTTCGATAATTGAATATGTATGATTTTCATAAAACCAGACATGATAATAATGAAAATGAATTTAAGCATAATTTGTTTTAAAAGGGTAAAAAGTAAGTTATATATATATTTTAGACATTTTCTAAGTTAAATCAAACGAAAGACTAGTGATGTAAAAGAATAGAATTCCTTGAGTTTAATAAAGAATGAATAAATAAGAAATGGATAAAGTGAAAATTCTGAAGTATTTTCTTCTTAGATTTTGATGTAAATGGGAAAATTGTAAAATAAATAAATGGAATTAGAAAAATTAATTAAAATTTTTATTAAGTAAAATGAAAAGGTAATGAAGGAAAATAAATTCTTGTGGAGTGAATTTACAAAAAATAAGTATGATAAATATTAATATAGAGGCATAAGAATGAAAATTCAGAAGAATAAATAATGAAATGGGTATTATAATCATTATAAGGAAGCAAATAAAATAATAAACTTAAGAATAGTATTTAATCAAATAATTTGTTAATGTTGAAATAAAACAGCGAAAATGATGATGAAATATAATTTGAATAACAAAACCAAAGAAATTTTGAAAATGAGAAATTAATATTTGATTAATTGCCATCTCAAATTATAAGTTAAAATTTAGAATAATAGATTGAAAAACTATCAAAAACTTAAATAATTTAAGTATTATTAAATGCTATTACAAACAATTAAAAATAAGAAAAAAAAAATAATAATACAAAATTTGAAGATGAAATTAGTTTTGATGATGAATATCCAATTAATAAAAAAATAGATATAAAATAAGAGAATTAAGATAAAAAATAAGAAAATTAACTTATAGTTTATAATGAACCTTATTTTTTTCATAAATTAGAAGATAATTATATCATTTCAGAATCACCTAATCCAAGTCGTAAGAACTCTTATTATGATCAAGATCTTATTCCATAATTTTTAGATAGTGAATTATGATATTTTCATTAAAAATTTAACTTCTTATTTTATAATAAAAATTATTATATTGAATGTCCACAATTAAGAAAATATTGCCTAGATAAAAACAATAAAAATGTGAAATATGTAATAAAAATTTTACATTGTAAATTTAAATCTATATTAATTGAGATTATTACAATAACATTAATGTAAGAGATGTTAAAGAGCTGTTTGTTTTGATTGTGGAAAATTTAAGGGATTAGTAATAAAATATATTAATTTGAGGTCATTGATTATGATCTCAAATAATAACATAGAGTATGTACAATTTGCAAAGACGAATAGAATAATATACAAGACTTGATATCAAAAGAATAATTATTATTCAATAAGAATTCTCATATTACTAAAGAATGGCTATAATATTTTTTTATAGATAAGTATAGAATATAATTATTTAGAGCTAAAGAATAAATCATTAATGATGATTATTATACAAAATTAGCAGAAAGCAAAAGAAATTTATAATAATAAGTTTCTGAGAATCTTAAATTAATATAAAATTATGTAAATCAAGTATAAGATTATTTATTAAGTCAAGATTCGTTCTAAATATAATTATTCTATGATAGAATTTGATTATTATTTGACTAAGGATTTATTAGAAAATACTGCATCAATTTATATATCTTCAGTGTTGTAATGTTTAATATATTAAAACCCCAATATTTAATGCACTTATGTATATTAATCTAAATTATATATTTTAGAATTTAGTTTAGTTAACTTATTTTTTGTTATATTTTCATTCTCAACCTATAGTTCACTTTTTTATTAATGTTTTAAGAGATGAACTTTCTTTTAACAGATTTTTAGATAATAATGAATAACTCTCAAATTCTGAAATTGATTTTTTGTAAGAAATAGGAAAAAAGAATTATTTAATTGAACCAACTGATTTATTATATTACAGAAAATATTTAGAAAAATATGCCTAATAAATGATATCTAGTTTATTTATCAATCATTTAAATGTATTAAAATTTATATTATAAGATTTAATGTACACTTTTTATTTTTGATCATGTATTAAAATTTAAGGATTATTTTGAATTAGAAAAAATGATTGCTTTATTAGGTTATTTAAATTTAAATGATTTTAAATTGAAAGGATTAGATGATGAATATTTTATAAATTAGATATTAAAAAATACAAAAAGATAAGTCCTACGAGATTATCTAAGTAAAGAAGATAGAATCAAATTAAATTAAAAAAGAGATACATATTCTAAAAGTGAAGATATTATTTAATCTAATAAATAAAAAATTGAATCTTAAGATGAAACACGATAAATTTTATATTTACTAGATAATTGTGTATTAAAATAGCAACCCTTGAATATTCACCATAAAGAATTAATATCCTCACTTAATTTAAAATAATAACAAATTATTTATGATCTTATTGGATTGAGAGGATAAAAAGTTCAAATTGAAGATGACAATTTTTCTGATAATAAAGGCACCACTCATTCAAACTCTTTAAATTAAATTAAGTTTGAAAAAAGTGAATTAACAGACTAAACTCAAATTGCAAATGATGATTCTATATGAAATGACTTTAATAAAATTTTTATATATATCCAAAATAATGTTGAAAATGTAATATAATTGATGATATATAGAATCAAAATTAAATTATACATATAACAATTTTTTAAATGATTAATTCAATAGATTATTTTTCAGCTTCTTCGAATAATAATTGATAAAATAATATATTGAAATTATTAGACAAACTTTGTTATTTTATCTTGACAATTATTTTAGTAAGAAAGAGGTAAATTTAAATAATTATAATAATCTTTTTAATGACTTTTATAATTATTATTATCTGGTAATGTCTATAATATTTTTATATATCTAGTAGATCTATCTTAAAAATTATTTATATTGTATAAATACAAATATAAGAAAAAATCAGATTTTGAATTCCGATCAATGCCAATAGGCTCAATCAAGAGGTGTCAGTTTTTCATCACATATATATATATAATAGTATAATTAATTCCAGACAACCATAGGGTTGTAATTCATGTATAAGTCATAGACTTTAGTGACTATTAGTCATCATTTTATATCATATTATTAATGCATCAAATAGTAGTAAATTATTTGAATCAAGATTAAACTTGAACTACTAAATCAACACTTTACTATTTGATTAGATTGTAGATCAGAGATTTAGTGTTTAATGGTATCACTAATCTCTATATTATTAAATTCTATATAATTTTATTTGTTTGCCTCATATAATTGTATATACTAGAATAATAGATGGATATCTATTTAATCTCTCGTATTTGTCGTTGATTCATCACATTAATATATATATTTATAATAAATATAATCAGCTAATTGTAATGTCGTCTTAAATCAGAAGCAGAACTGTTATGAATTCCTCATTGTATTAATTTTAGTGATTACTGTTATAATTAAATAAATTAATCCTTAATTAAAATATGGGTTTGAATAGAGTGTTATTTTATAATACCAAATTGATTAAATTTACTATTATGCATGATTAAACTCATAAATAAAATATATAATCCATTAAATCACATATATTTAAAATAAAAAATAATCAATTTTACAATAATAATTATAATCAAAAGTATAATTATAAAGAAATAGTTTACAATTAAGAGTCTTGTTGTCTTTCAAAATATTAATTTAAAAATTTCTGTTTTTTAAAATCTATAAGAAACACAAATTAAAATTTCTCATCATTTTTTAATATATGAAAATTATGGATATCTTTTTATTTCTTATTTAAAAATTATTTATACTAATCTAATTTTCAGTATTGATTGATTAATGATATAATTTAATTAATCCAACTTTAAATGATAATTTTTTTTAAGTATTGAGATTATTGGATTAAAAAGGGATATTGGAATCTATTTATTTAATAGCTTAAATCTAAAAATTATAAAATCTAATATTCAATTATTTATCATGAATCAATTAGTTTTCTATAAATATATACAATTTAATTCAGGTTTTGAATTTACATTAAGTTTATAAAGTATATCAGATCTTCATATACTATTTATTTGATTTTTCTTCAAAAATTAGATGAAACATAAGATAAAATAGAAAAGGCCACTCACTTTATATTTCCTCATTGATTTGAGGAAATAATAAAATTAAACTCAATTATTCACTAATTAAAGATGTAAATAAAATGATGATATTCATACAAATACTTTATCTCTAATTTAAATAATAGTTAATGATTTTGCATATTTCTATTAAGATTATACTAAATTTTTGCTTAATTGAATAAAAAAAATAATGTCATCCCTTGTTACTTTATTTTAGTATAATTTTCATAAAATTAATATAGTAATCCTCAGTGTAATCATAGCTTAAAATCTTAAATGTAAATAATTTAATAAGCTTATTTACTTAGCAATTAGAAAGATGAGCAACTTTGTTAATTCTAATATTAGTACTTATCAAATAAAATAATTATTCCCATTAATATTCAAATTGAATGCAAGATAGTGTTTATTAAGAGAGTTATTCTATTAAATTATCATTATGCTTTAGAATATTAGAATGGGTTAATCCATGATAAATTTAATAATAATATATTTTATATATATTACAAAATAGTTCAATATCGCTGATGGATGAAATTTTAGAAATAGAGCCAAAATGAAAAATGAAAAAATGCAAACATTTTTGATAAAGACTATGATTGGTAACAATTCATAAATAAAAAAATAGACAATAACATTTAAGTTTATATTGATGATATTAGTAGGTATATATAAAGAGATTGATAGTGTCAAGTTAAGCGAAGTTTGAATAAGATATTGAAAAAGAATCTTTGAAAATTAGTAAAAGGATAAGGAAACAAGGAAAGAATTGTGTGGTTATTATTTTTTAGGGGGAGGAAATTATAATTAATATAAATAATTAATCTCCAAAGATTTATTAATTAATATATATTTCTAAATTCCTCAAATATTCCATGGATTAAAAAAAATCAAAATATACTATTCCGTCTTTCATTATTAAATTGCATACAATATTAGAAGACATAGTAATGAGTAATATATATAGGAAAAGAATAATTCGTCAATAATCACATGGGCACCATAAGGAGATGCATTTATTGTTTTAAATCCAGAATTATTGGAACAATAGATATTGCCTTAGCATTTTAAACATAATCACTTTACTTCTTTCTTGAGACAGTTAAATATGTATGATTTTTAGAAGATTCGAAATCAGAATAATTAATAAGTGTTTTGGCATTAAAATTTTTTAAAAGGAAAAGAGTATTATTTAATAATAAATTAGACATCTATTAGTTTTGTTAAAAAGAAGCTAAAACAAGATGTAATAAAAATAAAGGTTTAATCATTAATGTTATTAAAGATTTTTGATAGATGAAATCACTTCAATAAAATAAAATTTAAAATAAGATGAATAATAATTCACTCATATTATTAATTAACATGAGATCATATTATAATAACATAAATAAATATATTTAGATTTACAATAACAAAGAGAGTAAATGGAAATTAAATATGAGAAATTAAATGGATAAGTTTAATCTATAATAAGTTGGTATAGAGTAGATTCAACTAGTTAATATTTAGAAAGCTGTTCTTAAGAAGAAGAACGATCAGAATGTTTTTATTCCTAAATTCTCTGATTATATTTATCATCATATTAAATATAATTAAAATTTTAAATTGAAAAAAGACTAACAGTTTATTATAAATATTGAATTTCTAATTTCTATTTTTTTATTGATCCTAATTGATTTAAATATATTCTGTTTATTTTTGTTATGCCAATAAAATTCTATTCAAATTAATATAGATTTTAAGTCTAAATTCATTCATTGAAGTATTAATTAAATTTAATATTTATTTTTATTGCTAAAATATAATAAATTATAACTACAATCTACCTTTCTAAGTATTTAGATTAATTCTTAAATTATTAGGAAGAAAAATAAAATATCATTTTTAAGATGGATTCCTTTAATGTTTCCCACTATTTCTTCTAGACCTAATATTTAAAAATTATGTAGCTCTTCTAGAATCGACTTCCTCTGGACTACGAGATTCTTCATTAAAAGAGTATAATTATAATTTCTCTTCAACATCAGCTTATTAATCTTTTAATTGCTTATTTAATTCATCATATGTTTTTTTCAATATTTTAAGATCATTTTATTCTATTCCTTTGATATCTTTTTCAATATTTTTCTCCAAAATTTTTCTATAAAATTATTTTTAGAGATCTGTGCAAGTTGGTCTTTAACCTTTACTTCGATTTAATAATCTGAATAAAATATATTAAGTACAATTCAAATAACATATTTTATTAAGTCTCTATTGCATTACGAAAAGTTTCTAGATTTTATGCCATATAATCAATATTATCATCATTATTATAATGATGTACATTCCTATTAAATGATTAATCTTCTTCAGATTCTGAATTCTTTTTCTGAATTGGCTTAGAGAATTTTGATTATTATAATTAAGGATCTGTTGGAGGTTTAATTAGACCTTAACTTACTTATAAGGATTCAGATAATTATTAAGATTAATCAATTTGACCTTATTAAGAAGATTCTAAATTTTATGTTTATTTAATTTGTTTTTTTATTTGTAATTAATCAAGATTTTTGTATTGATCATCTTCAATTAATTCATCTTATTCAATATTAGCAAGACTTTAGATATTCATAGTAGTTTATCCTCTATGTATACCAGATTATGATCGAAAAACAGCAGAATGAGGTAATTATGAATTACTTAATGCACTTTCCTAAGATCTTTAAACAAAGGTATTTGTCTTTAATTTATTTTATGATCTTTATTTCATAAATACAGATCTTGATTTTTCAAATTCTTATTTAATATGTTCTTCCAATGATGCAACTTTTTCTTTTACTTATTATTCTCTAATTTATTCTTCTTTTTCTGTATTAAGTTATATTAATTTTAATTTATTTTCAATTTCTTCTTCTAAATTTTTAATTTTATTAGTATAAGTTTAATCAATATTTTTTATTTTTTAATTAACTTCTAAAGTATTTTAAATAAAGTCTGTTGTTTCTCTTGATAATTATTCTTTAGTAAATTATAGAAGTTAATAATTTAAAGCTAAATAATTTTGTTGATTTTATTAGATAATTTTATTACTTAATTGCTATGTTAATAATTGATTCTACATAGCTTAATTGATGATATTAACTTCTTTTTAGTTAAATTCTCTTTTATGATATTATTACATATGTAAATCAAATTATGAATCTGTTGTTACTACTTTATCACAATATAGACATTATATTAATTAAGTATTTGTTATTTTTTGCATGAATTTATCTTTTTGATTTAATTCTAATCCTAATTTTTTTTTGGCTGCTTTAATATTTACTTTACTTTGTATTAGTCTTTTTTCTATATTTTCAATCTGAGAATATGATTAAATGATTACTTGTTCTGAAATATCTATTGTTGATTTTGCAATATATTTATCATACTCTATCAATTCTTCAGTAGAATGTTCATAATATTATATGGCTAATTGATGTAAATGTAATAATTTTGATAAATATACTGGATGTACAGTTTAAAAGTCTTCTAATTAAATTTCAAACTAAATTTTTTTTATTATATTTACTTTGTAGATGATATTGAGATATTATTGTAATTATTCAAAATCTGTGCATCCTGAATAGTTCTGTATTTCTTTCCAAAAATTAGACATTTATAAATGATTATTATAAATAATTAAAAATTTATTATATATATTATGGGAAGGAATAAAATTGACATTTAATATCTTAAAGATGATCGTATAAGGAATGTAAATTTATTTAATTAAATACTTATTGTACTATTTTTAGAACCTCTATATAATTTAATAACTAATTAATATTATTTTAGATCACATTCAATAAAAGAAAAAATGGTTTATTGAAAAAAGCATGTGAATTAGCAGTTTTATGTAATATCAAAATGCTTTTGTGTTTTACAGATTTAAATGGAATTGTATATTAATTTACATCAAATGATAATATTGAAATGGAATTGATTTAATAATATCATAAGAAAGTGTTTACTAAATAAGATGTACATTAAAATATTATATATTTATTAAGTATCCAGGATTTCAAAAGAGAAAAGAAGGTGAATCATAATCAGATGTAGAAAGTGAATAAAGTGTTGAATAAAAAAGAACAAGAGCTTCAAATAAATAATTAGAAATATAATAATAATAAACCAATTAGTAATAAATTATTAATGGATAACAATAAATGAGATTAAGAAATAAAATGTTAGAAAATGTAGAAAAAATACAATAATAATAATTATAATAAGATTCAAGAAAAATAGTTAAAATAGAAAATAAATAAGAAGACTAAGATATTTAGAAATCTAAAATGAGAGTTAAAAATAATTAAAAAAATAATGATCAAATAGTAGTCAATGATATTATTGATCATCAATAAGCTAGAAATTTTGATGATCTCTATTAATGTGGTAATTAATATGATGAATAATCAAATTCATAATAAGATCATCAAGATTATAAATAGTAATTATCTATGTTTACTAATTCTAATCCAATTAAACTTATGCAAATGGATAGTTTACTCAACGGTATCAATAACAGTAAACCGAATAATTTTCTAAGTGAACAATATAATAGGTTTATAAACAAAGACAGAGTATATCTTAATTATTAATATAGATTGATTCCTTAAATAATAGTAAAGTATTATAACCAAGTGTGTAATTTATTGTTCCACCTTAAGTATATTTTAATATACCACCATCTCCTATTAGTCAAGCAATGAATAAAGTATATGTGGGAGTAGATGAACCAATGGAATATAATATTGGACAATCATAATATATGGATGGATTCAAAAAATATACAAAATGAAAAATTAATAATTAATATAAATCTATATTATATAATATATAATATTATGGTTCTATATAATATAAATTAATAAATTTCATTATTAAATACATTTTCATTGTAAATTTTGTACTTAAATTTCATCAATTATTTTTTATTTATCATGTTATTAATTATCTTCTTATTCAAATAAATCAAAATCTTCATCTATAAATTATAGATTTATATGATCTTCTATTTCTTGATATTCTATTACTGGTGATTTTGATGCCTATACCTAATTTTCTCTAGGAGATTTAAATGTATTATCATAATTCAAATTTAATTTAATTCCTTAAGATTTTAATTTCTTTAAAGCTTCACGTGCAATTAATCCTTAAATAGCAAACTATAATCTAGATGTCTAATATATGTTACTATGCACAGTTAATTTATTCTTGGCTATTGTCTTAGCATTTTTATAGAATTTTTAAAATTATTCTAGATCAACAGTTTTACCCTAAAATCTTACTTCAGATATAGGACCAAAATTAAATAATCGTTTTAATTGCAATTTCGAAAATTAAGGATAATAAATCTCAATTACTTATTAAATAAGTTCTTATTCCATTAAAAATTCATTGAAAGAAGATATAATAATACTGAATAACATAAGACTTGAAAATATTGAACCTACATCAGCTAGAACTTAAGCAACTTTAATATATTAAACTACTTTTTTTTGAGTTACAAATGACATAGATAATTCAGTTATAAACATTGCAGAAAAGTCAGTCTTAAAACTTGGTCCTAAACTTTAAGTTTGAACTAATGAATCACTAAAAATCCATCTGGAATTATAAGCAGGAAGAAGAGGACCATCATCTATTTCTAAGAGTTGAGCCTGCATAATCAATCGTTAATAAAAAGTTGTGGTTCTATCAATAGCAAAAATCAATTCTGTTGACATATTATTTATGCTTCTCTAAAATGAATTATATTATTCTGTTATAACAGTTGTCTTAATCAAGAGATTATTTTAACTAATTTTGTATGATAATACAAATACTTAAAAAATTAATCTATAATAGTATCATCAGCACAATTTCTGTGTTACTTTGAATTACATACTTATAATCCAATCAAGATTTTATGAGGATAATCCCCTTCTCCATTCTAGAGACTTAAATTTTTTGGAGTGTATAATTATGTTTCAAAGTTAATCTCTTCATTTTTGTATATATTCTCATATGGAATAAATACTATGGAATACTTATTATTATTNCTTAAGTATATTTTAATATACCACCATCTCCTATTAGTCAAGCAATGAATAAAGTATATGTGGGAGTAGATGAACCAATGGAATATAATATTGGACAATCATAATATATGGATGGATTCAAAAAATATACAAAATGAAAAATTAATAATTAATATAAATCTATATTATATAATATATAATATTATGGTTCTATATAATATAAATTAATAAATTTCATTATTAAATACATTTTCATTGTAAATTTTGTACTTAAATTTCATCAATTATTTTTTATTTATCATGTTATTAATTATCTTCTTATTCAAATAAATCAAAATCTTCATCTATAAATTATAGATTTATATGATCTTCTATTTCTTGATATTCTATTACTGGTGATTTTGATGCCTATACCTAATTTTCTCTAGGAGATTTAAATGTATTATCATAATTCAAATTTAATTTAATTCCTTAAGATTTTAATTTCTTTAAAGCTTCACGTGCAATTAATCCTTAAATAGCAAACTATAATCTAGATGTCTAATATATGTTACTATGCACAGTTAATTTATTCTTGGCTATTGTCTTAGCATTTTTATAGAATTTTTAAAATTATTCTAGATCAACAGTTTTACCCTAAAATCTTACTTCAGATATAGGACCAAAATTAAATAATCGTTTTAATTGCAATTTCGAAAATTAAGGATAATAAATCTCAATTACTTATTAAATAAGTTCTTATTCCATTAAAAATTCATTGAAAGAAGATATAATAATACTGAATAACATAAGACTTGAAAATATTGAACCTACATCAGCTAGAACTTAAGCAACTTTAATATATTAAACTACTTTTTTTTGAGTTACAAATGACATAGATAATTCAGTTATAAACATTGCAGAAAAGTCAGTCTTAAAACTTGGTCCTAAACTTTAAGTTTGAACTAATGAATCACTAAAAATCCATCTGGAATTATAAGCAGGAAGAAGAGGACCATCATCTATTTCTAAGAGTTGAGCCTGCATAATCAATCGTTAATAAAAAGTTGTGGTTCTATCAATAGCAAAAATCAATTCTGTTGACATATTATTTATGCTTCTCTAAAATGAATTATATTATTCTGTTATAACAGTTGTCTTAATCAAGAGATTATTTTAACTAATTTTGTATGATAATACAAATACTTAAAAAATTAATCTATAATAGTATCATCAGCACAATTTCTGTGTTACTTTGAATTACATACTTATAATCCAATCAAGATTTTATGAGGATAATCCCCTTCTCCATTCTAGAGACTTAAATTTTTTGGAGTGTATAATTATGTTTCAAAGTTAATCTCTTCATTTTTGTATATATTCTCATATGGAATAAATACTATGGAATACTTATTATTATTTACCAGAATCTGTCATCTCAGTTCCTTAGTAAATTATCATTGGCACAAGAACTTAAGCAGTCTTATTAAAAGGATTAATCTAAGTTCCTAAAATTTAAAAACTCAAAAAATCTCCTATATCATTTATTAATAAATTTTCAGTATATTCATAAGCTATTGACTATATGGGATTAACTTCATTTTTTCCAAATTAATATATTTTGTAACAAAAGTAAATGAAACTTACTAAATATATTAGTATTGAAATAATTCCACCAAGAACTGTTTGATAGTTATTTTATTCTTATTTAATTTTTGGTTTATAAACAGCTCCAAATTTATCAAAAGATGCAATAAAATCCATAATAAATTAAAAATATATATATTAATTATAATTTTTTCTCTTAATAATTTTGATATATATAACTCTAAATTCATCTTAATCAGTGATTAATAGATAATTTAATTTATTTACTGATATAATAATGGAATATAAGTTTAATGACTATCATTTGAATCATTTAACATTGATAATAATAAAAAATGAAAACTTCTATATTAAAACGGATTATATTTATATAAATATTAAATTACCTAATGTAAAAATTCTTAGCTTTTACATTGACTATTTATTTAGTCTGCTCTGTAGACCCAAGCATGGTGTAATTGAGCACTGAAAAAATTGATGAGTTATCTTAAAGTAATTTAGGAAGATTTATTATTGAGATGGCTCAGACTCATGCAGAAATGAGAGGGCCTTTAGGTATAAATGAATAATTAATATAAAAGATGATTTAGTAACAGCAATTGGTGATTTGGAAAATGAATTAACTGTTGAATTGCAATAATTAGAAGATGATTTTACTAGATCAACTAATTAACATTAAATAACTCAAGAAAACTTAGATATTAATATAGGTCAAACAGAAATTAACATATTTAATCAAAAAGACTTTATTGATGCTATTTTATTACCAAGCATTGATTAAACTAATTAAAAAATAGATAGATTAAATGGTTTTATGAATGACAATAGAGATTCATTAGCAAGAGAAACATTAAATAGATAAAATTAACATTAAGCTTATTTAGACAGAGGTAATATAAATAAATAAATAAAATAATTTTAGTGAGTGAACATTAAGGTGCTATAAGTGCAGTAGATGAAGCTTTATAATTGATTAATTCATTAATTAATGGAAATATAGCATTCACTGAGAAAGCAACAATTCATTAAGCTATAAAAAGAGTTAATAATAAGATTACAAAAACTAGCACTATTCATCCACTTGTTGAAGCTTTACTTTAATTGACTTAAAATTTCTCTGATTAAGGATAAGCCAAGAAAATTAGAGATTTATTATAAGATACTAGAAATTAATTAGTTGCTAGTTTAAATTAAGTAATATTGATTTAATATATAATTAATTAGGAAAATACTGATGAAAAATAGATTGAAGAGACTTGGGTTGAGAGATAAAAAACATTAAATACTGAATATTAAGAATTTAAGAGATCTCTTCTTGAAGCTACTTATGTATTGGCTGCATATTAAAGTATTAATAAATATTTTATATATTACAGATAAATTAAAATCAACTTAAGAAGCCTTAGCTTAAAATGAACTTGATTTATAAAATTACAATGAATCTTTATGTAAAATAAATATTATATATATAAAATAGAATAGGATAAAGATGCTTAGGCTTAAGAAACTTAAATTTATAATGAATTGAAGGCTCAATATTAAATTCAACTTTAAACTACTAGAAATGCTAAAGATTTTGTTAACTCTGCAGAATTTAGCACAGTAATTAGAAACAAATTAAATTAAGGGGGATTAGTATGATTAATGAGAATTAAATATTAATATGTAAATTACATAAAATTCACATTCTCCACCACCTGCAAAAAAATAGCATCTCAAATTGCATGTTTAACCTATTCAATTACCAGATGCAAATGTATTGAATAAAACAGTAGGCAATTCAGATCCAGAAATTGGTAGTAAATCAATTAAAACTGAAAGAGTCACTGCATTCAAGCAAAATAAAAAGTTTCACATTAAGTAAGTTTAACACAACACTCATAACAGATTATAAACAAATCATCCGCGGCTTATGCAATAAGAAAATGACGGTTTATCTTTGATATTGTATAAATAATCTTAGACATCAACATCAGAGAAAATTATCACAAGTATCATCATCTTATTTAGATAATAGAATAATTAGTCAATGATTTGAGAAATAAAATAGATTAACAGGACTCTGTTATCAGATTATAAGAGTTCAAAATTAATAGATTACAATAGGAACTTATATCACAAAAATAATATTGCTCAAATTTATTAACTAAAATATATTAAAATGATCCTAAAAGTTAATATATTAGTACAGTTAAGGTTCCTAAATTAGGTTTTTAATTTCAAGAAAACACATAATTAAATTCATAATAATAATCTTTATTAAAGATATCAAATAATCATGAATATACAAAAATTAAGAATCTACAAAACTAAATTATATTATTTAAATAAAAATAGAGTGAATTCAAAAATTTCGTTAAAGATACTTTTTTATCTATTAAAAAGATAATTTAATCTTTTGAAATATAAACAAAAGAAAAAATTTAAAGTGTTTAAATGGAAAATAAATTAATATTGAATTCTCTTGAAGAAATGATCAAAAATAACAATATGTAATTAAATATTTATTAAAATAGTTAAAATAAAGAAGAACTAAGTAAAATTAATTAAAAAGCTGAAATCATTTGTTAAGAATTAGTTCTTGCTGAAACATAAAAGGAGGTCTACTATTAAAAATGTCTTTCATTATTAAGTTGATCTCATCTTATCTATTACATCAATTTATAATTATTTATAAATATATCAAAAACATTCTTTATATAATATTTAGTACAGACATCTTCTTAAGTATATGTATAAATAATATAAACTAAGAATTTATATCAAATATNAATGAACTTGATTTATAAAATTACAATGAATCTTTATGTAAAATAAATATTATATATATAAAATAGAATAGGATAAAGATGCTTAGGCTTAAGAAACTTAAATTTATAATGAATTGAAGGCTCAATATTAAATTCAACTTTAAACTACTAGAAATGCTAAAGATTTTGTTAACTCTGCAGAATTTAGCACAGTAATTAGAAACAAATTAAATTAAGGGGGATTAGTATGATTAATGAGAATTAAATATTAATATGTAAATTACATAAAATTCACATTCTCCACCACCTGCAAAAAAATAGCATCTCAAATTGCATGTTTAACCTATTCAATTACCAGATGCAAATGTATTGAATAAAACAGTAGGCAATTCAGATCCAGAAATTGGTAGTAAATCAATTAAAACTGAAAGAGTCACTGCATTCAAGCAAAATAAAAAGTTTCACATTAAGTAAGTTTAACACAACACTCATAACAGATTATAAACAAATCATCCGCGGCTTATGCAATAAGAAAATGACGGTTTATCTTTGATATTGTATAAATAATCTTAGACATCAACATCAGAGAAAATTATCACAAGTATCATCATCTTATTTAGATAATAGAATAATTAGTCAATGATTTGAGAAATAAAATAGATTAACAGGACTCTGTTATCAGATTATAAGAGTTCAAAATTAATAGATTACAATAGGAACTTATATCACAAAAATAATATTGCTCAAATTTATTAACTAAAATATATTAAAATGATCCTAAAAGTTAATATATTAGTACAGTTAAGGTTCCTAAATTAGGTTTTTAATTTCAAGAAAACACATAATTAAATTCATAATAATAATCTTTATTAAAGATATCAAATAATCATGAATATACAAAAATTAAGAATCTACAAAACTAAATTATATTATTTAAATAAAAATAGAGTGAATTCAAAAATTTCGTTAAAGATACTTTTTTATCTATTAAAAAGATAATTTAATCTTTTGAAATATAAACAAAAGAAAAAATTTAAAGTGTTTAAATGGAAAATAAATTAATATTGAATTCTCTTGAAGAAATGATCAAAAATAACAATATGTAATTAAATATTTATTAAAATAGTTAAAATAAAGAAGAACTAAGTAAAATTAATTAAAAAGCTGAAATCATTTGTTAAGAATTAGTTCTTGCTGAAACATAAAAGGAGGTCTACTATTAAAAATGTCTTTCATTATTAAGTTGATCTCATCTTATCTATTACATCAATTTATAATTATTTATAAATATATCAAAAACATTCTTTATATAATATTTAGTACAGACATCTTCTTAAGTATATGTATAAATAATATAAACTAAGAATTTATATCAAATATAGTAAAATAATTATATACATAATTATATTATTACATTTATTAATCTCTTATAGATATATTTAATCAAATATAAAATTATATTTTATTATTTTTCTAATGTAATATTTTATTATTTGATAAAATAATATATAAAAATTGATAATTTTGGAAGAAAAATGGATTAGGGATGGGAAGTAAGTGAAGAACACTACTTAGAGCATTTAATATAAAATCCTCTATTTTTAAAGAGGTAGGGATCTTAATAAATTCATAAGCCTGCAATTTTGGCATCTTAAGAATCACCAAAAACAAGGATGAGATTTAGAACTACTTCTATGCCAAAATTAGATGAGAGCAGCAAACCAAATTCGCCTAACAAGAAACCAGCTTTAGAACCATAGACAAAAATGGAATCCCAAAATAAATATTAGCAATCATCAATTATATTGAAAACACCTATTAGATAACAAAAATTATAATTATATCCACAGAAAATATCTCTTAGATCTACCTTATTTTAAACCCCCTTAGAAGAGTGTAGTCCAATAAAATTAGGTAGAACACTTTAACCTAAGCAATTTAATCCTGTACTTTAGAATATAAATGACATCCATTATAATGGAATGAGAGGTTAAACTAGATCAGTAAAGAGTGCTTCAATGAGCAATCTTTTAAATAATGATGAACGTGTAATTTAAAAGAAAAGATTAGAAGATTTTGTCTTCAAAATTAGACCATAACGAAATGCTAGTATTATTTATGTAAACTCTTAAAGCTCACTACAGACTACTACAGATGATATTGTACTAAGAAAAATCTAAAAATGATTGAAATAATATTTATATTTAATGACTAATTATTTATTGTAACAGATTAAGGATAGACAAAATAAAGATTAACTTATTAATGTAATTAAAACTGATAGACATCCTATGTTTAAAATAATGGATTAGGAATTTGCATTGCCATCTATGAAGAATGAATAAAAATATAATGAGTTTATGGGTCATATTAGATAACTTTTAGATAGAAACAAAGTTAAATCTTAAAATAACATAAATCCCTTAAGAATTCAGAATAATTTTATTCTGAATAAAGGAACTAAACAAGGTTCTAGGAAAAAGTTACTTGAAACAAAAGTCAATGATGAGTAATAATAATAAAAATAAGTGCAAAATTAATAGATTTTAAGTGATCCAACAGATTCATAGACCTAAAGAGTATTATAGTATTAATAACGGATTGGATTAGTAAGGAAACATGATAAGACTGAGTTATAATTAAGATAGATTGCATAGAAACATAATATAAAATGGTGAATTGATTTATTAATTATATACTTATGAATCAAATAGTTTCTGGGATTCAATTCAATGTAGGTGCTAGATATGAAGTTAAAAAATTATTAGGAGCTGGTGCCTATGGACATGTTGCTCTTGCTATTGATAAGAAACAAACTGATCCAGAGAAACAGAAAGTGGCTATTAAGAAACTACATCTAGTAAGAGATGAAATTGATGCAAAAAGAGTGTTAAGAGAAATTAGAATTTTAAGAACAATGCAGCATGAGAATATTTTACATTTAGAGAACCTAATCTATGATGAATCCAATAAAGAGTTAGAGTTTGGAGAAATTTATTTAGTTACTAATTACCTTGAAGTAGATCTCTATAAGATTATTAAAAGTGGATAGAATCTTACAGATTAACATTACCAATATATAATGTAATTACTATATTACTATTTAGATATCAATTACTTAAAGGGTTAAAATATTTGCACTCTGCAAGTATTGTGCATAGAGACATAAAGCCAAGTAATATATTGGCTACTGAAAATTGTGAAATATGCTATTGTGATTTTGGATTGGCAAGATAAATAGAAGAGTTGGAAGCAGAGGATAATAGATGCCAAAATATGTTGACAGAATATGTTGTAACAAGTATTAAATATATATATAATATTTAGGGTATTATAGAGCTCCTGAAGTAATGTTATCATCACATGAATATTCAACTGCAATTGATATTTGGTCATTAGGATGTACATTTGCTGAATTAATTACTAAACAAATTTTATTTAAAGGAACTAATTATATATAAATGATAAAACTTATATTTGATACTTTAGGTAAACCTTAGGATGATGATTTATAATTTATTACAAATAGTAATGCAAAGAAATATGTGAATAGTCTTTAAACAAAATAAAAATGTTCAATTGGAAGTGTAATAAAATATTCAAATCCACTTGCAATTGATTTGTTAGATAAAATGCTAGAAATCAATCCTAAAAAAAGAATTACAAGTGCTTAAGTACTAAATTCATATATATTTTTCAGGCATTAAATCATCCATATTTAGAATCTATAAGAGATCCTGATGATGAACCTTCATTTGAAGGAAATCTAGATTCTCAATTTGAAAATGATAATACTATATTATTGAAAGATTTGAAAATTTTAATCTTAAATGAATTAAATTTGATGAAATAAATTAATAATGAACCATTGATAAATATTCAATTAGAAGTTGAAAAAAGAGAACAAATAGTAAAAATAAATTAATAAAAAAAATAATAATTGAAATAATAACAACAAAAATAATGAAAAATCTTTTATTATTATTTAATTGAAATACATAAATATATTTTAAATTAACTCATTACTTCTTCTATTTTAAGTATTTTATTATCATAATAAATAATTTATTTAATGTAATAATTTTAACAGAAAATTTTAGTAGTATTAATAATTAAAGTTTGAAATGGCTGATCTAAAATTCAAAATTCCTCCAAATAAAACTTTGGAGTAGGAGAAGCAAAAATTACTTAAAGAGAAAGATGAGATAGTTTTTAGATTTGAATAATAATGGATTAAAGATTTGGATGAAGTTGGTAAATACAAAAAAGGAATCAGAATTAAAAACTATGTTGATGGAAGTAAGTATGAAGGTGAAGTAATTAATGAAAAAAGAAATGGAAAAGGAATTTATCATTATAGTAATGGAGATAAATATGTAGGAGAATGGAAAGATGATAGGTAATGTAGATTAAATAAATTAGATTTCATGGAAGAGGAGTTTATATATTTGCAAATGGAGAAAGGTATGATGGAGAATTAAGAGAGAGTGCTAAACATGGAAGAGGAGTTTATTTATATGTTAATGGAAATAAATATGAAGGAGAATGGATGAATGATAAAAAGAATGGAAAAGGTTCTTATACTTACTTTGCAACAAATGAAAAATATGATGGACAATGGTTAGATGGAGAGAAACATGGAACTGGTATTTACATATATACTAGTGGTGATAAATATTATGGAGAGTGGAGAGATGGCGAAAAATGTGGAAAAGGTGTTTTTGAATATTAAAATGGATCAAGATTTGAAGGAGAGTTTTTAGAAGATAAAGCCAATGGTTTTGGAGTTATGCAATATTCAAATGAAGATAGATATGAAGGAGAATGGACTGGAGGATAAAAGCATGGTTAAGGCACTTATTTTTATGCAGATGGAGCAAAATATTAAGGAGAATGGAGAAATGAAAATTAGAATGGAAATGGAATATTTTATTATGTTAATGGTGATAGATATGAAGGAACTTTTGTTGATGGTGAACGTTGTGGCAAAGGAATCTATTATTATTTAAGTGGAGATAAATATGAAGGAGAATATAGGAATGATGTTAGAAATGGTTAAGGAGTTTTAATGTTAACTAATGGTGATGTGTTTATGGGAGAATGGGCTAATGGAACAAAGAATGGTTAAGGACGCTATGAATATGCAAACGGAGATTATTATGATGGTTTCTTTTAGGATGGTAAGAGATAAGGAAAAGGAACATATCATTGGAAGAATGGATAAAAGTATGTTGGTTAATGGAAAAATGATAGAATGGATGGAGAGATGGAATCGATTGTTGCCATAAAATAAAGTAAATTTTCGAATGACTACTTAATTGATGTATGAATAAACTTATAATTAATGAAAATTTTAATTGTAAATGGGTATGGGAAATGTCTAAAAGGATTCAGAAGTTCCGAACATTATAAATAAATCATAAAAGATGTATTAATCAATTCTAAATGCAGTTGCTTACAGGAAAGAAGGAAATGATAGATACAGAGTTAGAGTTCTTTATTGCAGATAGAGACACAATTGATGATTTTCTATATGAGATTGATAGTTCATTTGTAAGGATTGAATGTGGCAAGATGTTTGATTCTATTGATTTAATATTTTTTGAAGGAGATGCCAATCTTAGACCATGGTCACCTAATGCATATAAATTTCTAATTCTATTGAGAATGTGTATGAGAAGCAATAAAATACTATTTGCTTCTTCCTTTGCTATGCAAGGATTAGTGTTCTTGATAGCATCTAATATTGAGTGTGTATATTTGTACTTTACTTTAGTAAATTTCGATAATAAATGGATTAAATGGAAGTTAATTGGGAGACTTGTCTAAAATAAAAAAATCAATGAATGAAATTCGTATGAGTGATTATTTCCTTGATAATGTTACTGGAGATTTGTACAGTTTCAATTACGATACTGGTGAATGGGTAGGTAAAGGCAACGCAGGACTACATAGTAGAAGAGCAGCTGAGGAGTTCAAGACTATAGGTAAGTATATAGTAAAAGCACCTTAATATAAAGTATAAAGGATGAAAGAAATAGATTAATTATATGTATCAAAAGAAAATGAAGTTGTTTGTTCATTGAGAAAGAACTCTATGCATAATTATTTATTCTATGATTTACCATTTGAATTTGTTGTTCCATTCAAGAATTCATGGGATGTTCATCCATTTAATTTTGTAAATCCCAAAAAAACATTTCAAACTATGGCTGATTGTGAAAAAGGTGAATAATTCTATTTTAAATTTTAGGTCCTCTTGTTATTTGTATTTCTGACAACATAGTGGCTACTTAATTTTCAATTAGAACTAAATATAAAGATACTATATAGATGTTAAGAAACTTTATGGGTTATTAGCTTAGTAATCATAATTAATATCTATTATATAGCCAAACTATGCTCAGGAAGGGCCTAAACTATACCAATAGAGATTGCTTCAATAAAGCATAACGATAATGCTATGGATATCTACTTAGAACAATTAAGTAGGAGTAAATATAGTAATTAGAAAACGATAAAATTTAATGTAATTACAGAATTTCATCATGCTGGATTTGCAGCTAAGAAATCAAATTAACTTGATGTAGTTGTAAATAATGCTATTGGCAAGAAGAAATTCAAATAAACATAATAAAAACTTAATCCAAAAGACTTAGATTAACTCTTATTATATGTAAAAAATAATTTTATTAATAGAATCATTCCCCTTAATTTTAATAAAATTAGTAATAAGATGCTGATAGGAAACCAAGTATTTATAGTGCTTAACCTAATCATTATGAAGAAAAAACTTAAACTTTTTAAAAAACGAATTTAGAGATTATTTAAATTCTCCATCCGTCTATTGATGCTACTATTTTTACATAAAATAAACCTTTTTGGGTTCCAGGATATTTATCTTAGTTTCGTCTTTAAAAAAGTCAAATGAGCAAGAAATAAAATACAACTAGTGAAGATGGTCCATCTAATACTAATATATTGACTGAATTTAAATAAAATACTACTCCAAGAATGCCTAGAACTTCTTCTTAACCTCATTTTAGAGTTATCTAAAAAGATAAATGGATGACAAACAAAAATTTTTAAGTTTGAATATATATTTATTATTATTTTTAATGAGTCTAACTTTATTAAATAAGAAATATTAGGCATTGATGCTTAGAGAAAAGTAAATAGAAGATCATTTTGATCCTGTTGTTAGGCATAAGAAATAACATCATAATATTGAAGATCTTCGTTAAGATTATTAAGAAGACTTAGAGAACTATGGTATTTTCATATTACTATATTTTTTTAAGGATTTTCTAAATAATCTTTTAAAGCCAAAAAAGAATAAGAACTAGAAAATTTATAAATAACACCTGAAAAATCACTTAGACCAATGACTGCATTAATATCTCCTAGTCAGAGTTCAGTTTAAAGATAAAGACCTATTACAGCACCTGGTCTAAATACATAAACTAAATAAATGATGAAAATTGATGAAAATGAAGAAATGATATAATTGCCATATCATTCAGAGACTAAATATTGGAGAAATACAAAAAAATATGATAAAAGTTTCAATTAATTAATATTATTAATTAGCAAATTAGAATGTTGTTAGGAATCATTCAGCTTTAAAAAAGGTATCATTAGGAGGAGATTGTGAAAATTATAATATTGAAGAATAAGAGATCAAAAATCATAATATGATTGAAAAATAAATTATTAAAAATCGTTTGCTATCACCAACCTATGTTTCATAAAGACATTAAGTAAATGATAGAGATATCTAATAATTAACAGAAGGTTTTTATTAACATGTAGCATTAATAAAAGGCACTTCTCAAATTAAGAAAAATAAACCATAACCTGGTTTCTAATTATATGATAATCTATTAGATTTGATGAAATTAATTAATTCAGAAAAATCTAATAAAAGTCCAATAATTACAAAAACTTCATCTTAAGGATTTAGGCCTTAAACTGCTATTAGTAGGTAAACCAAAGGCAATTAAAGACCTTTCAGTAGTAAACTCCAATCAGTAGGTGTTAGAGCATTCTAATAGTGATTTTGTATTTTCTCCCAATATTTTTAATTATCATTATGAAGACTTCTTTATCATAAATGTCAAGGATATTTATTGTTATCAATTGCATATTCAAATATAAATATAAATTATTTATTTTAACCAAAATAAAATATATATGATGATTAATTATATTAATCTTGTTTGATAAATTATTCTTATTACAATATAAGAATAATTTATTTTTAGTATAATTACCCTTCTTTATTAGATTTTTCTTAATGTAAATAGTAATAATTAAACTATATTAATTAAAGACATTATAATCATATATTGATTCATTATATATATCATTATTTTGTGATTAACTTTTTTAGTGACTTTCTTAAAAAACATTATTGAAATTAATATATATAATATAATGAATTTCTTAGATAAAAGAAATAAAATAGAAATTCTTTAAGAGAGAGCTGCTCTTTATAATAAAGTCTAAGATGAACTATACGAAAAGGAAGTCCCAGAATTTGAACATACAAAATTGATCAAACCAGTTTTAGATTAACATATTGAAGAGTTCGCTACATAATAACCTCCTGCTAATCTTAATAGTGTAACTAAATCATTGCCTAAACCTCCAGTTTCAGTTTTGACTACTTCTGCATTGATTTCATTAGGACTTGATAATTATGGAACTATGACTACATAAATGTAGGATGTAAATCGTAAAAGAGAGGAAAATTTTAATCATTATAAGTAACTAAAAAAGGAAGGACGATTAGAAGAACTTGTGAAACCATTAAAACAATAGAAAGAAAAAGATTAAGCTACTCAAGCAATTTTATTTAAGGTTGATCATCTTAAAGATTATGAAGATAAAACTCATACAGGATATGCTTAACATAAATCAGCACACAGAACATATTATGGTATTAGATTATAAAATATAATAATATAGTTGTTGATGAGACAATGAAAGAAATGATTAATGAGCCAAACATCAAAAATCATTTAATGAAAAATGATTTAAATACATTTTTCGATTCTTATCTTAAACATAAAAATACTTTAAGAGGTGCAGTCAAATAACCAGCTCGTGCAAAATGAATTATATTAAGTTCATATTATATAAATGTTATTAATAGAAAATTATAAATAATTTATAATAGATTAAGAATGATATTGATACAATTGATGGATATATCTTGAAAATTTATAGATTCTAGAATTAAAGAAGAAGTAGTTTATAATAAGTTATTAAATATAAATGATATTAATCACAAAATTGTGCAAAGACATGGAGATTCTTGATTTGCCATATCAGTGTTGTATTATTTCCAATTTTCAACTATTGAAATCAATTGATCTCATACCTATAAATACTTCATTCTTCTATTTAAATTAAATACGATGTTTTTTCTCTCCATGTTTAATTATATTTCCATAGCTATCTTTTCTTATATCAATATCACCATCTGATTATGAATGACTTACTTTCAAAATAGGACTCAATTTTTTGGGTGATTCACTATTAAAAACTGATTGATTTATTCCAAATTACTAATAATAATTTGATTCAGACATTTTTATAATAAATTATTTGATTTATTCATAAATTTGTTTCCTTCCATACTTTTTCAACATAAGGCTTGGATATTTCTAACAATCTTTTTAAATAGCCTTTCTTTTAGGCCAACTTTAAAGCAACCAGAAAAGAAACAAATAGAGTTGCATTAACTACATGTCTTTAAGGTAACTCAGCAAATTTGAAACTATTAGATATCTTATTTATTTATACAATAATGACAATGTTTATAACTTATGTTTAGTAAATGGAGGATATCTAATATTGAATGGATATATATTCAAAGTAGATTTAGTAAATACAGGTTTTGCATGACAACAACTTTTGAATCCTGTTATACCATGATAGGCACCATAACCACTATTTCCAACACCACCAAAAGGTAAATTTGGATCTAATATAATAATTACATATACTCAATAAATGAAATAAGGAATCATTATGTACTATAGCACCAGATGAAGTTTATTATTCTAGTAGTTTTTTATTTTTGCTACTGCTACCATAATAATACAAAGCCAATGGTTTGGGTCTAGAATTTATAAATTGAATGACTTCATTAATATTATCAAATGTAAGCACAGGAAGAATGGGACCAAATATTTCTTCAGTCATTAATTTAGATTAGACTTATGGTTATAAAATAATAGTAGGTTCAACATATCTTTGATCTACATTTACTTAACCTCCTATAATTACTTATCCATTATGATCTTTAAGAAGTTCTTTTAATCTTTATGTATGAAACTCAGTCACAATTTTAGAATAATCATTTGATTTTTAAGGATTTTCTCCAAAAAAATTTTTTAATTCTGTTTTCATCTCATTAATAAAGGCATCTTTAATAGATTAATGTACAAACACATAATCACAAGCAACACAAGTTTAACCTGCATTTATAAATCTACCTTAAATAATTCTTTAAACTGTAACATTTAAACTACAATCTTTATCCACTATAGTTGGTGATTTACCACCTAATTCTAATATACATGGTACTAAATTTTCACTTGCAGCTTTGGCAACCAATTTGCCTTTCTCTGGGCTTCCTGTAAATATAATTAAATCAAATGGAAGTGTAGTAATCTTCTTTGATACTTCTACACCTCCTTATATAACTGCATAACAAGATTAATCAAGATACTTTGTAACTAAATTGTACATAACTTGAGAAGAGTGTGGAGCAATTTCTGATGGTTTAAGAATAACACAATTTCCTGCAGCAATTGCAGCAGCCATAGGAGGAATTCCTGTGTAAAGTGGATAATTCCATGCAGCTATTACCAAAACTACTCCTAAAGGTTCATAAATTATTTTTGATGACCCAGGCCCAATTACCTATAAAATAAAAAAAATAATTATTACAAATGGTGTATCTACATATTCTTCTTTACTCCATTCATCAATGTGTGCCAATTAATTTTCAATTTCTACCTTAGTTACAATAGTTGAAGTCATTTAACTACTGAAAATAGTCACTCCCAAATCCTTTTCTAAAGCTACATGAAATTCTTATTCCATTTCTTCAAGGCCTTTTAATAAACTTTTTAGTTAAGTTTTTCTAAATTTAATACACTTTGTTTTGTGAGTATTAAAGGTTTCTTTTAACTTTTAGAAGATTGGTTGAATGATTTCTGAATTATCTTATATTTATTCCATCAAAATAATTAATTTAATGATAAATCAGATTGACGACTAGATTTTTAAGAAGATGATTGATTAAACAAGTCCTTAATCTATTACAACTCAAAAATTGTGTTTGAGATTAGGATATGATCCAAATGACCTTATTTATAAGTTTAATTCAACTATATCTATTAGATCAATTGAGTAGTTTCCATCAGTTTCACCAGAAGTTCAAGCAATGAGATATAATCATTATAAAAATAGAGTTATGAGTAAGATTACATTATAGAAGAATAGGAATTATTAATGAAATATAAGCAACTAAATAAAGGCACAAATTAGGAGATCAATCACTTAAGTAAATAACTTTCAATTAATAAGAGAATAAGTATTAATATTTAATTATTTTAGTTTTTCGAATCTCAGTGAAGAGAGTGTGATTATTTAAGAAAAAAAAGAGAAAAAAAGTTTATCTAGATAAAAAATATTGCAAAATTTAATTTATTAATAGTTGTAAGAGGAAAAAAAGAATGTTGAGTATTTATAAAAACAAAATTAAAAATTACAGAATCATTAGAATATTTAATTAAGAAAAAGTGAAACTAGTTTTTCTAAAAAAAGGGTAAGAGATGGAAATAAAAATAAATCAACAGAGCAAACAGATGAATTAGAAAAAAGAAATCAATATTTTATTACATGTATTGAAAATGAATCCAGGATATAAGAATAATTATAAGGAAGATTTTTAAAGAAACATTTTAAACATGAAAATTATACAGAAAGAGCTTATGAAAAAAGAAAATAATAAGAAAATTAATTTTAATAAACTATTACTGAAAGATTGAATAAATTGCAATTAAAAGGTATGTATATTTTTTAATCAAGAAAACTAGGTTTAAACAAAGGTTGAATTATATAAAAAAGATATGAAAAATTATTTTGCCCAAAAAAATAATCAAATTGTTTATAAAAAAGAAAAGAGATCTCAATTAATTTAATTTGAATAATAATAGTACATTAAAGAATAATGTGAAAAAATGAAAAAATTTTAAGAAAATAAATCTTTATTGATTTTAGAAGAGAAAAAGAAAATAAATGAAAGAAAAGAAAAGTATATTAAAATGTTAAGAAAATGTAAAGAAAGCAATTTTGAATAATAAAATGTATTAATATTTGTTTAAATAAGAAATATTAAGAAGGTTTCAGTAATACATATTAATAATTAATAAAGAAATAAGAATAAGTAATATAAAATAAAGAGAAATTACTTGAATAGAAATCTTTAATACTTAAAGATAAATTATAATTAAATTTAGAAGATGTTGAATTTAATAGAGCTCATGCTCAAAGGATTAAATAAAATATATAACTTAAATTAAATGGAAATAAAGATGCAAAATCACAATAATCAAGTCGAACTTCTGAAACATGGAAATTGAAAACTTAATTGACACAAAAAGAATCAGAAAATTCATTATGGGAAAAAGCAAAGTAGGCAGCTATTTTGTTTAAAGATCCAAAATAATATGAATAATATGTTGAACAATAACAATAAATTTTACTTAAAAAGAAAAAGTCGTTGGATTAAAAATTTGCTACAGCTGCTTCAATAATTAAAGAAATATTACCTAAAAATGAAGCAGAATAATTACTAATGCCATCTGGGTTGAAAAATTTTCTTGAATAATAGAGTCGTATTAAAACATAAAAGTGAGTTATAATGTCATTATTAATTTCAAACTTATTTAATATTTAACTCTTTCTTAATTTTAACTTAATCTTTATAAAAAACAATGAAGCAAATTAATAATAGAATAAAGACTTATTTATTTATATAGGATTAATTTTATTATGAATGGTTTTAAATAAATTATATAGGTTTAGTAATCATTTGGAAATAGTAGTGTCATATCTGAATTTAGGCAATTCTTTTGTACCCTATGTTGGTGATTCTCTCAAAATTGGTTATTTTAAAATAGATAAGAGAGTGCCTTTCTTTTTTAAAACTAAAGAAAAGGACTTACATTCTATTTCTTAAAGTAATTATTCTGTCTTGAACTTTGTTTTCAAAGGATTTCCTTATTAGTCTGCAGAGAATACTTCGTAAATCTCAGCATTTTCATTTATATCTTAATCATAGTATATTTGAGTAAAATAATCAATAGCTGTTTCTATGGCCTCAATCATTAAAGAATCAGGAGTTATTTCAATTTATACTTGTAACATTTTCTAACCAACTTTTAAACTGAAGTTATATTAGCATAATTGCATTTCATTAATGTATGCTGATTCAGCAAGAGTTGATGAGGTTGCCTTAACATTTTATTTAGACATTTTTTCAATTGAATATTAATATATTTTTATTTATAATTCATTCTTATTATTCAAAATTAGAAATAAAACTGAGTTCATTATCTAAGAATTATCTTTTATTTTATTTCATATCTATTCTAGAAATATCAACACTAAAAAGTATATTTGGATCTTCTTATTGATTATTTTATTATTATTTTTTACTTTTTAATTCAGCTAATAGTAATTAAATTTCATTTTTAGTCTAAATTAATATAAAATAAATACTATAGCTACAACTGATTGTTTTGGTGGTTAATTAAGTGTAATATTATTAGTATTAGAAAAGTACAAGAAAGGATTACTATAAGATCTTTTAATAGCCTTTTTAAGTACAGGTTAGTCTTTCATTTAATTCATTAATTAAATCTTTTTGACATTGCTGAACTACAATTAGTAGAAAGATTAATTACATCTAATTTCTTAAAATAATCATTAAACATAGACTATAAAAATGTAATACATTCTTATTTAGTCATATCATAATATTGAAGAATTTAACCTTATTATTATTATTAATTCAACTTTCTTAATTGTTAATTATCTACTCTTGCTGTTTAACAAATATATTAAACAGCTTCTTCATTAGATGATTCATCTATTTCAAGTTATGGTAAATTAGGTTTTAAGATAATATTATTTTGTTATTTTTTATTTGATTATTAATTATTATCATATGAATTTTATTCTTTTGAATTGATTTTATTATTATTATCATTAATATTTTAATTATGAGTTTTAATTGAGGAAAATTATTATGAATTCGATTATATTTTTTATTAAAACTTTGGACTAATTATTTTAACTGCAATGTCTTATTCTTAATTAAGAATTATTGAGTTATATGTTATTTTTCTATTTCTTAATTATTCTATTAAACTCTAACATTATTTTTTATAAAATTATAATTCAATTTACTACTTTTCATTTCTTTCATCTTTCAATTAATTAGATTTTATGATCAATTCATTAGTATCTAATATGGATTCATATTTTTAAATTAGTTCATTATATAATTTTCTTATATTAATATGAGCATTTTTTTCTTTTTCAAATAATTCTTTAAATCCTTTCACCATCATTTCCATTTTATGTAATTTTTCTTAATAAATCATCCTTTCATTTTTGCTTAAATATTTGAGTTATTGGGGTTCTGGAGAAAATCCATAACCTAAACCATAATTACCATATAATTCTTGATGTAAAGACTCTAATTTTCCTCTATGATTTTAAACTTCTCTATTGAGTTCTAAATTGTCATCAGTCTTATCAATAAATTCATTATAAACAAAATCTACTCTAAGTCTAAATGGATTTACCTTTCATACACTAATAGTTTGTTTAACTGCGTAAGACAATTCTCATTTTAAAGATTTCTCTTTTCAAATGCTATATATAATTTATATTATACATAATTAACTTCTCTAAATGTTTTATTGGTTTCTGTAATAGATTGAGCTTCAGTAGTAATTTTATTAAGTAAATTTCGAACATTCTCTAATTCTTCATGTAATTTTAAATTCTATTCTGAAGGAGTAATAATTTCAATTAATTTTACTAATTATCCTTCTTTTTCTTATATAGGTTTCATCCTCTCCAATTCTTAAATTGCATATTCCTTATCATGAATACTTCTTTTCAAGTCTATTAATTTATATTCTAAATCTGATATTAAATCTTTGTAATAGTTTTGCTGTTCTTCTGATATCTATTCTTATAGTAATAACTTAGTTTATAATTATTATGCTATTTTCTATTGATTTAAGAATCCTTTCATGAGTTTTTCATTTTCTTCATTCAGTAATTTTATTGCACTTTCTATTTGAGAATTCTAATAATTTGTATAACACATAGACATTGTACTTGAATCAGATGTCATCTATATAATTTTAAATCATTTTACTTGAGATCGCTTATTCACTCCTTCCATTGTGAGTGACATAGCTTACTTATTCAATTTTAAAACATTCTCAAGGTCAACAATATATTCTTACAATTACTTATTCTATTCTTATAAATAATGAATTTTTGATTATTATCTATTTGAAACAGATTCATTGACTTCAGTTCCTAAAATCATTTGGTAAATGGAAAGTATAAATTATTAATAATTATAAATAAAAAGAACAGTATTTATAAATATAATAATAATATATTATTTTAATATAAAAATAATCAAAAATGTATAAAGTAGATTTATTGTTTTTTGATAAATTAAATTGGATTAATTGTTGATTACAATTAAAAATAATATATCATAATATCAGAGATTTTTGTATTAAATACTAATGAATATTTATAATAAATTTAATTTAATTGAAGACTCTATCATAATAGATTGATATATTAAATATAAATAAATCAAAAATAATAGCTCAAAAACTCTTTTAAATTTGATTAATTAAAGATATTTTTTATTTATTCTTTCTCGAATTTATTTATAAACAAATAATATCTTTAAATGTATCTAAATATATTATAAATTAATATATAAGTAGGTATACAGTTTATGAGTATAAATATATGAGTGATCTATAAAATTGATAAGTTTCTAATTTTAATGTATTTTTTAACTTAAAAGTATTATAATTAATAATTATGATATGATAGTATAATAATTTAAAATATTTAAATACAATAATCATATAATTAAATTATAATTCAATATCAGTATAGTATGGTAAATTTTGTTTACTACTATCCATCAATTAATAATTAGATTTTATTAGTAAATTAAAATTTGTTTTTTGATTGTTTTGTTTTGAAATAAAAAAATCATTGTTTTCTTTTTCTTTATGTAATATATCATAATTTGGTCTAAAGCAAAATATTTAATATGAAACATAACAAATAATAGAGCCACTATATTCTGGACTTCTAAGATATAGAAGATATATCAGATAATGAATCAGAAAGTTCTAAACAGTCGAATCAACAATAATAAATAAATTAATCAACTCCAACTCCTAATCGAATAGAATTATAGATACCCAACTTACAAGTTAAAAAAGAAACAGTAGAAATTCCATCCATTTTGATATAAGAAGACGAAGAACCTGTAATCAGACGAAAGTAGGATATTAATAAAAAATAATGGTAAGTCAACTTTGATGAATTATCGGAATAGGAATTAGAAGAAAGCGACAGGTCAGAGGTTGCTATAGAGATACAGAAAGACCCTAGTCCACCTACTATAGCAGTTGAAGAACCTTAATATATTGAATAATATTTTGATGATCAAAATGTAATAGAAGAGATAGATATTGAATAAGAGTAATTAAAAATGGAATAAAGGAAGGAATAATTGAAATAAGACTTAATAACAAAATAATAACAAAAACAAATTACAAAAGTTCAATAGGAATAATAAAGAGTATAAGAGATTGTAAATTTATCAATAAATAAAAATGTAGAAATAAAGTAAAGGTATAAATAGAAATTTTATAATCCTAAAAATTCATTGATATATTTAAGATTAAAAGGTAGGGAAGATTTGTATAAAAAATAAGAGTAAATTATTGATGATTAGACTAAACCTATAGAATAAGATGAATATTTAGAAGGTTTAGAATGTATCAATAACTTATTAATTGGATTATCTAAAATAAAAGATAAGAAACTTAGTGTTATTGAAAAATAGAAAATATTACCATTGTAAATTCAAAGACATCGTTTAGATGAGAAAGGTGATCATCATAAAGAATCTAAAATATAGAAGAAGGATGAAAGAGAAAAAGATTAAGAAGAATAAAAGAAGACTTAAAATGAAAAATAAACAGAATAAACTATAAAATAATAATAATTATAAGAGGCACAATTAGCTAGATAGATTAGACATGAAAAGTAATTACAGGAAAAAGAAAAGTAAAAATTATTAGAATAAAGATAAGTTTATAAAATATTAACAAAGAAATAAATAAATTAAGGTTTAATNTATCCATCAATTAATAATTAGATTTTATTAGTAAATTAAAATTTGTTTTTTGATTGTTTTGTTTTGAAATAAAAAAATCATTGTTTTCTTTTTCTTTATGTAATATATCATAATTTGGTCTAAAGCAAAATATTTAATATGAAACATAACAAATAATAGAGCCACTATATTCTGGACTTCTAAGATATAGAAGATATATCAGATAATGAATCAGAAAGTTCTAAACAGTCGAATCAACAATAATAAATAAATTAATCAACTCCAACTCCTAATCGAATAGAATTATAGATACCCAACTTACAAGTTAAAAAAGAAACAGTAGAAATTCCATCCATTTTGATATAAGAAGACGAAGAACCTGTAATCAGACGAAAGTAGGATATTAATAAAAAATAATGGTAAGTCAACTTTGATGAATTATCGGAATAGGAATTAGAAGAAAGCGACAGGTCAGAGGTTGCTATAGAGATACAGAAAGACCCTAGTCCACCTACTATAGCAGTTGAAGAACCTTAATATATTGAATAATATTTTGATGATCAAAATGTAATAGAAGAGATAGATATTGAATAAGAGTAATTAAAAATGGAATAAAGGAAGGAATAATTGAAATAAGACTTAATAACAAAATAATAACAAAAACAAATTACAAAAGTTCAATAGGAATAATAAAGAGTATAAGAGATTGTAAATTTATCAATAAATAAAAATGTAGAAATAAAGTAAAGGTATAAATAGAAATTTTATAATCCTAAAAATTCATTGATATATTTAAGATTAAAAGGTAGGGAAGATTTGTATAAAAAATAAGAGTAAATTATTGATGATTAGACTAAACCTATAGAATAAGATGAATATTTAGAAGGTTTAGAATGTATCAATAACTTATTAATTGGATTATCTAAAATAAAAGATAAGAAACTTAGTGTTATTGAAAAATAGAAAATATTACCATTGTAAATTCAAAGACATCGTTTAGATGAGAAAGGTGATCATCATAAAGAATCTAAAATATAGAAGAAGGATGAAAGAGAAAAAGATTAAGAAGAATAAAAGAAGACTTAAAATGAAAAATAAACAGAATAAACTATAAAATAATAATAATTATAAGAGGCACAATTAGCTAGATAGATTAGACATGAAAAGTAATTACAGGAAAAAGAAAAGTAAAAATTATTAGAATAAAGATAAGTTTATAAAATATTAACAAAGAAATAAATAAATTAAGGTTTAATTCTATATAGATGTTAGTTAAGATAAAAGTAAAAAGACTCAATTAAATGGTTAAGATATTCAGAAATAGCTTTAATAAGTAAAGGGGAAAGTGAGATCTTCAATTTTGAGAAGAGAATTTCAGATCAATTATTTATGTAATAACACAAGAGTAATATGAGATCAGTGTTAATAACTAAGTAAGCAATGTTTGATATAGTCACAATTCATTATGTTAAAGAATAAAAGGAAGTTAATAAATTTGAACAAAAAGATTTTATTAATAATGAAATGGAAAATCTTAATTTGTCTATCAATTAAGATAAATTAGTAAATGAAAAGAAAATTATAAAAAATACAAATAGAAAGAAGAAAGTTTAAGAGAATCAAAAGAATAAGGATTAGGAGAAATAACAGTTATAAAAAGAGAAATAGTAATAATTAGATTAATTACAATAATATGATACAATAAAAAAATAAGATAATAAATAAAAGGATAATCAACAATAATAAGATATTAAGAGAATAAAAAATAAAATTAGTTATTAAGAGAGTGATGAAGAAAAGAATGATGAGGATCTTTTGGATGCTGATTGTGTATAAATATATAAAATTACTTAAGATAAATAAAGAAAATTAGATAAAAAAGATAAAGAATTGAAATAATAATAAAATAATTAGTAATAGATTGAAGAGTCAAAATAAATTGAATTAAATGAACATGGTTAAAATAATAATAATTAATAAATTAAAGAATAAAAAAAAGTAAAGAATCCAAAAATAAAGGAGTGTCCATTAAGTAGATTAGAAACAAATGATGAGATAAAAAAGAAAGAATAAATTAATTAAAAAAGAAAAGAAAAACGTAGATAGGAATATCAATAATATTTAAATGAAATAGAATAAGAATAATTAAATGAACTTGCTATATCTAAAAACAAAAAAGCTATCAAAGATACCTAAAATTAAAAAACTAATAAATAATTAATAATATAAAAAAATAATAAGAAACGAAGTAATAAATAAGAAACAGAAAATATAGAAATTTAAACTAATGTAAATAATTCAAATGCTATAAAACAAAAAGAACAATTAAATACTAGTGAAAATAAATCAACATCTTCTAAATCATCACCAAATGGAGAATCTATTGAATCTGGATATGTTTCATCAAAACGTATATATGAAAAAAGAAATCAAAACAAAAAAAGACTCAAAATTATTGAAGATGATGAATCAGAATTTTATGAATAGAATGCTAAATAAAATGAAAAGGAACAGAAGAAAAAAAGAGTTAAATAAAAATGAGGATATATTTTCTATATTTATCAAATTTCTATTAGTTTAAGATTATACTTTTATAAAGATAATTATTTATTATCTAATACATAAATAGATATATTTAAATGTTAATGAGAATATAAATGATATAATATATATATTAATATTATAAAATTAGTGTAATAACTTTATAATCAATAATAAATTCAATATTTAAGCTCTATAATTTTATAATTAGAAAGTCTGGAGGATTTTGATGTCCTTTAATCCGTTTTTATAATAAATATATTAATATGTTATAATTTAATAGTATTTAGTTGCTGCTATTAGTTTTAGCAGTTACTACATATAGTAATGAAGTTTTTGAAACTAATACGATGATACCTATTAGTGTCATAGCCTAAATTAGAAATACAGAATTTAAGGATCAAACATTTTAAAATTAATTGTTAGATAATCAAAATGAAGTTAGTGATGATAAGTATTAATGAATACTATTCAGTCTAGAAACGAAGTCAATAATTTATTTTTGATTGAACCATCTAAAAAATCATTAAAAGTTTTTTCATAGAAGTCATTATTAGTAGAAAATTAACCAGAAGAAGTTCAAAAAGAATCATCTCAATAAAATGAATAAATATTATCATAGGAATAGAAAGATCAATAAAACAAGATTTCAATAAAAGTTAATAAGAAATTAATGAAGGATACAGAAATTTCATAAGAAAATAATATAGAAGAGTAGCATATTTTAGAAAAAGAAGAACTTTAACCAATTTAAAATGATAAGATACCCATAAAAATATCATAAGAAAAATAAGAGATTGAAAATAATGATGAGAATGAAATAACCATTTAAGATATTAAAATAGAATCTATTCATAAAGAGCCTATATCTAAAATAGAAGAGAATAAATCACAAAATGAGGATGTTATCATTATTAAAATAGATGAAGAAATTAAAGCGACTCCACGAATTTTTGGAATATTAGATAATGATTCAATTAAATAAGAAAATCTAGAGGATGAATTAAGTTTAGAGGATGAATTAAGTTTAGAGAATGAATAAGATAAGGAAGAAATTGAATAATGTGAAGGAGAAGAACTTGATACTATTCATTAATAATAGGAAAATAAACGTTAAGAATCTAATAAATCAAACATTGACTCTAAAAACAATAAAAAAACAACCAAAAAAGTAAATGAAAACAATAAAAAGTTAACTTCTAATGTATTAACTAACAATAAGAAATAATAAAGTTCAAAGAAAAATTAATAATAATAATAATAATAATCATAGAAAAATTAAGGTTTTAATTCTAAAGATGCTGATTAGAAATTGATTGGAGAATTAATCAAGGTATAAGCTGAAGTTGATGATGTAGATCTTAGTATATTTACAGATGATCATTCTGATTTAATACCTATAATAGTTTAAGATTCTGAAAATACTATTATTAATTCAACAGATGATGAATTATAAGATACATAATTATAATAAGAATTAAATGAAATTAATAATTAAGATACTATTATTGATGTTAATTAAGAATTAAATTAAGATCAAATTGATGTAGTAACTACTTAGAATTTAGATATTGATGGAGAATCATTTCAAGATTTCTAATCAGAATTAGATGAATTAGCTAGAGAACTTGATTAATTGAGTTTAGATTCAACATTAAATTCTAAGGATAATAATGAAAGTGAAAATTTATAAAATGAGAGAAGTAATGAATCATTATAATACATAACAATATCAACAAATAATGATCCAATTATAGTTAATTCATTAGAAGATGATTATTTTTTAGATGATTTAGATAATGAATTGAGTGAATAAACTTAAAAATAAGAATATTTAAATACAGCAATTGAATCATCAAATGAATAAAATGAAGTACAAATACTTATATTGGATAATCCAGAATAAATTATAATTTAAAATGAGACCAAGGATGAAGTCTAATCTTAAGATGAGATTCATATTGAAAAAGAAATAGAGTAATAATTTAATGGAGAATAATCTTAAGAAAATGAAATTAATATTTCTATTGATAATAATAATAATGAAGAAATTTCTCTTAATAAAGAAATTTAGGATACTGATGAAAATTAAGTATAAAATGATTTTAAATAACATTTATAATTGGATAATGATATGGAGATTAAATAATCTGAAGAATATAAACCTAATGATTTTAAGAAGAATTCTATAATTAAAAAGGAAGTTAGTGTTAATTTAGATAATATGATAACAAATGAGAACATCAATGATTAAGATGGATTGAATGATGATGAATTTTTGAAGATTGCAACTGAATCTGAAGCTGAAGTCATAGAAAATTTAGAAGATCTTTAGGAGGGTATGGAGACTGTGTAATTTGATAAAAAGGTTTAAAATTAAATTTATACTTAACCTGATAAAAATTAAAGAAATTAGAAATATATTGATAATAATAAGGAATATTCATTGAAAATAGATTAAAATAGAAAATAGAGTAGATTTGAAGAGGATTATTTAGATTAAATTAAGAATACTTAGATTAGAGATTAATATTAGAAGAGTAAGGAAGATGAATTTAATTAAATGATTAATGATTTAATAAATGAATTTGATTTTAAAAGTTAAAGAGATAGGGATATAATAGAATATGATAGAAAAATTACTTAACATATCATAGATAATATGGAAGAATCAAGATATGGAAACAGAGTTTTCAATAGAGATTTTAATGAATAGGATAATGAAGAATAATGTGATGATGAAGTAGATAATAATGATCAAGAATTTTAAGAAGCTTATACAGAATTTAAAAAAGTTGTTTAAAATAAAGAAGAATTTGATAAAGAATGTAATGATTAAGTAGACAATTCTTAGATTAGTGATTATGAAAAGGATATAGATAAGAGAAAAAAGTAAGTGATAGATAAAATTAAGAAAGAATTAATGTTAAAGAAGGAAAGACTTAAGAATAATAATAATTAAAGATCTGATAATTTATCTACTTATGATTTTGAAAGAATTTATTTGGATTGGGCAACAAATAAAGAAGATATAGTTTATAATATGTTATTGCATACTAGTAATTCAGATTTGTAAAGTCAAAAATTAGATGAAGTATAAAATAAAAAAGTAGAGAGGATTTCTAAAAAATAAGAAGTAGAAGAAGAATTATAAAAATTATATTCTAATTATGAGAAGGATAGAAAAGGAAGATATTTAAGAGGATAGAGATGAAAGAACGATAATAAAGAATAGTATTATAAGAATGACTTTAAATAGTAAAATTATAATATTTATTAAAATAATATTTTTTAAAAATTATGCAAAGTTAATTCTCTAGTTTATACCCACAATTTAATGATTTAGAGGAAGTTCGATAATTCATTACAAGTAAAATAAATACTGTTGATCTCACTCTTTAATCCCCACCTTACCTATCATCCTTTTTTTAACCATTAAGAAAGCAAGCTTTTTAAAATTATATTGTATAATGTTATTTAAATATTTTAGGCTGCAAAAGTAAGTGATTAAAATTAGAGGAAGATGGCAATTTATAAATTTATTTAATTAGTTGATATTGAAATATTGAGTTTATTTTCAGAACAGATCATAAAACCATATTAAAATTTGATATTGGTTAGACATTATGGTATTCCTTAAAATTTGGATGTGGAGAAATTAAAATTGGATAATTAGACTTTAGGAGCATTAAATGATTTAGCAAATTCTATTGCTTAATGGAATCTTTAAATTGAGATAGCTGTTGATAATATTACAAGAGTTCAATTATATGATCTTTGGATTCCATCAGAAAAGATTAAAGAAGCTTAATTAACAGCTGAAATTAAAGGAATCCTATCACCATCTGATGATTTTGATTTTAAGGTATTAATAAATTAAATTAGACATATTCAAAACATATTTTGATAAGAATATTAGCTTAAGGAGCTGAGAAATTTGGAAAGTATTTATATTCAAATGGATTATCTGAATCTAATTTATCATATGGTGCAGCCTTAATGATATATCATGCTTTAGTTGGAAAGTCTGCATTGCCATGGAATGTCATAATGCCTAATGTTTCATTAAAGTGGCTGGTATTGATATAAATATTGTTTAGTTTGGTGGAGTGATTGGTTCTTTGGCTTTAGGAAAAGTATCTACATATTTAGAGAAATGTGATTAAGTACAATAATTAAAAGGTTGTGCAGAAGTGTTTTAAGATATAACAAATTTTTTAATTAATTTTAATGAGACTTTAGGTGCTGCAATAAGTGATGTATTATTGACAGTTAATGAAGAATAAGAGAAGGAGAAGAAATAAAGTAATATTTGAATTGATTATTTTACAGATTTGACCACTCTTGTTGATTCATTCCTTTAATCACCAGAATCTATTAAGGATAGTTAGACTGAAATTATTACTTGTGAAGACATTATTAAACATGAATAAGATGAATGGTAATTAATTTAATGATTATTATTTTACAATATGAAAATTTAATACTTTTTTTATCAATTTAAATAAATTAAGAATAGTTTAATAAAGTTTGTATAGAATGATATTATATATATACATTTTTAGTTAGATTTGAATTATTTTTAATAATATTTATTAATTAATAATAATTTTAGTCAAATATAATAATAATATAATTAATTTATAAAATATAATAATCATTGTATTCATTGGGATGATAAATGTAAAAATTAGGAATGTAATGATTTTCAATTTTTATTAATTGAAAAAATGGATGAAGATGAATCTACTTCATTTCATGAATTACCAATCAATGACAGAGTATCCAATTTATAATAAATATAAACTTGGTTTTAGAATTAGAAATTAGCAATTACAAATACTGAATTATTTACAACTTAAATTTTTGATGATCTTAAAAAATAATGTGAATAATAAAATGAAATATTACAAAAATCTACTGAATTTCAAGAAACCAAAGAATTAATAAATTCTTTCTATAGTAAAGCATAAAGAATTTGTTTGAAAATTAAGAAAAAAACAGAACCTCGTTCTTAATTATAAGAGAGAATTAAATATTATAAAGTTAAAGAGGATGAGGAGGTTGAAAAAAATAGAGAAATATTAATAGAAGTAAAGAAGAAATTGTTATGTATAATAAGAATATCTAAAGGAATTCCATTTATTATAAATTTTATAAAGAGTTAAAATGTTAGAGATAAATAATATAAACTTACATTAATGGTTGAGGATGCTTTATTAGATGGTATCAATTGGTATCTTATGTTGAATGATATCAAAGAGTCTTAATGGAATAAAGAATTACCTTAAGAATGTAAATTAAAAGAGATTCTTTATTAATTATTGACTATAATTTGGCAATAGAGATAAGAATTAAAGAATGAATTAAATGAAATATTTTTTAAATTGAAAAAGACTCAATTAATAAAATTGTTAGATAAATAAGGAGAAAAATCAGAAAAGAATGATAAATTTACATAATAATCAACAAAAATTTTATAGAAATTACAAGAGTTTTGTAATGGACTTGAAAATATCAAATTATCATCAAATAAGGCTAATGGATTATATTATTTATAAAGAATACTATTATCATATTGTTGGGTTAAATAAATAGAACTATCAGAAATGTTATATCATACTAAAATAACAGGTAGATTGGATAAATTAAAATAAGATAGAGATCATAGTAATGTTATTAGATTAAGATAAAAAATAACATTCTTAAGATTTGTATATAGAATTCCAGCTGTAAAATAATGGTGTGAATAAAATTAAATTATACCTTTTGAAATGTAATCAAATATTCCTCAATATCTATAAGAATAATATGATTAATTTATGAGTGATAAAAAAGAAAAACTCTTTTCAGATACAAAAGAAGATTATTTTATAGAATCTCAATTAAAATTTTTAGCTAATAATTTTCAAATTTATAAAAATAAGATTAGAATTATATTCAATGATTTAAGATTCATATAAAATAAATAGGAAATCTATGAATTATATTAAGAATATGTTAGTAAATATGATGGTGATATAGATAAAGTTTAGAATCTGTAATTTTAAAAATAATAAAAGGATATTATAATAGCATGTTGTATAAGACATTTAGAAATAAAATTATTAAATGAAGATTTCACTAAATCTGTAATACCTTTAGTAAAATTTGATTTTTTATTGAAAAAAGAGAAACATTTTTAATTTTAATAGACATCATATGATAAATCTCAATATTCTTTTTTAGCTAAACCTTCATTAGTTAAAATATTTCTGATTGATATATTAGCATAAGAACAACCATTTCCATATATATTTGAATTCATTTATTATGAAGATGGGAAATTGTAATAATTTATAAAGAGTACTACACTTTAAGGTTAATTTTTTTATTGTCCATAAATAAGAGAACATTTATCAAAAAGATACTAATTTAATATAAAATTAATAGAGAATGAAAATAAAGTGACTTTTACTTATTTACCTACTATACATTATGATTATGTTAAACCAGCAGCAACAGTTTTATGGGAAGATATTTTATTATAGGATTTGAAACTTATTTCATTGCATAGAAATTAATTAATAGATGAAATCAATTTTATGGTTCATAGTAATAAATTTTAGACAATAAAATAATAAATTCAGTAAGATGCAAAATATTTTAATGATCATATTAAAATAATGAATGAATTAGAAATATTTAATAATTTATAGTCTAATGGAAAGAAGTTGAGATGTATATGATAGATTGATTAACAAATGTGTTATAACATATTATTTGAATTTATATTATAATATAAAATGCGATAACTTTTGAAAAATGATGATTTAACAATATTATAAATTGTTTTTTTTAGATAGAATAATCAATTTAAGTATAATATTAATTTTAAATGATATATCTCTATCAAAATTTCTATTCTTATATACATATCTAATATTTAAATAATAATATTATTTTCCAGCTAAAGTGTAGTTGAAGATCTTGTTGTTAATAATTAATTTATATTTTTATTTATTAAATGTTAATGTATATATTATTAATTAATGCATTATGACTTTCTAGATTAATGCGTTAATTTTCTTTGTTTTTTTTATGAGCATTAATTTAATATGCTAATTAATATTAATATTATAGATGGAAAAATTTCTTAATGGTATGATAAATAAATTATTTAGAATTAAGAAGAGTTGACATATTTGGATACTAAATCACATTGAGAATGAATTAGTAATCCACATATAGAACAGGTTTGGGAGGTTTGATGTCAATTATTGTAATTGGTGTGATGATATGGCAGTTTTCTGCTAATTTTAATTCGTTTCTCAATAAAGAATAATTGAATGCAGTATCCATAACAGAGTATGATCCAAAAATATCAGATACTACAATAACAGATAAATAATTGCTATTTGCTATTGCAATTTAATAAGAGAACTTTATTCACAATCCTTTTTTCAATATCTCTCTCATCTAAAAGTATAACAAAAGTTCTCTTAAATTTTAGATACAATTATAGGTATTAGAATGGTTCTTAAGCATCATTGTCTAAAGAAATTCCATTAGTTGAATGTACGTAATACAGATTTGAAAAGTACTTTTAAGAAGAAGGGAGTGATTTTTCTTAATTATACTTTAATTCATCATCTTTATCAGATTATTTATGTCCAGTGTAAAAGAAATGATTATATTAGGGAGGAAGCTAATTTTTAGTTGGGAGGTACACACATAAGTATAATATAGTTATAAACATATAGGTGAGGACTTTTTGTATTTATAAATAATTATAAGTAAATGCAATCATTAAGAAGCATTAAATAAAGGATATGAATGTGCAAGTTAAGAATAACTGAATGAATTTGTAGCATAACATGGAAGCTTTAAATTTTAAATCTATAATATCAACTCTATTATTAATCCATATAAATCAGATAAAAACTATAAACAATTATATTTAGATGATTCATTATAATATACATTCATTCCAAATTAAATTGGAAGAACAATAGATGTCTATCTAAAACATTACCATATAGTTTAAGATAACAGTTTGATGCCGTTGAGGTAATTTTGAAAGTTAAGATTTAAGTGAAACTATTATAACTGATACATTTGCAATTGAATAATTAGAAACTAAGATTGTTTCTGAATTTGGAAATCAAACTTCTGATTAATATGTTTAGATTAATTTCAAGAGAAGTCCATTTAAGACAACTATAAAAAGAAATTATATGAAATTTGATGAAATGTTATCAAATTTAGGAGGTATATAATAAATACTATTTTTTTTTGTTGGAATAGTTGTAACATTATATAATAAATTATAAAGTAATAAATTAGTATCTATTTTTTAAGTGATGATTGAATTAGCTAATAGAGTCTATGAATTTTCATTAGATAATACTGAAAAATTAAGATAATAATAAGAGAAATTAGAATTGATAAATTTAGCATTATAATAATAATAAAGATTATAAAAGGAACCTGGTTCATCTGTTAATAATTCTGATGAAGAAGATAAACCTTAAACAATTCATTAAACATTAATACATCAAAAAGAAAATAATCAAGAAATAAAGAAATTAAGTGGAGTTAAAAGATTTAAAGCTGTTGTATAATACTTAACTGTATTTAAATAAAATAATTAATAAACATAATAAAAAAAAGAAAGTTTTAGAATTATTTAAGATTAAAAAATGTTAGCAATATAATTAAATTGTAAATCTGGTTTAGATTATTTTGAAAAATAAATTAAATCAATAATAAGTAGATCTAAACCTATATATTTATCATTTAAAATTTTAGTTAATGTAATCACTTGTAATAGATTATTTTCAAAATAACCAAGAATAAAATTAATTAATAAAGGTATGTAATAGGCAGCTGAATAAATAGATATTTATAATATTGTTTAAAATATGAATGAGATGGTTAAATTAAAAGAAGTAGTATTATCATATCATTAATAATTGATGTTTGGTTTTACTCCAAAACCTCAAATTACTCTTGATGATACAACTACTTAACCAACTAGAGATGTTTTAACATTGAAATTAAATAAAGAGAAAGATCAAGATGAAGAAATTGCTAATGGAGGTGATATATTCAAACCTAAGAGAGGAAGTTGTGATTAGGATAATTATTTATTCTATGCCAAAATATATAATGTAATTATATTTATATTTATAAGTCTTATGATGATGTTCTTAGATAAAGTGAAGATGATATTCACAATAAAAATAATAATGTTAATAAATAATTAATAGAAAAATTAGGACCTGAATTGTAATTGATATTTAAATTATCTAAATTGATTGATTTTCAATCTTAAAATAGTACATAAGTTTAAATTAAAACACCTTATCGTAGAGGTGCTATGTAATAAAAAGAACAAAATGTTTATGCAAAAATGTTTAATCCAAACACTTGAACAAAATAAACTACTTTTATTTTTGTTAATATAATTATTATATTCGAAATTTACTCATTATTCTTATAAAATGTTATTAATCCAAACTCCTTTTATTTATTTACCATCTAATGTTTAAAATACTCCTGCACCATGTACTTTTCCATTCTTAAATAAACCTGTATATCTTTCTGCATTTGTTAAAACTAATTATCCATATCCATCTTATTAACCAAAATTAAAATCACCATCATATCGTGCCCATTTCTCTCCTAATTAATTGAAATCCTTATAATTAAAAGCCTCTTAACAAATTTATGCATTTTAGTTTTTTAATATTCCAGTACGATGAAATCTTTTCTGATAATTTATATTAAATTTACTAATTCTCATGGAAATATCCTTCATATATTATTTCATTCTCATCATTTATTAATTTACCCATTCCTTATTTCTTTCCAGCATTAAAAAAACCCTCATAAGTAAGTCCATTAGGAGTTGTTTCTACTCCAAAACCATCTTAAGTGATTAATTTTTTACTCCCTCCTTTTGATGCTTATTCAGTCTCAAATTTCTTAAATAAATTCTTCTTTTAAATTTAAGGTGAATAAGATTCTTTTTTTTAAATAAATGACTAATTAATAAGAATTTATTATAAATACACTAGATGCTTTTGATTCTTTTGAATTTTTTGATATAACTTAACGAATAGATAAATGTGATCCTTTTTACAATAAAGATTAATTTGACAATTAAGATTAAACTTCTGGATGTACTAATGAATGTTATTTAGTTGAAAAGTGTACCTTTTTCAAAATAATATATTTAAATGTACCTTTTTTTCAGTTAAACTATATTAATAATCATCAGATGTCCAAATTTAAGCTAATCTTTTCCCTTTTAATTATGATGAATCTAATAATTCATTTAATTATAAAAAGTCACGTCTATCTTTTGGATCATAATGTAACATTGCTTCTAAGATTAAAGGCAAGGCTTCCCCATATCTATCATTTACTTTATTTATCTATTCAATTAATATATTTGGATCTATCATATAATCTTAATAAAGTGTAATGCTTTATTTAGCTGAACAAAGTTCTAATGTCATCTAAAAAATAAAATTTTTTGTATTACTAAACCTAAAATAAACACATTGCTTTTGAATTCATTATAGGGTTCTAATTGTTTATTTTATATCATTAACCATTATTCAGGTGTTATATATGGGTATTCATGTAATCTCACTTCTTCTCCATTTATAATTTTATGGAATAATTCATTGAATTCAACATCTTATTAATTATGGAAGAGTGGACTTTAAACTTTAAGTCCAATTGCTCCATTTAAGAGGTTGGAGAGATAGACTTTATCAAATTTCAAAGAAGGCAAAGCATAACCTTTAGATTATAGAAATGCTTGACTTCCAATGAGAGAGTCTAAAAAGAATAAGATTTCTGTTTCTTCAAAGTAGATTTTTTTTCTGTAGATCAATTCTTATGCTAGGGTAGTTTCATAATAATCTAAGAATAGTGATAATTTGTATTCGGTAGTGAAAAACTAATCGATTTACTTATATTGCATTGCTTAAATTAATGGTAAAAGTTGATACCATGTATAATGAGAAGATTTGGATGATTGAAACCATAAAATTTAGCTTAATAATACTATAGTGCATATTGAAAGTCTTCTTATTCTGTAAAGGTTATAAGTTTATGTACTAATTTAAAATCATATTATTTAGGCTCCTTATATTCTAATATATTGACTTATCCATATAGAGGATGTTCATAATCTTCATGTACAACCATGAAATCATTATTTAATTGATCAATAATGTTGACTGTTGTGTTGAGAGTGCTAATGTCTATGTATGACTTGCAATTATTATATTGACATGTTCCCATTAATTAAATTTTTCAAGACAGTTATAATTATTGCTTAATAATCAATTCATTAAAAATATTTAGTAAGTCCATTTTAGGTATCTAGGGTTTTAGTCTCAAAATAATGTGAATCAAGATTTGATAATCAGATGCACTATAGATTCCAAATTCCTAGATTACTTGTTAGATTTCATTCAACAAATCTTCGTATTTGGTGTTGAACTCCTTAACTGTCATCTCTACTTCATTCCATAAACTATAAATAATAGAAACATTAAACTTACATTTCATCATTCTTCTTATTCATTTTTATTTCATTAGCTTTAATTTTATGTAATGCACCTAATTAAATAGTACTGAATGGAAAGATCTTTTAAGGAGATTTTAGATTTTTTTATCTTCTTAAAAGGGGTTCTTAAAATAATAATTATGTTTCATCACGAATATTTTTAGGACTCAATGATGTGAAACTTTCAGAAACAGTTTTACGTCTAAATAAATAAGTTGGATATAATAAATAATCTTATTTTCTATTGACTCTCTTGTAATTTATAGCTTCTATACTTTATTTAGGTGAATTTGGAAGTTTCCTTGGTGATATTAAAATCTGTGGTATTTGTTATGATATTTCTTTTAACTATTATAAATGATTCCAAATTTATTAAGATATCATGTTTCTACCACCCAAATTACGCGCATCTGGTGTAAATGGAGGCATTCACTTTGAAAAAGTTGTTAAATATAATATATTTTTATAATCAAATTACATCTAATACATTCACATACTATATATATATATATATTATATATATCTATTCAATTAATACAAATTTCTATAAAAGATTTTTAGTAATTATTAATAATAATCATACAAATAGTTTTTCAGTTTAAATATTTTCTAAGAATTATTTAAATTCTCTCATATTTCTATTTGCACCTTCTAATGTTTCTTTTATTTAATCCCATTTTTGAGACTTTTAGCTATTATGAAATTTATTTGTTTTGTATTAAATTGGTTCAGTTTTTAATTTTGGAGTGAAATTTCTATTGGTAAGCATTCCTAAAGGTTTTCTAGGGGACATAGGTTGTTGGATATTTATTTATTTGATTTTCTACCATATATGTTAAGGCTTTTGGAATAAGATTGATCATATTACGACATCAAATTTATCCAATCGAGGTAATGGACCATCTGGTGGAACACCTCGAAATGGCTTATCTAATTATTGTTCTAGAGTCATTTCTAGAAGAACACGTGCATATAGTAAAGAATTCTATTTCCAAATAAAATTATGAGTTGGAGTTCTCACTTTATCTAACCATTACAATATTCTAATCTTTAGATGTTTTGCATTGATTTTTTAGCAACCATTGTATATTTTATTAATTGCTTCACTAAGTTCTTAATCAAGGGTCTCTGCTCTTGGAGAATTCATTAATTTAACGGATAATATATATATTATTAATTAGTCAATAATATATATATATAAATAAATAAATATATATATTCCTAATAAAGTCTAAGATTAAAGAATCATTATTATATATATATTTACTTATCTTAATAATAATTAGAATCTTAATTATTATTTATTCAGTATAATTTTAAGAGTCAATATTATTTTTGCATTTCTAAATATAAATTCTGTTTTTTTTCATTTTTATTATTTCAAATTGAGATTAAATTTGATTTTAGTTAGATTAATTTAATTGTATTAGAATTTATAAATGAATGCTTTTTTTGATGATTTCATTTATTTTGATTTGATTTGATATTTTGAATAATCATAAAGTGTATAAAATATAAAGAATGATTAATATATTAGTAAATTTAATAATGTTAGTTTTTTCGAAACTGAATTATTTATTAAATGTTTAATCTTTAGAATGGCTTTGATTTAGAATAAGATATAGAATTAAAGGCAGTGTAGAATGAAGACTTTGAACAATAATATTTGGGACAATGTCTACGGGATTCATAAAAGGAATATTAGTTATTACCTTAAGTTGCTAGCAGAACATTGAGTGCCAAAAGTTTAGAAGCTAAATATTTGCAAAGTCCAAATTCTTTTCATTCGAATTCAGATGAGAACATTCTGGCTTCAAATGTTTAAACCCCTAAATTAGCAGTTTTATAAACTAGAGATTCAAGCAGAAGAAGAAGTTAAACAAATGCTTAAGCAAGTTTTATGTCTTTATTTTATATTGGAAGATTTGTAGAGAAATTGTCTTTCAATCGCAAACGATTGGGTGGTCTAAATGAAGCTCATTTTAACCTAATTGGGGACAAGGCATCTGATGCGTATAAAAAATCCTTTATTCTCTTTAGGCAAAATTTATTTACTTATTCAAAACGAGTTAGTTAAGCTGGATTTAATCTAAAGAGAATGAAAACTTTATTAGATAGAGATGCAGAGGTTAAAGACAGTACTACTCTTGAATAAGTAAAAGAAGATTTGAAAAAGTTAAGAAAACCTATTGTTCATTGCATCAATACAATAATCCATAAAATTCCAATTATTTAACCAGAATCCCTATTTAAAATGTATTGGGATTTCTTTACATCCTTTTTTAGAATAATCCTTTTAATCTTGGTTCCTCTTGAAATTGCTTTCAAACCTGAAATTCTTTTTAATAATCTTATTTCAATCACTTATGTCATTTTAATGATATTACAATTAGATTTTCTAATAAGAATCAATACTCTAACATATAGAAATGGAATTGCAATAAAAGATAAATGGGAATTGGTTATACATCAATTAAAAAAGGAGTTTCTTACTGATTTTTCAACTTCTTTAATCTTGATTATATTTATGATCATTCCTGATATGAAAACAAAAGCAAATTTATTCTTATTAGTAATCTTAGCTTAACATAAATATGTATATGAAACATTTGCAAAAAGTGATTAGATTTCATATTTAACAAGACCATAAAGAGGTATATTTGGATTATTGAAATTCATCTTAACACTTCTTTATATTTTACATTTATTTAGTTGTATATGGTTCTACTTTAGTAGTATTAGTATTGAAGATTCTTGGATTAGATTTAATGAATTGGAAGATAAAAATTGGGAAGAATAATATTTATAAGCTCTGTATTTTGCAGTNTTTAATAATGTTAGTTTTTTCGAAACTGAATTATTTATTAAATGTTTAATCTTTAGAATGGCTTTGATTTAGAATAAGATATAGAATTAAAGGCAGTGTAGAATGAAGACTTTGAACAATAATATTTGGGACAATGTCTACGGGATTCATAAAAGGAATATTAGTTATTACCTTAAGTTGCTAGCAGAACATTGAGTGCCAAAAGTTTAGAAGCTAAATATTTGCAAAGTCCAAATTCTTTTCATTCGAATTCAGATGAGAACATTCTGGCTTCAAATGTTTAAACCCCTAAATTAGCAGTTTTATAAACTAGAGATTCAAGCAGAAGAAGAAGTTAAACAAATGCTTAAGCAAGTTTTATGTCTTTATTTTATATTGGAAGATTTGTAGAGAAATTGTCTTTCAATCGCAAACGATTGGGTGGTCTAAATGAAGCTCATTTTAACCTAATTGGGGACAAGGCATCTGATGCGTATAAAAAATCCTTTATTCTCTTTAGGCAAAATTTATTTACTTATTCAAAACGAGTTAGTTAAGCTGGATTTAATCTAAAGAGAATGAAAACTTTATTAGATAGAGATGCAGAGGTTAAAGACAGTACTACTCTTGAATAAGTAAAAGAAGATTTGAAAAAGTTAAGAAAACCTATTGTTCATTGCATCAATACAATAATCCATAAAATTCCAATTATTTAACCAGAATCCCTATTTAAAATGTATTGGGATTTCTTTACATCCTTTTTTAGAATAATCCTTTTAATCTTGGTTCCTCTTGAAATTGCTTTCAAACCTGAAATTCTTTTTAATAATCTTATTTCAATCACTTATGTCATTTTAATGATATTACAATTAGATTTTCTAATAAGAATCAATACTCTAACATATAGAAATGGAATTGCAATAAAAGATAAATGGGAATTGGTTATACATCAATTAAAAAAGGAGTTTCTTACTGATTTTTCAACTTCTTTAATCTTGATTATATTTATGATCATTCCTGATATGAAAACAAAAGCAAATTTATTCTTATTAGTAATCTTAGCTTAACATAAATATGTATATGAAACATTTGCAAAAAGTGATTAGATTTCATATTTAACAAGACCATAAAGAGGTATATTTGGATTATTGAAATTCATCTTAACACTTCTTTATATTTTACATTTATTTAGTTGTATATGGTTCTACTTTAGTAGTATTAGTATTGAAGATTCTTGGATTAGATTTAATGAATTGGAAGATAAAAATTGGGAAGAATAATATTTATAAGCTCTGTATTTTGCAGTTGTAACAATGTTAACAATTGGTTATGGTGACATGGTACCAAAGAATGCAATAGAGAAAATAGTAACAATGGTATTTGTTTTAGGAGCATGTAATAAATAATATGTATTTTTTTAGGTTTATGGGTATCTTATAGTGTAAATTTCATTGGTAGTATAATTGATGATATCACATAAAATTAAGTAGAAAGAAATAGAAGAATGAGAGTCATAAATAAATATATGAATTAGAGAAAAATACCTTATAGTTTATAACATTAGTATATATAATTATTTAATTTAGGGTTAAAGAATACTTAACTTTTAGATGGAAAGAAGATGATGAAGTTGATCTTGAAATGGAATAAACTTTATTAGAGTAATTATCAGATGAATTAAAAGAAGAACTTGATAAGTAGGCTCATAAAGTATATATAGAAAAATCAGAATTTCTATAAAAATATTTTAGTGAAGAATTGAGAAATGCACTTTTTAAATCTATTAAAAGAAAGATTATACCACCTTAGAATACATTTTCAACTGATTTTGGTAATTAATAACATCTTTGTTTTGTTGAATAAGGATATATAGTATATTAACATCCAGAAAGAAAACAAAGATCTAAAATGAATGCCGTCATCAATCAAGGTTAATTTTTTTGTGTAAATGATTTTATAACTAATAATCCTTAAGTTGATCTTTTCAAAGCTATAGGATATGCAAGTTTATTAGTATTATCTAAATCAGATTTCATTGAAACATTAAAAGATTATCCTGAAGATTTTTAGAAATATTGTTAATTAAAAGATAATATAACCTTAAGTTATGTTCCACCAACATTAGAAAATGGAGTATTTTGTCCAGCTTGCTAAAATTTTAAACATCCTCTTAATAAATGTCCTTAAGTTTAATTTGTACCTAATAGAGAAGCTGTTATTAAAAGACATTGTATGACTGAAAATTAAATATAAAATAAATCTTTTCGTCGATATGATAAATCAATTTTAGATTGGCATACTAGAGCTATGAAAGATTTAGCTTGTTAATATGCATCTGTGTTTCAAAATGAAAATTAATAGGCAATTGCAATATAATCTAAAATTCAATTGAATTTTGAATGTGGATCTGATTCTAATTCATCAATTGATGATGCAGCATCACCTGGAATTAAAATTCCATAAAATTCTCCTATTTTTGAGGCACAATAAATCAAATAAACAAGAAAAAGTAGAATCGTATCTGATTAATAATTTTAGAATAAAACAGATTCTCGTTAAAATTTAAATTTAGCTTTATAAAATAGAAAATAATCTATATTATCTGGAGGTATATCTTTAGGTTTTGGTAAGAGTAATACTCCAAAAAATAAATTAGAGATTCCTATGATTGATGAGATTAAAGAGAGTGATAGTTCAGAAGATAATAGTGAAAATGAAAGTGAAAGTGATTAATCAACATAGAAATAGAAAGTTATTGATTATAAGAAATAATTAGAGAAGATGGCTTAAGCTACTCAAGATTTTAATGATAATATGACAGATAACATTACTAATTTATATCATTAATTGTAAACTAATTTAGAATTGAATGAAAATGATCTTATGACTAAAAAAGCCTTATAATCTTTGGAACCACTTTATTGGTCATTTAATTAATAAAAATTTGATGAATTTGAAACAAAATCATAATTTGATTATTATTTTAATAAACAAAATGCTGAAGATGTTATTTTGTATATAAAAGAGGATATATTTGGATGGTAAACACACATTTTAGATAAGATTAGAAAATTTATGCTTTATCCATTTTAATATATATTAATTTTTTTAAGATTGAGAAGGAATGCTAAACTTAAATCAGTTACACCTTTAAAAGTGGTTGCAAAAGTAAAGAGTACTTTAGACAATTTAAAGAAGACTTTAAAATTAAAGAAAAAATCAACTATAGTTAGATCAAGTCTAAAATTTAGTTCTGTTGCTCCAGATTCCAATAAATCTTAAGGGAAATAGAAGAAATGGTTAGTTTGACTTAATAATTTATTTAAGATTTAAATGACAAATGTTTATAATATTATAAATTCATTTTAAAGTCTAATCAATTCTTGAATAACGTTTGATTCTGAATGTAAACAGTTAATGATAACTTGAATCCAAAAACAAAGATATAATTGGTTGAAATATGTTTAATAAATTAACTGAGATTATTAAAGCCATAAAAATATCTAATTGATAAATAGATATTAACATTGACTTTTTTATATTAAATTTATGGATCAAAACCATTGGATATAAAAGTCTTCTGTTTAAGAATTTGGAATTGATAAAAATGTTTAGTAACAACAACTTTAAGGATAACCACCAGCCTCTTTAATAAGAAGAGTGTCCAAACGTAATATTGGTATTAGACCTACTCAGGAGAGTGGAATAGCTTAAATATTTGAAACCTTTCATCCTGAATAAAAAACATAAAGTCTTGATGATATCAAATTCATCATTAAATGCTTTTAAAGTCATTTCGTATTTAGCTCAATGACTGATACATAATTGTAAAATATTATGTTAACTTTAGAACACAATTAGCACATAGTATGTTCTATTGCAAATTATAAGTGGGAGAAACCATTATCAAATAAGGGGATGGAGCAAGCTCATTCTTTATTCTTGAGAAAGGAAAAATAAATGTTTTAGTGGATAATGTACCACGTAAAGAATTAACATCAGGATTTGGATTTGGTGAATTAGCATTATTATACAATGCTCCTAGATCAGCTACATGTATGGCAGTTGAAGAATGTTATCTATGGGGAATTGATAGGCATACTTTTAGAAAGAGTGTAGAAACCATTATGAGAAGTGAATAAGAGAAAAATAGAAAATATTTAGAGAGTGTTAAATTTTTTAGTAATTATATGAGTTTAATTTATAGATTAATTAACAAGAGAATAGAAGGATGCTGTAGCTGGAGTTTTGATATCATAAAAATTTAATTAGGGAGAAATTATAGTAAATGAAGGAGATTAAGCAAGTTCATTTTACATCATAGTAGAGGGTTAATGTGGAGTTTTTAATAAAGATAGTTAATAAATAGCAGTTTTGAATCCTAGTGATTCTTTTGGAGAATCAGCACTCAAATAAGAGAATTAAGTTAGAATGATGACCATTAAAGCAATTTAAAAAGATACAAAAGTGTTAGCTTTAGGAAAAGATATGATATAATAAATCTTAGGTGATTAAGTATAATCTATTATTTACAAAAATATATGCAAATGGGCTTTAAATTCATCTAAATTATTTAGCAAAACTTAATCAACATATCAAGATAAATTACTTGAAGGAGTATAAATTAAGAAATTAGCTGCAAATTCTAAAGTTATTACAAAGGGAGATAAAGTTGGATAATTAGTAATTCTTCTTGATGTTGATGCTATTGATGAAAATAAATAAAAGGTTCTTAAGGGAACAATTCTAGTTGAAGATACATTATAAGATAAATTATAAGGAACATCTCATGTGAAAACATATACAATAGAAATAGAAGGACATGTTGCCATTATAGATTATGAATCATTCAGAATAGCTTAAGGAAGTGTTGAGAAAATTTAATAAGGGAAAGCTTAGTAATCTGAAAAAGCAAATGCTTATGAAGAATAGATCAAAAGTTAACCATTTAAGAATTTAATATATTTAAATAAATTAGGATCTGGTTAATTTGGTTCTGTTTATTTATGTAAATTTAAGGAATTAGAAACTCTATTTGCTCTCAAATATGTTACAAGAGCACATGTTTAATAATTTGGAATATAAAAACATATTTAATAAGAAAAAGCTGTATTAGAATTGATGGATCATCCATTCATTCTTAAGTTTTATAGATCTTATAAAGACAATGAAAATATTTATTTCTTAACTGAGTATATTCCAGGAATGGAATTATTTGATGCTATCAGAGTTATTGGTAATATTATTAAATTGATTATTCATTAGGATTATTGAGTAAATATGATGCACAATTCTATGCTTCATAAATGTTATTATAAATGGAATATTTACATACTTAACACAGTATTGTTTATAGAGATATTAAACCAGAAAATATAATGGTTGATGATAAGGGATATTTAAAATTAATTGACATGGGTACAGCTAAATCATTTAAAAATTAATGTATTAAATACTATCCAATTATTTATTTAGAATCTTCAAAGACTTTCACTATTATTGGAACACCTCATTATATGGCACCAGAAGTCATTTCAGGAAAAGGTTATGGTTATTTTGCAGATCTATGGAGTGTGGGAGTTTGTGTTTATGAATTTATATGTGGTGGTTTACCTTTTGGAGAAGAAGCAGAAGATCCATTTGAAATCTATAAAGAAATCATTAAAAAGCCAATCAGCTATCCTCATTTTATGTCTGATAAATCAGCCAAACCCTTCATTGAATAATTGATGAATAAAATCCCAGAAGTTAGGTTAGGAGGATCTTACACTACTTTGAAATCTCATACTTGGTTCAAAGATTTTGATTGGGTAAATATTCATATTATTTAAAGGAAAAATTATTAAATAAATCACTTAAGGCTCCCTTATAGCCTGGTAAGGATAAAATTATGACTCCAGCATAGATTTAGACTGCCTTATAGCGTGGAGTCTCAGTTCATGATTAAATTTAAAAGGATACTTAGGGATAGAAGAAAGTATTGGCAAGTGCTAAAGATGCAGAATGGGATAGTGCATTTTGATTAGAATTGATAATATAATAACAGTACAAATTCCTTTTTGTAATCTTGTTATTTAGTTTTTATCCTTTGTTTAAAAAAGTTGGTTTAGTTTCAAATATATTTATTAAATATTATATATCTATTAAATTTTAGTAGATGTATCAATTTTTTCATAGGATTGTATGATTATGAGGAGATTAAATTGAAGAAAAGAATAATTGAATTAAGTAGTATAAATAAAATATTGAGAAGGAAGTTATAAATGAATATAGTCTATTCATTACTCTTATAATAAAACATATTAAATACTAATGATCACAATTAAATATTTCAAAAAAAAGTTAAGTCGAAAATAAGAATTATAATTAAACTATTTTGTTAAGTACAAGAATTCAATTAAGAGTTTTAAATTGAAAAATTCCTTTCTATGTGAAAATCTATAATTTTAGTTGAGATATTTCTAATTGATTAATAAAAGAACATATAAATATTGAAATATCTTTTATTAAAAACATACAATTTATTTCTTAATAATCTAGAATAATGCATAATTTTTATATTACAATCAATAGAATGAAAAACTAAAATAATACAAAAAAATCTTTGATGATTGTCCTTAATTGTAATGAGATAGGACATACTGGTATAATTTTATTATAAATAAACAATTTTATTGACAAATTATCAGATAAAATAAAATAAAATGATATTAGAATATGAGCATTCTATGTCATCATTAAGATTGATATTGTATAAGAGAATGAATCTGATAGAGATTGCTAATTTAGAAAAGAATTCAAACAAAATGACATATTTTAAAGTAAAATATTGAAGAATTATTTAATCTTCAAATATAAGTATTTTTATTGTATTATTTAATCTAAAGATATAGTTAATACTATTGATTAATTCTTTATCTATTATATTCTTTATCATCTTAAGAAAAACAATAATTATGAAATAAATCATTTATTTTTTGTATTAAATATATATAAATGATTAACACTAAATTAACATAACTAATATTACTACGTAAACATTCTGAAGCAGATACTTACTATTATACCAAATATTTGAATGATTTCATAGATAATGCAAGATCAACTTAAGTTATCAACTTTCATTACATTTTAAACTTAAATGATGAAGCAGAATATTTGAGAAGAACTTATACTATTAGTAATTAATTCAATGTATAATAGATGAAATTGTAAATAAAATCACTTCCTTGGTTGAATATTACAAATTTCACAATGATATTCCAAGATGTTTTATTCCAAAAATTTCTGATATTATGAGCAAGTAGAGTATTGAAATCAATATTTTAGTTATTATGATAAAAGAAGGAAAATTGATTATCTTAGAATTAAACGAATGATTGAATATCAAAATAAAATACACCCTGATCAACCTCAAAAAAAAATTATAGGTGAAATATCTGAAATGAGTATTACTTAAAAATCAGGCAAAAAATATAGCAATATTCTGAATGATATAATTGAAACTTCAAATACAATAGATAAAATTAAATTCGAACTTAACTCCATTAAATTAAATGTTGAAGAACTATAAATAATTTAATCAAATAGAGAACAATAATAACTAGACAGTTTTTTAAAACACATATCTAAAAAGAAATAAAAATAATCCTAAGTTCCCAATTCACTAACTCTTAAATTTCCAATAGGATTATCATCAAGAACTATTAAATAAGTTATATCAAGAAAGATGATAACTTAATAATAAACTTAAATAACTAACCTTAATTCAGCTAAAACTAGTAAACAACTTTCATAATATCAATAATCTTCTTAGATCTAACCTTCATAAAAAATTAACATAAAACAACTTCCTTCTCAAAAGGATTTTAATCATTTTGGATCATTCACTTAAAGAATTGTTAAAGATAATCCACTATCTAAATTGTTGTCTCCTTTACATATTTAGTTAGTAAATGTCAATAAGTATATTCAAAACATAATTAAATAGTCCATCTAATAAATGTAAAACCACTGTATCTATTTCAAAATAATTTAAAATTACTGACTCAATGAAATTATCAACTAAATTTCATTAACATACTAAGTCAGATTTTTAATTTTTTAGAAAAATATGATAAATTGATATAAATTAAAATTTTTATTATTTTTTATAAATATTATGTTGTATGCATATTTCAATAATATGATTTATATCTCTAAAATTTTCATGATATTCTTATTAAAATTATAAGTTTCATTTAAAAAGATTAAATTAAATAGCAAACAATATGGATTTTAATAATAATGAATTTTATATGCGATTATCAAATTTCTTAGAATACAGTATTTAAAATAGATTTATATCAACCATATTCTTTCGGATCTACTCTGAACCAGGTAATTAATCTTTTGTTTTTGTTTTATCATATTTTTATCTATTTTTCGGATAAAATAGATCATGGGCTAATCTCTCTTTAATTCATGAAGATTACTTCCTATTTCCTTGCATCCAAGACTTAATTTGACTAAGGTATAGAAGATATTGATTTATTATTTATTCAATTTTATTACTGTTTTATTGTAACATTGATCTTTATATTACTAATCAATAAATCTGGGTTTCTAATTTAATATTATCATATGTACCAAAACTTAAATTCATTTAGTACACTCGTATACTCAAAGTGAAAGCATAGTTTTTTGAGGATGAAAATATTTAGTTTAGGTTTCAAAAACTGATTGAGGTTGATGTTTTTCAGTAACCTTTACATCACATTAAGATGATTGAAATACAATATTTTATCTACTGCAAAATTTAATTAACTAAATTATTCCTTTATTTAGATGTCATAACCTCTAGGCACAGGAGAATTTTTCTATCAAATTGATTAATTTCTGGTTTCATGTGAGTCGAATGGAGCATTCTCTAACTTGATATTGAATTATTCATGGGAAAGGTAGCTACCAGGACCAGCCTCATAATACTAGACCCTTTTATATTTGGAGAGACGTATAGAGTTTATTAAGCATATTTCTTTATGCTTAAAATATAAAATCCATTATATAATAAATATATATACAAAAATTTTAGTCATCTTAAAATGAAAAATGGGAAGTAGATTTTGAGTGAAATCAACTAAAAATTAGAATACATATCTAGAAAAATTAGTGATTTATATCTTTGGAAAAACCCTCTAATTGAATCACATATAAATGAAATAAGCAATCGAATTTAAAATATTCTTTATATTTTAAGTAGTGAAGAAAAAGCAGAGAAATAATTTTAATAAATGAGGAATGAATTTTTATCTTAATAAAATAAGTAAATATAAGGAACTATTGACTCTGATATATTGTACTCATACAATATGGACATTTTAAATAAAGGTTAAGGTAATGATTAATAAATCAATGATATTTAAGAGATTTGTTATAGTGAAATCATAAATGATACAAATGTTAAACTTCCATTAGATGAATAGGTGAAAATAGAGTCAAAGATTTTATAATAGACTTAATAGAATTAATCAATAAAGAATTAATAATTTGATTAGCATTCTAATATAAAGTAACTTAAAAATGATTCAATAGAATCAAAAGAATAATTGAGTAAGATATAAATTTAATAATCATAATAATAAAATGGTGAAATTAAGTAAATGAATTAAAAAATGAGTAAAGATCATAATTCTCCTAATTAATCTGATAATGATGCAGAAGAAATAATGTATTCTGCAATTTCTTCTTTTAGTGCTATATAATAATAATAAGATTAATAGTAATAATAATAATAATAATAATAATAATAATAATAATAATAATAATAATAATAATAATAATTATAATAATAGTTTTATAAATAATCTTCATAAAAGCAATAATCATAATCAGATTATAATCAATAATAACCGTAATATTAATAGTAATTGTAATAGAAGTAATAACATTTATACTAATAGCAATAGTAATAGTAATAATAACAAAAATAATAATTTTTGCAATTATAATCTTAAGAATAAGAAAAATAATTTTAGTAAGATTAAAATTTTTTTAATAATTTAACTAAATCCAAAACAAGAATATACTAATACTAAGTGAAACAGGAGCTATACTTAAAAATGAAACAAGATATTAGTAAATTTTAAATGAGTATTGTGGATTAACCTTAATTTTCTGAAGATGGTAGTATTATCGTATGTCCGATTTGTTACGATTCTAGCTTTGCTGATAGCAATATATAAGATAAATATGTAATATCAATGAGTTGTTCACATCAATTTCATTATGTTTGTTTATAACCTTTATTGAACAATAACTTCCTAAAATGTCCTGTTTGTAATAAAATAGTTGGTTAATTAAAAGGTGATCAACCTGATGGAATAATGGAAGTGAAAACTATTCAACAAAGATGTGAAGGGTATAAATGTAACACAATTTAAATTAAATATATCTTTCATAATGGACTTAGAAATGGAAAGTATTTTTCTGGAACAACAAGATTTGCATATTTACCTGAAAATGAGGAAGGTAAATATGTATTAAGTTTGTTAAGAAAAGCATTTGATTAAAAATTAGTATTTACAATAGGAACATCATTAACTACAGGATAAGAAAATTGTATAGTTTGGAATGGAATTCATCATAAAACAAGTTTAGATGGTGGTCCATAAAATTATGGTTATCCAGATCCTACTTATTTTGATAGAGTATTGGATGAGTTGAAGTAGAAAGGTATTACTTAATCTAATAATTGAAATTAATAATACATTTATAATTAATAATTTAATGAAACCAGCATCTTATTTAAAAAAGGTTGGACCCTATAGTCTCATAAGGGAGATTGGTTCAGGTATAAATTTTTGAGAATTTAGGGTCATTTGCAAGAGTATTTCGAGGTAAGATGGATGGAAGATAAGAAGATGTAGCAATAAAAATGATTTCTAAATAAAATGTTAGAAATGAGAGTATGTCAATGATTGAAAAGGAAATTGAAATTTTAAGATAATTGGATCATCCAAATATTATTAAATTGATAGATTTTAAGAGAACATAAAATCATTATTATTTAGTTTTTGAATATTGTGAGAATGGGGATTTAGATGCTTATATAAGGTATATATTTCATCTAACAAAATTAGGAAATATTCTCCAAATGGGAAATTACCAGAAGAAGAAGTAAGAAGAATAGTTTAACAATTGGCACTAGCATTACAATAAATGTACAAGTTAAGAATAGTACATAGAGATTTAAAATTAGCAAATATATTAGTATCAAAGAATTTTTAAGTAAGTTCGTTTTTTTAAATAATTTAGATCAAGTTAGCAGATTTTGGATTTGCAAAATATATGGAGGATGATCAATATTTAACATCTTATTGTGGTACTCCATTGACTATGGCTCCAGAGATTTTGTAAAGAAAATAATATAATGAAAAATGTGATGTATGGTCAGTTGGGGTTATAATTTATCAAATGATTTATGGCAAATCTCCTTTTATTCCACCTAAAGGAGGTAATATTAATGATTTAATTGCTATCATCAATAAAGGAGATTTATAATTTCCTGATTCATCTATTACACCAAAATTGAAGGAATTGTTATTATAGATGTTACAATAAGATTTTAAAAGAAGAATCAGCTTTAGAGATTTTTTTGAGCATAGTTGGTTGTAAGGGGAAGTCAAGGCTGATTATATTTAAAGCATTAAATAGGATATTCAAGAAAATGTCAGTGAAATAACACCTGTTGCTCATCATAAAGTAAGTGAAGATATTTAAGATGAAGAGATATTTAATGATAAAGATGATAGTACAAATGAAGTATTTAAAGATTTATAATTAAAATATATTGGATATTAATTACAAAAATAAGCATTATCTTATTTAGATTTAATGTTTGAAGAAATAAATAAGATAAAATTATTATGTGAAAAAATTTAGAATTATAAATTGAACTTTTAATTTCTATAAAATCGTTTATTGAGTTTATCATTAGCAATTAGAATTTATGAAGCATTTCTAATTAAATAAGTAAATGAATTTATGAAAGAATAAATTGTTGTATTGCATACTTCATCAAGTAACAGTTCTCTAATCAGTCTTTAAATGAAAAGACCATTTGTTGCTCATCAAATTACTATGTAAAAAGAAATCATTGAAATTAAAAATTATTTCAAAGATAATTAAATGATAATGAATTAATTTGAATAGTGTGGTTATTGCATTGCTGATAACATCTTTGATGAAATTCTAGAATTATTGATGAATTTAATTGAACATTAGCAATATATTGATTAGGATATCTTTACTTAATTGATTTAATTGTTATATTCATTTAATTAATCATAACCTTAATTACTTTAAGTAGAATTGTACATGAAATTGTAAACAGGAAATGATATGAACTACTATTGGCACTTATTTAAATTAGTCAGAGTTAATCAAAAATATATTGCAGATTCAATAGAAAATTAAGTAGTTTGTGAAAATAATGACTTTGATAAAAAACTCTAATTTGAATGGAAACTTGTGAAGGATGATACAGAAGAAGCTTAAGTATCCTTTACTAAAGAAGAAATTGATAAATTATAAGACTTACTAAAAGAAGAATATTCCAAAAGGGATATACGTTAATAAATATAATGATAATTAAAATTATATGGAGTACTTAACTAATGATAAAACTCCTTAAATAATAATTAGATCTATTTTCTATCAACAAATCTCTTTCTTCTCGTTCATCTCACATATGTCAATTCCCAATTCTTAGTTCAAGTATAGGTAAAGTTTCTGTCCAATCTATGATTTTATCAATTAAATTAGAAGACATACTAAAATATTAGTAATTCTTAAATTATTATTGATACATATTCTAATTGAAAAGTTTATTTTTTGACTAGTTATTGATATTTTTGATATGGTTAAATTAATAAAAGTCAAGATTCATTCAAGATTTATTTAATTAAGATATAAAATAATATAATATATAAATCAAAAATGGGAAATTAAATTTGCTATGGAGGAGTATTTATATATAAATGAAAAGGATGATGATAATGTTCATTGGAAATAGCAATTGGAAAGTACTTGTAATGGTATGAAGAAAGAAATGTGTTGGGCTGAACCTATTTTAATTTAGCTTAAAGAATTAAGGGTATCAAACAAGTATTAGAAATAATTACATTCATTTGCTTAAAGTTATGATGAATAATCAATTCCTGAGATTTAAAAGTCTATTAAATCTAAACAACCTATAAGGGAAAATAGAAATATGTAAACAATTATAAAAAGAACAGGATTTACAGAAGATGATCTAGTTGAATATTTTATCAAACCTAGTAGAGCTTCAATTAATTTAAGTATCTAATCAATTACACCATCTTATATTTATCATGAGAAAACATATAATTTAGGAATGGGAGAATCTTAGGTGAAATTTGAGGATTAGATGTATTTTTTTGTGCAAATTACAGATAAAATAAAAGAACATTTTGATTAACCTAATGAATTAGGAATAATGATAATTCATTTTAGACATTCTTTAAATTAATAACATAAAAATAGTACATTTTAATAGTTACATGAATAATTAACATTATTTTGTAGAACACTCTATGAGACTATTTTAATTTATTATGATATGATAAATTTAAAATAGAAATATTAAAATCATGCAGTATTATTAAATGAAGAGACAATGCTCAATTTTATTGTTAATTATGTAATGTCAAATGAAGGGATATATAAAGTAATTTTCAATTCTTTGTTAAAATAATTATGTTAAATTTAACAATAGACAGAATAAATTCTTAAACAAAAGCAAGACATAAGTGAAGAAGATATGGAAATTCCTAAAGACTTTTAATTGAAATCATAATTAAATCCTTATAATAAAGCAATATAAACATTGTAGAAATTGTCTAGAAAATAAGGTCCTTCCTCAAAAGTCAAGGTGATAATCAATTTTTCATAATAAATTCAATAACATGTCAGAGAATCAAATGAAAATAGAGGATCAAGTTTACTTATGTAAGCTGATGATCTTTTGCCAATTATCAAGTACATATTGATAAAATCTTAAATATATGATATTGATATTCATCTTACTTATATAGAAAAGTTAATAACTAATGGAATGCTCAATTCTACAAGTGGTTACTATGTGGTGACATTATAGGCAGCTTTAACTTCTTTAAGAAGTAATTTAAATTAATAATTTAATTAATAAAAATGAATATTATTTTTTTTTAAACATTTATTAATATAAACAATTCTATTGTAATATCTTTTATGATAATAAAATTCAATACTAAATCATATTCTATTCTTTAAAATATAAATAATTTAACATAAATTATAATTTATTATAACTATTATGTAATAAACTTATAATCCAGATGAAAGAATTAGTATTGAATTATTTTTAGCTGCAAGATAATTACCTAATCTCGAATTCTTCTCGAAAAGTGATCCATACTTAGAACTCTATTATTCACTATCTGGGTAATAAGAAATATTATTGGGCAAAACAGAAGTTGCTGATTGTAATTTAGATCCTAATTGGGAAAAAACATTTAATATTGAATATTACCCAGATCTAACATAGATTTTAAGATTTTAAATATTTGATTAAGATAGAATGGGTAGAGAATTTATGGGAGAAACACATACAACTATAAATGACATTTTTTAATAAAAAAATTCATTAATTACTCTCTAAATCAAAAAATTTGATAAAGCAGCAGGATTATTAATTTGTAAAGCAGTTAAATTTAAAGAATCAAATCATTATGCTTAATTCTAATTTTCTGGAATTAATCTTAAAAATATAGATGGAATATTTGGTAAGACTAATCCATTCTTGAGATTTTATTTGTTCTCAGAAGGAGTGTGGTGTCATATATATTAAACTGAATATATAAAAGAAGATCTTAATCCAATATGGAAATAATTTGAAGTTTCTTTATAGAGATTATGCTTCAATGATGAAAATAAAAAGTTTAAAGTTGAATGTATTAATAGACATGAATAAACAAAGGATAATTAGATAATTGGTTCATTTGAAACAACTATAGATGAAATTTTTAATAAAAATATTGATTCATTTTAATTAATCTAAACAAAAGGAGGACCAGCAGGAATAATTAAAATTTTAAATAAATAAAGAATACATAGAGCTAATTTTGATGATTTCATATAATAAGGAACAACTTTTAATATAATAATTGGGATTGATTATTCTTCTCATAATGGTATTCCTTAATTTCCTGATTCTATGCATACTTATGTTGAAAAGAACAATATTTATTAAAAAGCATTAAATGATATTACTAAAGTATTAGAAAGCTATAACATTAAGAAATTATTGGCTATATATGGAATGGGAGCTGAACCTAATTTTTCTAATTATAATAGCCATGGTTATCAAACACTTTTCCCTTTAACAGGAGATTTCTAAAATCCTTAAGTAATAGGCTATTAAGAAGCTGTTAAAACATATCAGAATAGACTTAGAGATATTGTTTTTAAAGGGGATCTATAACTTGAAGATTTTATTAAATATGTTTAAAGAGTAGCTGAGCATAATGCAACCAAACTAATATATACAATTGCTGTTATTTTAGGATAGGAATAAATTACAGATTTAAAAGAAGTTTAGAATCTAATTTTAAGTGGTATTGTACATATATATAAAGTAGGTTAAAATTTACCATATTCTTTGATATATGTTGGAGTTGGAGGAGATGATTTTAAAGATATTAAATAGATTACTCATCTTATAAATTCTTAAAATCCACCTATAAGAAATAACTTTAACTTTTATAAATATTAAGAAGATCTTTCTTCAAGTATACTTAAAAAAAGTTTAATGTTTGATTTACCTAAACATTTAATTTCATATCATTAATGCATAAATTTGTGACTAATTTAAAATCTATTATTAATTATCTAAAATAAATTATATTTTCATTCTTTTAAACCTACTTTCTTTTCTTTTTTAGTTTTTATCCTTGCAATCTTTTCATCCAAGAAAAATAAATAAGGCACATAACAGGCACAACATATAAGAACAGTAAAACCTAATAAAGATGCAGACCTTTGAAATCCATACCATTTTGTAAGATAACCTCCCATAATTGGACCAAATAATTCTCCTCCTGCTAAACTGGCATTAAAACTATAATATATTGAATTTAATATAATACATTGCAGATGCAATATTTGCACATTAAGTGGGATATTTATAATAATCTTTTGTAAGAATTTAATTCACTTAAGGTAATGTAAGTACATATGGAAATCCTCCAGTAAATCCAACAATTGACCAAGCTAATATTGTATATAATTTTTTTGGATGTAAATTGGTGAACTTATAATCAGGACCCATATAAAATTGCAATAATCCACTTACTACTAATCCAAAATACATATAAAATTTTTTATGAGATTTTATTCTAGATATAAATATAGTAGACAATCCAAATGAAGCAGCATTTATTGATATCCAATATCCAGAATATTCTTCTTAAATATCATATTCTTCTAATAAATAAATAGCTATTGTAGGATTATAAAATGTCCATAAGGATAGCGTTAACGTATTTGTTATAAACGATATTACAACAGGATAATTCAAAAGCAATGAGATATATGATATACTAAAATCGGCATCTATAATTGATTCTTGATTTTATATAGATTAATGTAATATGATTGATTAACTAAGATCTGCTTCAGGCACATCTAAACTTTTTGAAAAAATGATCAGAATTACTGCTAATCCAAATGAACATGCAGCAAAGAAAAAGAATGGTAAAACAAATCCACCTAATTAATATAAGGCTGATCCTAATATTGGACCTCCTAAAAATCCAAGAGATGTTGAAACTTCTGCAATTGCTATTTTTTCTTCAATTGATTTTGGAAATAATTAAGGAATAAATGCATAAAACGGTGTCATAAACATAGATGCACCCTATTTTATTTTCATGATATAAATACTATTCCACCGATCAATCTAGCCATAAAACTTCCTATTAGAACAATCCAATATGAATCAAAATAATATAATAAACCAAAAAGCAATAAACCTAAACCTTATAAAAATATTCCTATAACCATTATTTTCTATCTGTTATCCTATCATTAGCATATTTTTTACATGGGTTATTACTTTTCCTAAAATCAAGGAAGAAATAAATTGTCCCAAAGGATGAGCTGCAAAAACAATTCCTATAATATCTTCAGAAATCTCTTTAGATTTAGCAAATTATGGATAAAATGGTGCAATGATTGACATAGCAAGATTACAAACTACATTGCATGATATCAATATATAGAATATATGTGTTTATTTCATTTCAATTAATTTAAATTATCCAATTTTTATAAATATATATTTGAAATGATGTTTTTACATATATATTTTGAGTCTGCAATAAAATCTAAATTAGTTCATAAAAAATCTTCTAAAAGTAAAAACAAAACGAATAACCTTATTTATTATTTTTAAATAAGAAATATAAATATAATTCTATATAATATATTCTTAATTTATGTTAATATATGCTAATATTATTAAATAATTTGTAAAATTGAGAATAAAACTATGTTAAAAACCAGTAATAAAATAAAAGATATTTTTCAAGAAATAATAGATATATATTGATATTTTTTTTAATGCTATTCAATGTTTATTATCCTTTTCTTATGTCTATTACCAAAGTTTAAATAAGTCATGATTGGTCTTATTTTTAATGTTGGAATTTTCAAAAACTGTCCCAATAAATTTTGAATTCTAAGAAGTCTTACTAATACACAATATTTCAGAGAAAGTTATCTAATTTTTTGAATTAACCTAAATTTTTGAAACATATTATTTTTCATAGTTTCTTATATTATTTTCTTTTATTTATTTCTCTAAAAATTCTTTAAGTTGTAATTATTTAGTTAAAAATTAATCTTAAAGCGATTTTGTAATCTCAAAGCAAGACAAACTTAATTTGATCGTCTAAATATTAAAACTTTTGATCAATTAATCACTCTATTGAAATAATTAATCGATTTGTTCTCCTTCTTTTATTATTTATTCTTTGAAGGTATTTTTTGCTCTTAATGTAGCACTCATATCAACTCTTCTTAATTCAGATAGATTATGAAACTTATCTTCTACTTACTGAATAATTTTATTTTATTCTTGATGAAATATTTCTCTTAAATTAAATTCATTTGTAAAATTCATAAGTAATCTGCATTCCTGCTCTATACTACTAAAATTGAGATTCTACAAAGTTTCTTGGAAATATTACTTTTGCTATTGCAATTTCATTTTTAAACCATTAATATCTTCAGAAAAGATTTCATCATCTTTCAAATTTTACATTTTCCATATTTTAATACATTTATCTTAAGAAGTTGAAACTATAAATTTATTATCTGAAGATAAACCTAAACAATTGATTAGTGCTTAATGACAAGAACTTTTAAGTCCATGCATATTTTTGGATATATACCAAACTTTTATTGAAAAATCTTCAAAAGATAAGATTAAAATTAATCCATTTTTATTAAAATACATTGAAGTAATTACTCCTTAATAGGAATATGTTTAAAATATCTTTGATAAGTCTTTAGTTTCTAAAATATAGACGTTGGAGTCTTTGCTTGCAATTGCCAAATAGGAATAATCAGATGTTAATGCTAAACAAGACACCTTATTATTGACTTTTTATTATTAAGAATTCTATTAGATTGTATCAATTTGTTAATCAAAAATTTCCTCAAAAATCAATTAATTTATCTATTTCATTTAAGATGTTTCATCAATTACTTCGTAACAAAAAGATTAAGCATTTGTATCATTAGAACTAAGTTTAATTTTAGTGTATTTTCCACAATAATTTAAAACTACTAAATTATATTCTTAATCAAAGAACATAGTCAATATTTAATAATTTAGATTAATCTTTTTACTAAATTATTTTCCATAAAGACTATCCCATATTTTAATTTCACCATTCTAAGTTCCTGAACAGATCAAATGATTTTATTGAGATTATGCTAATAAAATGACTTCTCCTTTAGGTTTTAAACATAATATTGTATGATTAATCTATTTACCAGTATAACTATCATAAATTAAAATTGAATGACCAAATCCACCTGTGATAATAAATTGATCATCATTAACAATAATGATTGGGCTTAATTGACAAGCAGAACATAATTTATTAATTTAACATTCTTAACAACTTTATAAAGATATTATTTAATTAACAATAGATGCTGTTTTAATGTTCCATTAAATTATTTTCTTATCTTTACCTTTAGTTATAATTCTTTGAGAATCCTAAGATATAACCATAAATAAAATGCTACCATCATGACCAGGAAAATATTCACTAACACGATAATTATCAGAGTTATGCCATTATTTAATTAATCCATCTTTTCCTGAAGATAAAATAATCATTCCATCTGGTTTTGAAAATTCAACACTATTAACAGAATCTAAATGACCATTTAAATTCTCTCCAATTTAAGTTCCCTGCATATAATCCCATATTCTAACACTTTTATCATCACCTCCACTTACTAATATATTCCCTTCACTAGAAAAACAGATACATCTAACAGCTTTTGAATGCCCAATTAATTTTGCCTAATCTTTTTTTTTAACCAAACTATATATAATAATGACTTCATTTGTTGTAGCATATGCAAATAGTTAACCATCTGGACTAAAAACGATACTTGTTACATAATAACCTTATGGTAAAGTTCTTATAAGTTTAGGCTAAGGCTTCTCTTCTTGTATCTTAAATATATTTATTGAATTTTAATCACAAACTATCAAACTATCTTCATCTGGAGAAAAGTCAAATGCTGTTATTCTGCTCTCTACTGTAATTTCTCTGAATTAGGTAAATTATTTATTAATAAATTAAAAAATAATTATTTTTCCTTTTTAACATGCAACTGATAAATAGCTATCTTAATTTGAAAATTTTATTAAATCAATAATGTCGTCTAATTTAGGTTTAAATTCGATGTGTTATTGTTTATCATCATTATAGTTTCTTTAAATGGGATTTGCCCTATTTTATTACAAATCCTCATAAAAACTCATGATATTTATAGTTTCATCATAAAAATAGACAAGCATACATTTCGTGTTAGACCAACAAAAATCAAATACTTCTTTTTGTAGTTCTATATTTTTAATAATCTATCCAGCAGTTATTTAATAAATCACCAATTATTTATTTAGACTTAGAGATGCTATGTAACTACCATCAAATGAGAATGATGCTTTTAATATAGGACCTATATTAAAAGATAAAGTTGGTAAATCTTATGAGATTATGTCCTTCCACTCAACACCTGCAATTTTACAATAATTTAAGTTTGTTCCCATCAAAGTCACATTCTCAAATTTGGATCCACTAAAATCACATCCTATACACTTAAATCCTAATAACTTAACGTCTTTTATCTGAATTCCACAGAATTTCTTTTCATAGAACAATTCCTACATATAAGTTAATAATTATAAGGAATTTGAACTAATATTTTAGAAATATTATGATATTACTGAAGTTAATACTAAAAAATGTAAGGCTTATTTTAAATCTTAATTTTTTTATATATATTCTACTATAAATCTTATTGTTCCCATGTAAAATTAATTTGCCATAATTACATAATTTAATGGTGAATAGTTTATGAATGTCAATAAATCATGTGTATAATTATAGTGATTTAAATAAATTTAATATTAATATTAAAAGACTTAATTAAATTATTATGTAAATATACTTCTTGCTTAATCCTAATTATCTAATACTTACAATTAATTATTTTAATATATCTAAATACATATTGTAATAAATTCTATCGTTTTCAACTTTTTACTCGTATTTTTCAAGAAAACATCAACTTTCATTTCTTTGAATTAATTAATTATTTAATTAATTCCAAAAAGATTATTGATGATGAATTTTGCATATATAAATTCTTAGATTGATTTATGCTCAAAACTCAAAATAGTACCTGTTAGTTTTAAAGGAAGGCATTTCTTTATTAAGATTGTATCTTCCGAATTTTAATTAAATAATTCTTGATACCTAGGGTCAATTGAATGCTATTTAATTTTTTAATCTCTGTATACTCCTGATAAATTTGAGACTTTTTAAGTTTCCATTGTAGTTAATTAATATTACATTAAATATGATACTAATAATCTTGAATATTCATTAACTTCATTTATAAAATTATTATTAAACTTTTATTATTAAATATTAGACAATTTTTGCATTTAGTTTTATATATAATTCTCCAAAAATTATTCATAAAAATCATACTATGTTAATTTAAAAGATTTATAACATTTTAACAATATCTATTTATCATCTCCATATTAATCATAATCCTATAGAGAAAAATCTTAATGTTTTTAAAAAATTTATTTTCCTTATACTTTTAAGTTCTCCTTTATTTTCATCTATAAAATACGCTTTAGTTTAAGTTCTTTTGATAACTTTATATAGACTGAACTTTAATTACTTTGATAAGAAATTTGATGTTAAGCAATTTATGTATTTTTGTAATGGGGATTAAAAGTTTAAATTTATTAGTATTATTATACTTATTATTATAAAGGTTATTAAGTGCATGCATAGATTTGTTAGAACATTTAATTTTGATAAATTCTTTCATCCATACATAATTGAGGATGCTGTTTAACCCCTTAATCATCCTCTAAAAATTCTGGGTATTCTGGTATAAATGATTAGTTATTTAATTCAACTGGTTAATCTTCATTATATTATTCTTAAGAGATCTTCTCTAAAAACTATCTAATATCTTTGATATTTTTTTTTTTGACATATCTTTCAAACATTTAAAGTGTATAATTATTAATAAAATAATTCTATTGAATTTCTTATTTCTAAGAGTTGATTTAGGGTAAAACATCAATTACTATTTTCATCATAAATGGTGTTTTAAGTAACTATTCCAAATTGAAATCAATTATATTATTATTATAAAATTATGGAGTTTAAATATGTCTTAACTATCTTTCTAAAATAGCAAATTGATCTTATTTATTTAATAATTTTAATTCACTTTTCAACATTGAAACAATAATATTGATTTCTTTATCGCTTAAATATAAATCATATGATTATTGATGATGATTAGATGGTTCCAATTTTTCTAAAATATTATTCCATATTTTTTCAACTTCATTTATAAGATTTCTTCCTCTTTTTTAAATGAGAGAATACTTTTCAAAATAATCAAGCAAAGTTTTTTTGATTTATGTATATGAATATTATTTTAAGTAATCTTACTTTTAATTATCATCAAAACTTAGAATTCTTAATTCTTTGTATTTTGTAAAATCTAAAACTGATTCACTACTAAACCATTATCTATAATTTGTACTATTCAATTCAAACACTTCTGATCTAGTTGTAGTAATAATTTTTGGATAATTTAGACTATATATTTTTTATTGACTTTATGTTAATTCACTTAAATTTAATAATTGCTATTTCCAATTCTTCAATTTATTATTTTAAATAAGATTAATTTAATTATTAGTTAATTCATCAAAGCTATCAAGAATAAAGACAACTGCAACTTTACCTTCTTCAACTTAGGTCTAGAATGTTTGTATTTATCTCCAATCAAAATTATAATTGGATGATGCTAAAGATTCTTCAATAGCTTTTTAATATGGATCTTTTAAGCTTGCTAATTAAATGAATATAGGTATTATTGGTATCTATTCTAAATCTTTAGACCACTCATCTAAATTCAACTATTAATATTAGAGCCAGATATATTCTTCTATCTTTTTAGCAGCAACACTTTTCCCTGATCCTGCTGGTCCATGAATCAATAGAGAATCTTTTGGTTATTATAAAAATTCGTCTATTTCACCTTTATTCTAAGAAATATCATTAAAAAGAGTTGTTTCATCATCTTCATCTTTAAAGTTTTCTTTTAACTCTTTAGTTCTTAAGTTTACATATACATTATTGAAATCATTTATAATTTTCTATTATAAAACAGATTGCATCCTTATTTCTAATAATTATTTTGGTGTCTTTCCTATTAATTATTTAATATCTTAAACTACTTCATCAATTTTATTAAGCATTTAATCTAATTTTTATTGAATTCTATTTAAATCTTATTTAATTTCTCTTAAGAAATTGATAGTGATCCCTAAAGCATCTCCAATTTGATTAACATTAAGTATTTATTGTTCTATTTATTCTTCCAATTTTTTATGTTCTTTATGTAACTACTCTCTTTTTCTATCAGTTTCAGCACTTGAAATATTAAATTAAAGCTATTCTAATTTACTTATTTGGCTAGCTAAATCTTATTATATCTGATTTTATATTTCAGGCCAATGCTTAGAGAATCCTTAATACATTTACTATACTATTTATTTATTTTTTAGTGTTACTAATATTTTTATATTAGTTTCTTTAGCAGCAATTAAAATTAAAATTTTTTGTATGGATTATTTATTTTATTCTTGCAATTAATTTTCTAATTAGATGCATTAAAATAGAAATCCTTCTTTAACTCTCCATGAATTACCTTAAATGTATTCAAGTATAGAGGCAGTTATACTTTATTTACATTATTTTAGATTACTTTGGATCTGATTCTGCACAGGTGAAAATATGAAATTCAATTCATCTTTAAGAAATCGATCTAATTCTTTTGGATTTTGATTAATAAAGTATAATTAATCAGCATAGCTTTTAGAAAACTTTTCATAATTAAGACTCTTAAGATTCTATATGAATAATTGAAACTTTTATAATAGTTTTGAGATTTAATCTTCACATTAAAGATGTATGACATCATTTTAATCTGTAAATTTCATTAAATCTACTAGAATTTACAATGTATCAATTTCAGAAAATTCAATTGATTATTATACTTACATCATTTAACTTTTGAAATTACTGGCTAATTCTAGTAATTTAGAGTAATTAGGCTTTCTTTCATCAATATTTTCACTCATTTCAGTAATTTATTCTTATTTCCAAGATTATTTCAATTTTTTAAATAAGTTTACAATTTTATCAATAAAATCTGATGTACATTTTTTTAGAGCTTATATGGTTGAATCCAATTGATTTTTCTATCTCATTCTAGCAAGTATTAAGAACTCATTAAATTTATTTAATTCATAAACTAATAAAGTTCTGCAATCACTATTATTTATGATTAATAATTCTTGTTAAATAGCTTAGACTGAAATTTCAAATTCCTTTATTTTTTCAACAAATTCAACATTGTTCAATTATTCTAATTTTTCTTTGTATGCTATTAATGAATACATTTAATTCTAAAGTTTTTTATAATTTGATATAAAATTATAAAATGTCTTGTTGTCTTTTCTGTTTACATATTCTATTAACATTTCCATTTTCTTAATTGAATCAAATTTGAAATTGAGTATTTAGTTTATTGATAAAAGAGAATAATTAAAAATAGAATAATAATAATTAAATATCTACCTATTTTTCCCATTTTGATATTCCTTTATATAATTAGATAAGATCTCATTTTCTTTATCAAGTAATTGAGTCAATTATTAATACTGATTGATTTAATATTAGAAATATAAGTTGAAATCAAATTTAGGATTAATTATGAATTCAATTTTCTATTTCTTTTCAATTTTTTCAAATTCTTCTAAAGAAAACTTATCAAAGAGTAAAGATTTTAATTCAAAAAATTATTCATATTACATTTAAAGAATTGAATAAATAGAATGTAGGTATTCAAAATTACTATTTTATCTTTTAATAAATTCTTCATTGAGATTGTCTAAAACAGTTTTCATTTCTGTTTCTTATGTTTGTTTTGTAATGATAATTTATTGATTTATCATAATATTTTCAGATGTAAACATAGATGTAAGTAGCATAATCTATTCATTCCATTTTTCACAAAATTTATTAGAATTTATAAGGTAATTCAATTATATTTAAAAAGGTTTTTCTTATATTTTGGAAAAAGCTAAGCAATCTTCTGGCATCTTCTTTCCAAATTGTTCCTAATAGTTATTTGATTATTTTTAAACTAAATTTATTTATTTGAGCCAATTTATAAGTTTATCATATATATCTCTTTTTTTATCAAATTGTTTTTTACTTTATATTTTAGAATAATTATATAAAAATGTTTGAAAACAATTACTAAATATTTCTGTCTACTATTTATTAGGATCTTCTGATTTTATTAAAATTGGTGATATTATTTCAATAATATTATTTAGATATTCCCCTGAAATTTAAAATTTAATAACATCGTTAAGCAAAGTTTGACATTATTCTTATAATAAAATAAGGTAATATTAGAAATCTGAAAAATTCATTTTCTTAGATTCTATTTGATAATAACTAATTAAAAAGTTCGAAAATTTATTTAAAAATTCATTAAAATTGCTAGCAATCTTATCAAAAGGAATTTATCTTAATGATTAGATCATTTTAAAATAATCTTAATTAGATTCATTATCTAAATTTAATGTATCCTTTGCTGATTCTATAGAATAATAACCAATAAATTAAGGAATAATTTGATTTCCATTCATAAAAAAGTTTTAAAGATTTTGATACTGTCTTTATATACTTTATAATTTAATCCCAATATTTGAAGTTGATCCTTTAGCAATAATTTCAGCAATTTCAAAATCTTTATGAATAACATTAATCAAATTTTCTGATTAGGCTTGTTCCCATGTCATAATTTAATTTGATCCCTATTATAAACTTTAAAATTTGATTTTTGTAATTTGAGGTTTACATGCCATAAGTTCACTTGCCATCTTGATCCAAGAATATTATATTGCCCAATCACTACCTTATTTAATTATACTAGTATAGTTATCACTTATTTTATCTTCTATTTCATTAAACATAACACCAGCTTTAATACTCATCAAGATATTCCATTTTAATTATTCTAAAAATAAGCATCTTTCAAATTGTTCCATTGACTTCTTCTTTTGGAATTGCTAATATAAATACAAAGCCCCTTTAGATATGGAACTAATTAATTTATGAGATGGCTTTAAACTAATTGCAGAATTAGCAAGTTCTTTAAGAATTGAAAATGCAGAACTATTTCTTTGTTGTTATTCTTCTTGTGTGGGTATATACTCTATACAGGCTTAGATTAGAGTTAGCTCATAAATCAAACCATTATAGAATAATGATGCTTCTCCTTCTAAATTAATCTAATTAATAGTATTGGCAGTTAACTATGTCCAATTATCTATCTATTATTATTGACTTCTATCATTTGAATTAGAATAATAAATAAATATTAATCTAATGAAAGAGTTACAAATTTTTAATATTTTTAAAGCAATCATTCTGTCCCATTATATTGTTGTTGAAGCCAATTCTAAGAAAATTTAAAGTGTTCTTTCTATAATTTATTTGTGTCTTTTCACTAAGTCAATTTGAAATTGGAAATAACAAAAAAATTGTTCAATTTCTTAAAACCAAGCTATGTTTCTACATAATACACTTTTCCCTTCTTCTGTACTCATAATCTCTTTGACATTTTATATTTGCTCTAGTCTTTTATTTAAGTTGACAAGCAAACTATTCAAAAGTGTTGAATGTAATTAGGCTTCAATTTATATATTCTAAGGTATTCCTTGAGAATTATTAGAAGAAGAAAAGGCAGACCCTCCTCCTCTTAAAGATTATTCATAGAATCTCTACTTTTGCATAAATTAATAAATAGTTTTTCTAATTTTATTAGAGAAGTCATATGTTCATAATTTCAGATTTGCCGTCAATTATAATGAATATGACTTAAATAATTTGTTATGAATTAGAGAAACATAAATTCAAAACATATATAATTAAATTCTTATTGTAGTATATAACAGGTACATCAAAAGGGAGTAATTTATTGTTTTAATAAAGTAATTGTTATTCTATTAATATTGAACAAGATTATTGAAATAAAGAAATAAAAATAAATTTTAAATTTTATTTGTATTTAAATTATTTTATAATTTTAATAAATTCTAAAGTTATATAAGTATTAAGAGATAATCCTAGTTTATATTGATACTCTAATAAAATCTATATAATTAAACTAAGTTCTCAGCCTCCTTTCTTCTAAAAACAATTATGACTATAGTTTTATAAAGATGTTAGCAACAGTATAAAATAATGAAGTCTTTTAGGGTAAAAATAAAATAAATGCAATAGAAATTACAATCAAAATAATCAATAAGGTATTTTAGTTAATGTATTAATATAATTATTAATTTAATCTAATTGGAAGCAAAATAAAAATACATTTAATTTATTTAGAATTCAATGCTCTAATGACAATAAATAAAAATTTTTATAATTCTTTCGAATTGATAAATTTGGGTACATTCAGAGATTTTATCAAATGTATATCATATAATTAAGAATCATAATATAAAGGTTTATGTTTTATTTAAGATAACTTAGAAGAGAACTTAAAATTAAAGATATTCGATTATATGATACTTTATTAGTAGTAATTAGCAATTAAATTAATTAACTTTGAAACTACCCTTTTATTCAAAGGAATTGAGATTTATGCTGAAGAATCTGAAATAAATTTCTGTAGAAGTTCTATTTTTTTTTGAATTTAATACTACATATGCCCAAAAATATTAGATAAAAATTACTGTGGTCGTCAATTTAATTTAAGGGCTCTTGTAATGATTTATGAATTATTTCCAAAAAAGAAATTGAAACCATATATATTATTTATGATATCATATCTGAATAGAACAAAATTATTCAATCTATGAATAATTTTCATCATTAAGCAAAAAACATAAGTGATTCGCTCATTCAAACGCTCCTATCTGATACAATATTTTGGACTGTTGAGATTATTAAAATTTTATAATTAACAATTGAATAAATCAATTTAAAATTTTGGGAAATGATGGAACAATCTAAAAGGATATTGATTAATTAAAATTAGAAATTGAACATGAGAGAGATGGATGAATATGTAAGGATTTATGTAAATCTATATATACGATTATATCATAAATGTTTGTTATCCAGGAAACAGAACAGAGAGTAAGAGCTATATTTTCACTTAGAAATAAAAAATAAAGTAATGGATTATGAAATTACAAGAAGAAGAAGGAAAATACAATAATCAATACTAGATAGAATAAGTTAAAAGTATAGAAGTTTATTATTATCTATCATAAGAAAAATATAAAAATTACCTTTATGAGGGATAAAATTAATGAATCCTCAGCTCTTTATTAAGATTATCAAAAGTTTTCACTACAGGATATATTCTTAATTTTTTTATTAATTTATGCTAATATTATTAAATAATTTGTAAAATTGAGAATAAAACAATGTAAAAACCAGTAATAAAATAAAAGAAATTCTTCAAGAAATAATATATAAATATTGATATTTTTTTTAATGTTATTCAATGTTTATTATCCTTTTCTTATGTCTATTACCAAAGTTTAAATAAGTCATGATTGGTCTTATTTTTAATGTTGGAATTTTCAAAAACTGTCCCAATAAATTTTGAATTCTAAGAAGTCTTATTAATACACAATATTTCAGAGAAAGTTATCTAATTTTATGAAGTAACCTTAATTTCTGAAACATATTATTTTTCTTATTTCCTTAATTCATTTTCTATTATTCTTTTCTCTTAAAATTCTCTAAGTTGCTTTTATTTCATTAGAAATTTTTCTTAAAGTGATTTTGCAATCTCAAAACAAGAATTACTTAATTCTATCATCTAAGTATTAAATATTTAGACCATTTAATCACTCTATTATAATAATATATCTATTTATTCTCCTTCTTTGGTTATTTCATCTTTTAATGTTTTTTGTGCTCTCAATGTAGCACTCATATCAACTCTTCTTAATTCAGATAGATTATGATACTTATCTTCTGCTCTCTAAAATAAATTTAATTATTCTAATCTTGCTTATTCTATATAATTTATATTATCTGTATTACTCATAAGTTATCTGCATTCCTAATTTAAACTGATAAAATTGAAATTCTCAAATGTATCTTGGAGATATTACTTTTGTTATTGCAATTTCTTTTTTAAACCATTAATATCTTCAGAAAAGATTCCATCATCTTTCAAATTTTACATTTTCCATATTTTAATACATTTATCTTAAGAAGTTGAAACTATAAATTTATTATCTGAAGATAAGCCTAAACAATTAATTAGAGCCTAATGACAAGAACTTTTAAGTCCATGCATACTTTTGGATATATCCCAAACTTTTATTGAAAAATCTTCAAAAGATAAGATTAAAATTAATCCATTTTTATTAAAATACATTGAAGTAATTACTCCTTAATATGAATATGTTTAAAATATCTTTGATAAGTCTTTAGTTTCTAAAATATATACATTTGAGTCTTTGCTTGCAATTGCCAAATAGGAATAATCAGATGTTAATGCTAAACAAGCTACCTTATTATTGACTTTTTATTATTAAGAATTCTATTAGATTGTATCAATTTGCTAATCAAAAATTTCCTCAAAAATCAATTAATTTATCTATTTCATTTCAGATGTTTCATCAATTACTTCGTAACAAAAAGATTAGGCATTTGTATCATTAGAACCAAGTTTAATTTTAGTGTATTTTCCACATTAATTTAAAACTACTAAATTATATTCTTAATCAAAGAACATATTCAATATTTAATAATTTAGATTAATCTTTTTACTAAATTATTTTCCATTAAGACTATCCCATATTTTAATTTCACCATTCTAAGTTCCTGAACAGATCAAATGATTTTATTGAGATTATGCTAATAAAATGACTTCTCCTTTAGGTTTTAGATATGATATTGTATGATTAATCTATTTACCAGTATAACTATCATAAATTGAAATTGAATGACCAAATCCACCTGTGATAATAAATTAATCATCATTAACAATAGTGATTGGACTTAATTAACAAGCAGAACATAATTTATTAATTTAACATTCTTAACAACTTTATAAAGATATTATTTAATTAACAATAGATGCTGTTTTAATGTTCCATTAAATTATTTTCTTATCTTTACCTTTAGTTATAATTCTTTGAGAATCCTCAGATATAACCATAAATAAAATGCTACCATCATGACCAGGGAAATATTCACTAACACGATAATTATCAGAGTGATGCCATTATTTAATTAGTCCATCCTTTCCTGAAGATAAAATAATCATTCCATCAGGTTTTGAAAATTCAACACTATTAACAGAATCTAAATGACCATGTAAATTCTCTCCAATTTAAGTTCCCTTCATATAATCCCATATTCTAACACTTTTATCATCACCTCCACTTACTAATATATTCCCCTCACTAGAAAAACAGATACATCTAACAGCTTTTGAATGCCCAATTAATTTTGCCTAATCTTTTTTTTTAACCAAACTATATACAATAATCACTTCATTTGTTGTAGCATATGCAAATAGTTAACCATCTGGACTAAAAACGATACTTGTTACTTAATAACCTTATGGTAAAGTTCTTATAAGTTTAGGTTAAGGCTTTTCTTCTTATATCTTAAATATATATATTGAATTTTAATCACAAGCTATCAAATTATCTTCATCTGGAGAAAAGTCAAAGGCAGTTATTCTGCTCTTTGCTGTAATTTCTCTAAATTAAGTAAATTATTTATTAATAAATTAAAAAATAATTATTTTTCCTTTTTAACATCCAATTGATAAATAGCTATCTTAATTTGAAAATTTTATTAAATTAATTATGTCGTCTAATTTAGGTTTAAATTAGATGTGTTATTATTTAACTTCATTAAGGTTTTTTTAAATGGTATTCGCCTTATTTTATTACAAATCCTCATAAAAACTCATGATATTTATAATATCATCTTAAAAATAGACAAGCATAGATTTCGTGTTAGACCAACAAAAATCAAATACTTCTTTTTGAAGTTCTATATTTTTAATAATCTATCCAGCAGTTATTTAATAAATCACCAATTATTTATTTAGACTTAGAGATGCTATGTAACTACCATCAAATGAAAATGATGCTTTTAATATAGGACCTATATTAAAAGATAAAGTTGGTAAATCTTATGAGATTATGTCCTTCCACTCAACACCTGCAATTTTACAATAATTTAAGTTTGTTCCCATTAAAGTCACATTCTCAAATTTAGATCCACTAAAATCACATCCTATACACTTAAATCCTAATAACTTAACGTCTTTTATCTGAATTCCACAGAATTTCTTTTCATAGAACAATTCCTACATATAAGTTAATAATTATAAGGAATTTGAACTAATATTTAAGAATTATTATGATATTCCTGAAGTTAATACTAAGAAATGTAAGACTTATTTTAAATCTTAATTATTTTATATATATTCTATTATGAATCTTATTGTTCCCATATAAAATTAATTTGCCATAATTACATAATTTAATGGTGAAAAATTTATGTAAGTTAATAAATCTTGTGTAAAATAAAAGCAATCGGGATAATCCTAATATTAATATTAAAAGGCTTAATTAAATTAGTATGTAAATATACTTCTTGCTTAATCCTAACTATCTAATACTTACAATTAATTATTTTAATATATCTAAATACATGTTGTAATAAATTCTATCGTTTTCAACTTTTTACTCGTATTTTTGAAGAAAACATCTACTTTCATTTCTTTGAATTAATTAATTATTTAATTAATTCCAAAAAGATTATTGATGATGAATTTTGCATATATAAATTCTTAGATTGATTTATGCTCAAAACTCAAAATAGTACCTGTTAGTTTCAAAGGAAGGCATTTTTTTATTAAGATTATATCTTCCGAATTTTAATTAAATAATTCTTGATACCTAGGGTCAATTGAATGCTATTTAATTTTTTAATCTCTGTATACTCCTGATAAATTTGAGACTTTTTAAGTTTCCATTGCAGTTAATTAATATTACATTAAATATGATACTAATAATCTTGAATATTCATTAACTTCATTTATAAAATTATTATTAAACTTTTATTATTAAATATTCGACAATTTTTGCATTTAGTTTTATATATAATTCTCCAAAAATTATTCATAAAAATCATATTATGTTAATTTAAAAGATTTATAACATTTTAACAATATCTATTTATCATCTCCATATTAATCATAATCCTATTGAGAAAAATATTAATGTTTTTAAAAAATTTATTTTCCTTATTCTTTTAAGTTCTCCTTTATTTTCATCTATAAATTACGCTTTAGTTTAAGTTCTTTTGATAATTTTATATAGAATGAACTTTAATTACTTTAATAAGGAATTTAAGGTTAAACTACTTATGATGTTGTTTTGTAATGGGGAGTAGAAATTTCGTAACTTTATGATTATTGAACTCTTTACTGTGAACTAACAGTTAAAGGCCTATTTTATTTGGCTTATTCATAATTAGCAAATTATGGGCTCTACTAATAGTTTAATTCTACTCTGTCCTGAGAACTAATATTTAGAGGCCTTGTTTATTTTGATTATTCATAATTATTTTATCTACTAACATAAGGATCTCTCTAATAGTTTGCCTCTACCCTCTACTGCTAACTAGCATTTAATGGAAT